GACGGTCACTACATCACTAGTGTCGAGCTGCTGTCATACTTCGAACAAGTTCATATCGATTGCGTCGCGTTATTTTATTACAACAAGCGGTATATTAATCCTTATGCTTATATTGGTAAGGCTCTTGAATATTTACGTTAGATAGAGTCATTCATCATACATAGCTTCTAATGTATAAGACTGTCCTTAAACCAGTATGGACTTATGGCATTCAGTTTTGGGGTGCCGCATGCCAGAGCTGAAGATTCCACCCTCAAGCAGATTTCTGATACGCCCTGCTTCATTCGAAACTCTGAAGTCCATCACTACCTAAAAATCAAAGGAAGAAATTCGATCTTACGCTTTTACTATCATCATGCTAACCTGCTGGCAGAGCAACTGACTATCCCTGACTCAATGAGATGTCTAAAGAGACGCAGAATCTTAGAACTGGATCAACTAATTTGAAAATCCAGCTGCAATTGGAGGGACTCCTGCTGGGGAGTTGACTTTACACGCCAGTAATCACGCAATACATCTGCTCATAGTCATCCGACTGATCGCATGATTATACTGTGAACAAAAAAAGATAGTCTTTCATTTACTTTACTCACATCTAGTGGATGTGTAATAACTACAAAATTGCCATTTTAACTCCTAAAGAAACACGAATCGTGGTTTCGCGACAATCCTTGCTATTAAATGAATTTCAAGACTACTCGAGTAATTTTATAACTTTGTTTTATCAGATTCGTCAAGCGTGTCGTGAGCTACAGTATGTTTTTAAGATTTAACCAGACCATAGGTTCCCAAAATTTTTGGCTCACAGTTTTTTTGGCCCACTTAGGCAAGATAAATAAATTTCAACGTCTAGCACCACAAAAAAAAAATAGAAAACACGTGATTTTTATACTTAACACAAAAAATCGCAAGGAAAAAAATTGTGTAGTTTATATAGATAATTCAGGTATTATTTTCAAATGCGGTAGCATTCCCCGCATCAACGCCCCCCCCATTTGCTTCCGAGGTCCCTACCTAGGACCCGTCAGCGCCCACTGGGGGGCGGTAAGGTCCACTTTGGGAAACTATGATTCAGACGGTTCATTTGATGTGACAAAGTCAAAGTCAAAGTCAAAGATTATTTATTCCATAGGTAAAATAAATTTACACTTGAAAACGTCACATTTAAGCTTAAGCTACTGCTCGTTCACTACGCTGACCTCCCTGAGAAGAACGAGCAAGAAACTCTAGGGATTGCTCTTTTCAAATAAACTTAAATGCTATGGAATACACTTTGAATCAAATTTGTGTGGTGACGTGCTTAGCTTCTTTTATATATGTTTGTTTTGTTTGTAAATACACCTTATTTTGTCTTTTTTATTTATAAAGAAATAAGTGCGCATTTGACCTTCATCTTACCTGATGGAAAGTTGACGATGGAGCATGCATGCCTAAATAATGCTAATTCACTCTTGCCTTGAAAAGATACAAGTTATACCGTTGTACCGTTCAGGGAACCAGTCTGTAGGCAGGGAATTCTACTCCATGGCTCCATTGTCTTTTTCAGCAATACAAAAATGTGGCCTAGCCTACGACGGAGGTCTCCTAATAGACCACCAATTCAGGACCAACAACCCTTCGATCTATGCAGCGGGCACGGTCACGAGATATTATAGAAGATATTTCGCCGACGACAAACGACAGAGTTATTATGATTCTTATGAAGTTGGCGCTAGGGTAGACTTTTCACAATACTTATTTTATTGTTGTACTTTGCTCATAGTTAAGTAAATAATTGGACTAAGGCCATAGATATTTTTTTTTACGTGGAATGTATTTTACATATGAGGCTTGTTTTTAGCTGGGCGAACAAATTCGGGATCAACTAGATCCAATGCTGCGTGCGAAGGTTTCGCACAGAAGGAAGTCAACTGCGGAAGCGAATGAATCTTCGAGTAAAAGTAGCAAATCTACGTTAGTACCATAGTATAATACAAGACAAGTAGAGTAACTCCATACAAGACGCAGCAGAGCGGCTTGTGTGTGTGCGCACCCGCCGCATTCTATGTACGGACGCTCATATTCGCATAATCCCGCAGTGCACTCGTGTTGGAAGTTGAGGTGGGCGTTTAAATGAAAAGCATTTTAAAAAGTTTGCTTTTAAAAAAGCACGCTTTTCATTTTAAGCAAAATAATTTTAAATAGATGTTACGCTATCAACACAACGTTGCAAGCTTTTTTTAACATAAAAGTCATAGACGCTTAAATGTTTTTCTAAACGATTTTGTGAGCTTCAAATAAAAAAGCGTTTTAAGTGAAAAGCGTTTTTATAAGCCCGCTTTTTTGAAAAAAAAAAGCTACAAAAGGTTAAACGCATAGCCGTACGCGACGTTCATTATCGAATTGAAGCATTTGTTCCATGTTTAAAAAAATACATCAAGTAGTAGTCTGGTTTATGGCTGTTCAATTTTTGCATTTGCATCACTACACTTGCTATTTATAGGCGATTGCATCGATATATATACGCGACTGCATCGATACAGTCGCTTATGTTGAATAATTATGTACTAGAAATCTGAATAGGTTTATGCATATTGTTTGTATTGTTAATTGAAAATTTAAAAGTGAAATAAATAAATACATTAAATAAATAAATAAGCTAATAAAATTAAAACGTAAATCGCGTGCAAACGCATAGATGCAAATCGATGCTTAAAAACGCGCGCGTGTGTAAAGTAGACGATTAGCGACTGCATCGCTGCTAAAAATCGCCGTGTGTAATCCCTCTAAGAAATACTTGATCACGGCAATTCTAACGCCGGTAAGTAAAATCGAATTAACCTTTTAGTTTTCCTTTTAGATTAGATTCAGAAGAAAATTGGAAGCTACCAGAATTGAAGTTACCAAAATCATGGTGCTGCGTTTTCCCCGGAGAACTTAACTATTTAGAGATTCGACCACCTGGAATGAAGTTTCCTAGTTATTATGTACAGTCTTTGCATTTTAACGTGAGTACGTAGAAATACGTTATACAAATGTGTCATAGCAGGATTGCATAGTCATTTTATAATAAGTACGTCTAGGCGCTGAGTGTTCTTGCTTGTGCTCCAGAGTGAATTCCGTTGCTCTGGTACTCGTAGTGAGTGTAGGGAATTGCTTAGTTCGAGGCCAGGTAATTGGTTTCTTATTATCAGTTGTTAGTGCACAAAAGCGAAGTTTACTATGGCCCAGTTCAAGAAATCCCTTAGTCCATTATTTTAGTTACTGGATATTGTAACTACATTTTTTATTTTTTGTCTTTGAAGCAATTTTTATTTTTTATTTTTAAATTTTGGAAATCAGGAATGGGACTTGTGCACAATAACATTCGAAGTGGGTCCGAGTTTTCTAGATTTATACAGTCTCGGGTTAGGAATGAATACGAATTAGGTACAGTGCACCAACGCGCTAAAGCTCCTAATTTGTACCTACGCTAGACAATCGCCATAACTTTTATTATGTTTACAAAATGTGTTTCCATTCCGTTCCGCGGTAATGTAAATCGAGTCTAAAGCTTCCCTAAAAAGGCCATGGTGTTCATACATGAAAAATTGAATTGCAGGGTTTTGTTATGGAGACATTCAAGCATGGCTACTTCAAACTGCACATGAACAGAGAATACGTTGTGGACGGAATCACGTGTCTCACCCCCGAGCCATACGCGCTGATGAACTTTAGAAGCCTCTACGGATTGTCTGGAGTCGTGCTTAATTATGTGCACTTGAGGTTTAATGTAAGATTCTATAGGTGTAAACAATTACATACTAGAAACCGTAGTGTTGTAAGCCTACGTCTGCAAAATAACAACTTCTCAGGACAAAGATTCTACGTACGAAATTAGTCGATAATCATCAATCCATTTATACGTCCCGCTGCTGGGCACGGATCTCCTCTTATGCGAGGGTTTAGGTCTCTAGTCCGCCACGCTGGCCCAATGCGGGTAGAGCATCACACGTTTTTCGAGGTTGCGAACCTTCTTCGACGTACAGGTTTCATCATGTTTGTTTCACCAGAAAGTTCATGATAAATTTCGAATTAAATTTTGCACATAAATACCGAGCAACTAAGAAGTGCCAGCCCGGATTAGAACCCACGGCCTCGGCTTGAGAAGCGGTAGGCCAAACCAAATGTTGCAAAAGATTCTCAAAACTTTGTGAAGAAGTCCTTAACTCGGGTTGAATTAGCGTGGCATACTATGACAGCTGTGGAATGTATATGGAGTAATATTAATTTTAATATTTTGTTAAATTTTTCGACCTCGGGGGCTCAACGGTTTGCACTTCGGGCGCTGGAGGTCTCTACTTTCTGTTCGGTGTGTACCGGTTAGCGCCATAGACTGAATTCCGTTGCTCTTGGTATTCAAAGTAAAACGAATTCCCTAAATTGAGACCTGTCAAACCAAAACACTGTACTAATATTAAAAACAGCATTTAGATAAATTTTTGTCATTTTGAGTTTAATAACATAAAAAGATACGATACGAAGATATGACTTACGTTGTACCTTCATTAGTTATTAAAGAAACCTAGCCAGCCATAATTTTACTTCGTAAAATAAGCTATTTTGTTGAAAAACGAATACATTTCTTTTCCTCTGATAACAGCCGAAAGATTTTCTTTGTCATGAAATTACAAAATACTTTATTGAGCCTTGCAGTGTTTTGGTTTGACACGATAGACCCGGTAATTGGTATGGCTTTTCTGACACAATATTATTGTTACAATTTTCACATCTATTTATATCGATGCTTATTAATATTTGCAAAGGGTTCTTTATTATAAATCATTATTTTCTTCAAGCCTATTTTGTATTTTAAAGAGGTTAAGGGAATAATGTATGTGATGCGTCATACTACGGCACTTACTATGAGAAATAAGGGCAAATAAAACATTTAGGAGGATTGTTAAAAACGTGTGAATAGTATTATAAACGACCCTTGTCTACGTCTTTGTATAGAGAATAGACTTCATTTAGGGCGTTTACTTTGCTTTATCGAAATAAGTATTATTGATTTATCTTCTTTATTGCAAAAGAACATGACACAATGTGCGGTTCACTTTGCCCCATCTTTGCCCTCTTTGTTATAACTACCGCATTTGCATTTTGGTAACTTTCGAGTTATTGGCACCTAAAGTTTTTTTTCACTAGTTTGTTATAATTATTAATACAAAGATCGAACCCTAAGAAAAATTCCTTCGATGCGGCTGGATTCGAACCAGCGCCTTCAGCATACCGTGCCTGACGCTGTCTCAACTGAGCTAGGAACGAATCGCCAGACCTTACGATTTTTTCTATGTGCTTGTAGCAGATCTTTGCTTTTGATTTTTAACGATTTTTTTGCCGCCATCTGTGAGAAATTTATGAAAGTTTTTCTTCACTTAGCCAGGTACCTTTACAGCTACCAACGCCTGAATGATTTCTACTTCTTTAAAAATTTCAATTACCCTGATTATGCTTAAGAATAAAATTGAAACTAAATAAGTTAAAAAGACAAACCGCTCATATAGGGGGTTGTAGATCTTGTTTCGCTGATTCCAGATAATGTTAATAACTCAATTTCGCTAAAAAATTACGTTATTTACGTTACGCCGGTTACGTTACTTTATAATAATGAGGGCAGCACTGTTATAATTAAAAAAAAATTTGCAGGCTCAAAAAATCGACGACTTTTTTGAATTCTTTACGGAGCCGTGGGCAGCGTTTTTGTATAACGAACGTGTTTCTGATTTGATGGCCATGGTCAAAGAACTTCGCCCTAAGGTAAAAAAAAATTGTACAATATGCAGAACAAAATTGGGTTATCCTTAATATGATTACAAGTAAATATTTATGTATTTCAGAACGAACCTGAAGGACTTACTCTTCAGGAAATTCTACGCAATTTCGCCCAAGAATGTGATGCTAACGTAATTTACAAATCTTTTTTTCAAATTTACAAATCTTGCGTAACTCGTATTAACTGTACCTATACATAGGAAATGATAATATTTTTCCTGATTTAAATCGCGTATATTTGTTTTTTCAAACAAACCGACGTTTCGGGCCCTTTACAGGTCCCATGGTCACGGTTGACTGATCTGTAAAGATATCTTAGGGCATCGACTGTACACTTTCTTTTTCTCTCTCGCACACGCTTAATAATAATAATACTTACTTGTTTTATTGTACATTTGCAGTCGGCAGATTTCGCTAAAGTTCTGCGAGAGGAATCTGAATTCGACAAGTCGAACCATTATGCAAGTATCTCGGATTATGTCATCGAATGGTTGTCCGAAAACGATGAAATCATGCCTATGTATTTACAGCCATGGCAGGTATGAACTATCTCTGATATCTCACTGTCCTTCTCTTTAAAGCTTTAGTGTGAGCGAGACAGAATGTAAGTATTTTACTTGTGCGTTTGCATTGGTTCGATTATCGCCTTCGCCGAATTCAACAAGTCGAAATCGCGTCATTATAAATACAAGTTTAAGCACACAGACAACAAATCTTTCGAAACGTTTAACATCAGTTGTTTAAACCTTACAGTTGCGCAACGAATGTACTTACATAGATAAATAGCGGGGTACTCGAGGGGAGTCTGACAGCGCCGGACCGTATCCTCCTAACACGCTTAATTTGCCGGATAAAGCGCTGAAGGTTGATGTCTGCGTGTTTTCAAATATTTTTGAATACGCTCACCGAGTTCTACGATATTTAAACATATGCCTTTTAAAAGTAAAGTATTCTCTCTTGCTGTAAAATAAACCCATATGGAAGTCAAGAGAGAAAATTTCATTGAAATATCTTTTTTTTGTGTGACGGAATGAACAAGTCGTTCGTCTAGTGGTAAGCGATACATCTATCCATAACAGTTGTAGTGGCACTCACAGCTTTAAATCGCAAAGATCTTAGGGGCACTGCCACTGTGCCCTATCTCTACTAACAATCGAATGAAACTGATTTTTCCGTAACACAGTAACTTCGTCTGTTTCATAATCATCATCAAACGAAAATTTTGCGATTTTTTTTAATTTTGCATTTTTTTTATCGTGTCAAGTTTAGTCAATCATGTTTTGGTCCCCTTATTTCACTACTGGTATCTTCTGTTTTCATTATCAATTAAAAAGCAAGTTGAATTCGTATGTTTTAATCAAAAGATCGTTTTTGTGTTTCAAGTCAGTTTAAATAATTGTACGTCTAATTAAATTTGAACCCTTGCCAGGTTTACTTGTCAAGAGTATTTATAGAGTTGCATCTTTAACTAACAACTCGTACAATAACGTCCACTTAAAGTCAAAAGGTAATAATTTTAAGAGCCAAAAGTAACCTTGTACCCTTAGACCTAAACATTTTGTAATTTATTAACAATCTATGGACCTGGTTCTAAAATAAACGATTATTATTATTATATATATTGGGCAAGTTTACTTTATATTTTATGTTCAACAGGTAGTGGAATATTACAACGACATCTCAGGCCATCCGGCGTTCAAACGACGCAAGCGCAACTTCAGACACATGCTGAAAGATATCATGAAAGAGTTTCGGATTGTATGTCGTTAATACGATTTTTAGTCAATTAATACAATTATAATAACAATTTTAAAGAAGTATAAATAAAAAATGGTTAACTATTACTGAGATTTGTTGCAATTATTTATCTAGTGGGTATCACCTAGTTCTATATTCATGTCGCGCCTTTGGTATAAGAAAGCTGCATGTGATTACTGCATGAAACAAATTATTTACATGTATCGCACTGTTAATACAATAGTGTATTAACTCAAAAAGTGTATTTCTTCAGAATCGTTGAAAAACGAATAACTCACTTCCCGTGAAAGATCTTTAAATATCGTATCGGTTAAAGATTATTTACAGGCATCTAAACAACTTCCTACTTGCCAAATATATTTAAAAATAAAAGGAAAAAATTAATTTCATATTTTTGAGTAAGGACTGTTTGGCCAGAACTAGCTCACGTCAAGTTTGTTTCATTTTGAGTTAAGCAGATATCGTTTAATTATATCTCACAATATTGTAACGAAAGTTTTATTGACGTATATAGAATCAAATGTTACGTTCAATAATAGTATGATCTTGAATTTCACAAATTTTGAGTTACAACTCTATTGTAATAGCAGTGCGAAATATGAAATTTTATAAATCTCCTGCTTAAATATAAAAAAATTATTTCGTTCGTAGGTCTCGTAATCTTTAACTTCTCTCCTGAAAAGTTGTCATTTTGCAGATGTGATCATATTACACTTGGGGTGCGATATTTTACGGGTACGTACCAGTGTTAAGAGCGGTTGTAATCACCTAGGTCCTATATTGTGCCTCAATAGAATGATTCTAGTGGCAGTTTTTTGCCAAAAACTCAGGATGTTCTTTAAACACATATTCATTTATCGTCGCCTTAGAGTGAAAACCGCGTATACTCGTTTCACATAGCTCGTTTTTACTGATTTTTGTTGAAGAAAAACTTATAAACTTCTTGCTCAAATGTATTACTAAACTAATATAGTATCTGAAAGAGGTATAATTTAATTAATTAAAATGCTAACTATAAATATTATTGCGTTTACTACATTTTGCACCACATTTTTACATTCGTCCTGAAAAATTACATAGAAATTACATACGAGGTAAGACGGCGTTATGTATATTATTTCAGTCAAGCAAATTTGCTTACAGGGTGTTAATACTGGTTGAAAATGACCACCAATACAAACAACTCTCATTGGTCATATCAGTATGACAAGCTAATATGACCACCAATAAACGGCCACTTAGGTCGTGAGCTGACAAACTTCAGATCTCTTCGTAATTTGATATTGCCTGTGTGTAATTATAAACATTTTTGATGTGTGCAAGTTCTAACGATATCGATTGTTTTACTTGTCTACCATTTGCTACAGAGTACAGTCGCTGGGTGAGTAAATACTAAATGACCGGTGGGGGCTGTCAGGGCTATGGCGCGTAGTTATCGTCGAGTCACCGCCGCGGAATTTCATGATTATGAGCCGATACTACCTTAGCTCGGATTCATGTTTCCCATACTGAATCGGTTCTATTGCGCGGGTCGAGTGGCACGTGTCCCACTGGCTTTATTTCAGAATTTATTTATTTATAAAAAAATTAATATCGTACAGGTACTATATTACTATTACTACTATTATTTAGTTCAATTGATATTAAGAAAAAATCATTGGTATTTGGAAAGTACCTATTGAACAACAGTTTTCTTGCAAAATTTCGAGGGAGTCTTTTATCTACCGTGAAAATTTTTAGGAACCGTGTTTTCACAAGCACCAAGTCTGCCTCACTCAACACGAAGCCTAGGTTCCGGTAGGCCTTTTTACAAACATCGACTATAAGGTCTCGAAACGTCAGTTGGGCTGTAAGTAGAACCCCTAGATCGCGTACCTTGGAAACCTTTTGCATCGGGACTGTGTTTATAATAATAATAACGCACGCACACACTCAACATAGCCCCGCACTAGGGAAACCCTGTGTCGCGGGTACCATGGACACACACATAGACAACCACAAATTACACCCAAACTCACGAGAGAAATAAATGTAGGCCATACAAATATTTCTCCCGGCCCGGGAATCGAACCCGGGGACCTCTGCGTGGCAGTCCGGTATGGTAACCATTCGGCCACGGAGGTAGTTAAATTAAAGTTTATGCTTCATATTTGTATTGGATAATATTTAAGTTTCATTCTAGTACTTTTTACCTAAACAGTAAAAGAATGAACCTTAAATATTATGCAATTTTCATAAAGCTATTCAATTAAATCTTCAAAACTCTAATAGAGTAGTTAAGATGCCTAGATTAATTAGATAAGTACTTGTATTTTTAAGAATTTGGTTTGTGCATATTAAATGTCGATTGATCTTTAAATAAATGTTTAACTAAACATGTCAGATTTTCCCTTATACCTCACCTGGCTCAAATCAAATTTAGTTATTTTTATTTCTACTTCATTACATAATAAAATCGAATTATAAAAAATTTAATTAAAAAACACGGCTGCTCCTGTGCTCTTACAAAGTAAACCAAAAAATTATTTTATTTTTATTTAGAGATATTTTTTGTTTGCTGTCAGTACTTCTTCTTCTTTTAAATGTTATGGCCCCATCGAAATAACCAATGATTTTGCCAATGTCAAGTAAAAATAACTATGTACGGTAGTTTAGTATTATTATAAAAATTATACAAAAAAAATGGCGATTTCGCCAATGTCCTGTGAATTGCTTTTTTTTCTAGACAAAATTGTGTGTTTTGATATTTTTTGATACCCAATGCCTCTTTATTTTTTTCCATTCTCTAAGCCAATGCCACGCTCACTCGGAATGACTTCGGATTCTAGCAATACAACACAATTCGAAATCGGTTAAAACTTAGAGGATGGAAAAAAAAATAAAAGAATAAAACTTAGAGAAAACATTCAGAAGTTACAGAGGAATCAATAAACGATATGTCCTTATATTCACTATGAAAACTTACGCTCCTTTGTTTGGTTAGTCGTGTAAAAAAACAAGTAATGGTTATTAATAATGCCATTTAAATATATATTTTTTTTATTAGGAAGGTCTCTGCAAGTGCTGCCAACCGACCGTCATAGCTGCCAACTGTCAGCGAGGAATACTATATGTTACTCTATGTAAATTTATCCACTTAAATAACATATATTTATAAATATTGTTTTGCTGTTTTGTTTTACATTCTCAACTGAGTACTCCCGTAGTCCAACTTACCAACACCGGTTAATGTCCTATTAGAGCTTAGCGAAAATTTTTTTTTGTTTCGTTTTTTTTCTTTCAACTGTGACATTGGCAAAATCATCAGTTCTCATATTGATGGAGCCATAAAAATAAAAAGTGAAGTGATATGGCGTTGCAAACCATGCTAACGGTTTTTTACTTTTTGCTGGTGTCCTCTCGACGCGTATTTACCTGCCGCAGCGCCAGCACGCAGTGCAGCGCTGCTTGCGCCGACACTGGCACTGCCGCTGCGAGTGCTGCCTCAGCCGGCCTGCTGACGCCATGTCTGGCGCTGCCGCTGCGGATCCCGCCGCTGCCGGCGCTGCTTACGCTGCCGCTATGACGATGTCGACGCTGTCGCTGCCGATACTGTCGTAGTGGCGCGGCGCTGCCGCCGCCATTCGAAACTGTGGCTGCGAGCCACCCAAGACGTAACAGAGCGTCTTATCGACGCATGCGAATCCGGTGAGATCAAACCATTATTTTATTATGTGTCTAAGTTTGATGATGTTGATACGTGGTGCGACGAAGTCGATCACGCTTGGGCTTTAAACAACTGGGACGAAAAGCATGTTGGGTTTTGTCTAAAAGGGGATCTTAATGGTCAGGTACGACCAAGCCTGCGTAAGGTGGAAACATTTGCTAAGTCACCTATATCGAATACATGTGCTGCCTTTTTTAGAGCAAGTTATACAACTTGCTCTCAAAAAGGCAACTGTAATATCGCTATTTGCTGATTGAAAATTATTTCTCCCGCTAAGAATTCTTTAATTAAGTACAAGTTAAACTTACAGCCCTAGCTTGCTTACATTTTGATTTTGGATTGTTTGAGTTGAAGATGTTGGGATGACTGGGAAGTGACTCAGTTAGCTAACAGACGTTGAAGTGACCTGGAACAGACCTGTGTAAATCCTGTAGCATTATCTACGTTGAATGGGAAAAGATTCAGTTGGCTAACAAGACACTGAGGTCACCTAGAAGTGACTTGAATGCTACATTGCTCGATTGATAAGGATTAAGACTTAAAATTAATTTCGTATTCATGTAAATCCTTGTGGAAACTTAGTGCTTATTTAGCTTACTATTCTTTTCAATCTCATGCTGTTAACGCCTATGTGATGTCATGTAGCTTTTAACCCGATAAGGTTTTGTGCACTTTCAGATTCTGATGATGAAAATGTGGCCAGTTACGCTCGAGTTTATCTCCTCAGTAGGCGGGGAGGACTCTGCCCCGTCAGGAGAGGCCGTGTTACGTGAACGTCTCTGCAAGCGCTGCCAACTGGCCGTCATAGCTGCCAACTGTCAGCGACGAATACTATATAATGCGTTGCGAACCAAGCTAATGGTATTTTTGCTTTTTGCTGGTGTGCTCTCGACGCGTATTTACCTGTCGTTGATTTGTTAAGTGCTTTTCAAATTTGAACATTAAATTTTGTAACCGATTTTTATTTCATTAAAATTATTATTGATTTCTAGTCTTATGATTTCTGGTTTAGATTTCTAACAATATATATGTATTATATTTTATATTATAGTATATTTTGTATTAGTTAAATGTATTTTTATATTTACTTGCCCAACTCTAATGTATTTCGAATTCGGGCTGGCCAATTGAAGCGCAGTTGTCACCCGTTGTCATTTGGCAGAATAGTTTTTTTCTAACAAAATAAATGACATTTCGTTTCTATTTCTGGTTATATACTCGATGATCCATTAATACTAAAAACAATAAAATTTAACAAAAGAAGAAGTGAAGATACCAACTGACATTTTAGAGAGAAAAAATATAACAAATATTACAATTCTCGAAATATTTTTATATTCACGTTTATAGCCATATATTTGGTAGCATTATTGTATATTATACAGATTTTGTAATAATGCAAGACCCGCTAAAACAATCAGCGGCAGTAGGGGATACCGATGTTCAGAAGCAATTTACAGACCTGCTACAGCTAGAGAGATTGATGGAACCGAACGAAAATGCATTCGGCGATACACAACGCCATGATTCCAAATTAGTGCAACCTAGTGGAAATTATCGAATACCTATACCAATATCGAAAGGAAGACTTTTGGATTTTGTACGTTTTGCGTGCTACATTTTTAAGTAGTTATTATTCACTTTTTTACTCCGCGAACCCAGAGAAGGTTGATCGTGCGAAATAGCTACGCTCGTGTTGAATATTAAATTAATTTTTCCACGTTCCCTTCAGATAAATTTAATAAAAGAAATAACACAATCCCTCGGCTAAATTTGATTTTGGCGTCCCGTAAGAGGTGGGTGAACGACATTCTCAAAGTTGCGGGCCGTGGATAGATGAGACCAGCACATGGTCGTGGTGAGAGGCCTATACACAGCAGTGGATGAAGTTGGGCTGTGGATGATGACGATGATGATGCAGCTATTTTCGCTGGGTTGGCAGAGGAGCAATAGTATTTAGTTACACTTTGATTTAAATGAATCTAGAATAAGAATATAGGTTATAGTTACGATAGGAATGCCTGAACTGTAAATCATTTTAACCCAGATACATCTGTGTCTACGGAAAGAGTTTCGAAGTTTATAGAGTTTAGAATTTGCCCAATGCGGTTCGGGAACGTCACTACAAGTCCGAAGATTTTTTTTCATTGAATACACGATACGGTCCTCAACGCAAGCAAATGTTAATTGCCTTGTCATCTACACTATACCTGTGTGATTCGAAAAATGCAATAGTGCAGACCATTCTCCCGACTCGACCTTAGACTCCTGCATGAAAGACATGCGTTCTCACAATTACGATGAATAAATATTAAAATGAGCAAAGACAGAGACATCATCCATTCCTTTATTTTTCAATATAAGACAAATGAACTTATAGAAATAGTACTTATAACATTTCAGAGCTCTTCAGACGTGCTCAGTAGCCTTAAAAAAACTTTTAACTTCTAAATTTTTGCAAATGTAACTCACTGTTTCACCCTATATGCGATATTGTCTAACTTTGAATACATGGATTATAAGCTTTATATAATTTTGCGTTGTGTTGTACTAACATTGCAAACGGGAATAAACGCGATGAAATCAACTTTATACACGTTTGCATTTCTACCTATTATCCCGATGTTTCGGCCTAGATGCACTTGCCGTGGTTACGCGCTGACCGAGACTGCTTATAGGGTGCATATACCTGTTACATAGGTTTTATCACGTTTATGTCTGTTTGCAATTACAGTGTAGGGTTTGTATTTATGCTCATTTGTTTCATAAAGTTTGCACGTTAACTTATATCCTATTTACCGAGGAATAGGATAGGCAAGTCCCTGAAATGACATCCTGTCGAATTTCGAAAAACGATCGAAATTCCTTCGATCGCTGACGAGCTTTGCAAGTTTTTGATTGATTTGGATTTCATTACATTGAAATTTGATTGATCGCTTGTTTTTTAAATCCATTGCTCCACTCATCCTTGCCAGTATGTGTAAATGTACTTTTTAAAGCCTTAATTTAGAAATACTTGGTTAGTTTCAAAGAAATACAATACATAGATTGGATTAGGCGAACTTTCAAAAAGTTGGTTTAGTTATAATATATTTTAGAGACTGTGTATTTTTAAATTTCAGAAAACCGACAAGCGTCTCATCGAGCAAGATAATGGTAAAGACGATGTAGTCATCCAAGTGACTTATCCAAGTTTTACAGGAAATTCCATTGACAGGACCAAAGCAGACAAAGTCCCAGAAAACTTTGTTTTCAATTGCAAAATGTCATTGATTGCGGCAATGATTTTTTTTTCCTTATTTCTTATTTTATTTGTTTTGGTTAACGTAATACAGCATAAAACAACAAAGAACTTCTAAAATGGTACTTTGTTTTTAAATAAATAGTTATACTTTTCATTGATATAATTTTATTTTCGACTGTACTTATTAATAGAAACGGTTAGGTAGGGATATGGAAATGAAATGCCACTTATCACCAGTGACGGTCTGCTAGGGAAGAGTGGAAAAAAAATTCACTTGTGGGTACAAGTGAAATTGCCAGGGGGGCAACTGGTAGGTACTAGTGGAATAGGCCCCCTGTAAAACACCAGTTTTTTTCTTGACGACTTGACGACCTCCGTGGCCAAGTGGCTTGCACATCGATTTTCACGGTGTCACCATCTGTGAGAAAACTAACTTATCAAATTGTCTCGGGAACTTAGAAAATGGAAAAAAATAAAGGAAAAGAGTTTCGAGATTAAGTATGGGCATTTTAAGAGTTAATAATTGAAAGGCAACAACAGAACGACTATCGTATGAAGTTTTCAAAACAACAAATACGAAATATACAAATAAATCTCTTTCGAGCCCGATCTTTTACTTTTATCCCTTTTTCTTTTACTTTTTTCTGACACACACTATTTTTATAATTTGACACTGCCAAAACATGGTCTATAGTCTATAACGTTTGAAAAACATTTACAGTTTATGAAAATGAAAATTATTTTCTTTTATGGCTATTATTTGTAAGATTATTGTATAAAAATATTTTGTGATAATGCAAGGAGCATTAAAGAAGTCGGCGGATGCCGACGTTTGTGGTCAAACTCAGAAACAACCTTTACGTCTGGATGAATTATTGATTCCAAACGTGAATACATGGGGCAATGTGCATTATAACGTACCGTTGCGACATTCTAATAATGAGACTCGAACGGCAGTGAAGATTGCTCATAGACATATTCCTCCCATACCTCATGCTTTGGATTGTGTAAGTAAAATATTAAGTAATAATAATATTATATAATTATATATAATATAATAATAGTATAATTATATAATTATAATTATATATATAATTATATAATTATATATTATATAGTATTAGTAAGTATAATATTATAGTCTTCTAGGGAGTTGTATGAGTAGAGTGGACAGTGTTAGGGATCTAGGCGTGTCAACTCTTGTTACGATTCAGTTTAAGAACCTAAAATATCGTTGTGAGACAGCGCTACGTGAAGTGTATATCACCATCCCGCTTTTTTGTCGTTACGAACCTATACTGAACTGTAATAAGAGGTCATGGTAAGGCCCCTGCTCTTCGATAAACATATTGAGCGTATAGTGCTAAAGCATATAGAGCCATGGGGTTCTTGATGCGGACGTGCAATGATTTTACCGACATAAAGCCTATTAAAATATTGTACTGTTCTCTTGTACGCAGTGTTCTCGAATATGCTTCTCAGATATGGAACCCTAGATACGAAGTTTACAAATCACGTATTGAAGCCATACAAAAAAGTTTTTAAGGTATTTAGATTATAAGACAAAACAGCGAACGGCAGGCTATGTGGAGCGTTGCGTGAGCGTTATCATTTTGTACCTCTCGATTATAGGTGAAAAGTTAATGACATTTGCTTCCTGTTTAACATAATAAACAGTAAAATTGACTCGTCGGAACTACTGTCTAAATTATCCTTTAGGACTAACCAGCTGAGTCTGTCTGAGCAATTATAGACAAAATTAATTTTTTATCAGAGTCGTTAAGGAATACAATCAATCGTCGATTGACATAGATCTGTTCAGTACTAATGTAGGCTTTATTCGACGAACGTTTACTAAGCAATACTTTACGTAATTATCTATCTCTCATTATTTTGTTTCCTGTCTTTAAGATGTGCGTGTTGTTGGTTGGGCTATATAGGGTTTAATAATTTTCCTTTTTTTTTCTTTTCCTTTTTTCCCTGTATTGGCAATTGTACCTGCTCTCAATGTGTAAAAATATATTATGTTGTTTACATTTCTGTAATAATGTTTTAATTTCTGCTGACTAAAAACTTAATAAATTATTTTTCGTGCTACTTGTGGAGATTTGTAATTAGCATTTTCACCTGTTACTCAACATTTATTTCTTGTTAAAAATTCGCTGAAAATCTTCCTAAAAATAAATAAACAAAAATTTTATTTGTGAGTCAAGGTTGTGAAAGCTTTATGACGACACATCGACAATGACAAAAATAGGTGTGCCGTTAACACACGTAGCACTGCAGGATGTATGTAAATGCAAGTAGGACGATGCAAGGAGATCATCATCATCACCTTATCGGCCGGAAGACGTCCACTGCTGAACATAGGCCTCCCCCAAAGATTTCCAAGACAGCCGTTCGGACGCAACGTGCATTCATCGGTTACCCGCCGCTCTTACCAGGTCATCCGTCCATCTAGTAGGGGGTCGTCCCATTGAACGCCTTCTGGTTCGTGGTCTCCATTCAAGAACTTTTCTGCCCCAACAGCCATCAGTTCTACGATCTTTGTGCCCTGCTCACTGCCACTTCAACTTGCTAATCCTTCGAGCTATGTCTGTGACTTTCGTTCTTCTACGGATCTCCTCATTTCTGATTCGATCACGTAGAGAAATGCCGAGCATTGCTCGCTCCATAGCTATTTGGGTGACTTTAAGCTTTTTTATGAGGCCCATAGTAAGTGACCACGTCTCAGAGCCGTAGGTCATTGCTGGCAACAAGCACTGCTCGAAGACTTGTCTTCAAGGACTGCGATATTGCGGACGAGAAGATGTCCCGGAATTTCCCGAGTCGGATTCGACGATTGACCTCTTTCTCGACGTTGGCCCTGCCTAATTGGACGGTTTCTCCGAGGTAGACATACTCGTCAACAACTTCGAGAGTAGAGGTTCCCACTATTATATGCCTGGGTACGACATGGACATTCGACATAAGTTTCGTCTTGTCCATGTTCATTTTTAGACTCACCTGCTGGGAAACTCTATTGAGGTTACCGAGCATGGTGCCAGCTCTTCCAACGATTCTGCCATGACCACGATATCGTCAGCAAATCGAAGGTGAGCGACGTATTATTCCCCATTGATGTTGATGCCGAGTCCTTTCCAATTCAGTAACTTGAAGGCATCTTCCAATGTATATACCATGTATGCACTCCATAGAAGTGTCATGAAGTCGTTTCAGTTCCATGGAAGTTCGTTTTTGAACATTAGTTTCATTGAGTAGGGTTTCCAACTGTTTGGTGAAAAGTACTTGACGGTTATTGTACCGATGATTTAATATCTTCCATGCAGAGTCATAATTATCAGATGAAATATGCAAATGTTGTATGAGGCGCTCCGCTTCGCCCCTTAGTTTGCCTTTGAGATGTTGCATTTTTGTACTTTGTTCAAAGCGGGATTGTTGTGCACTGCTTCCTTGAATAAATCTAATAATGTATACCACTGATAATAATTGCCAGAAAAGGTAGGAATATCAATTTTGAGGGTAGAAAGATGCAAATGAACGGTAGTCGACAGTTTCTAATTTAAAGCTTTATTCATAGATCTGAATAAAGTTTCCAGTTCTATATATTGATTTTGGTATTCCGCATCAGTTCCGTCTACAATGTTGTCAATTTTCAAATGTAAATCTTGAATGTTGTTCCAGCAAATTTGCAAATTTTTCAGCTCGTATTCCAACTCCCATTTTTCATGGATAGAGTCAATATCAATATTGTCTGTGACTCTACAAAACGCTCTGAAGTTTGTTCTTTGCAAACTTAAATATTCTTGAATTTTTTCCAGGTCTGAAATGAACCTAGTTTTCCGGATTCAAATAGCGCATATTGTTTTTTCAAATACAATTTATTAGCCGCTCACGCGATGAGCTCATCCTACCGGAAAATGGCGGCTATTTGGTTTCGCAAATTAGAAAAGGATTCAGTTTAAATACAAGTTTTTTTCTGCATTGCTAAATAAATACCCTCCGTACTACAACAAAAACATCTCAAATAAAATGCAGTAATACACCGCAAATCCTGCACTTAAAAAGCACTAATGAAATTTTTGGTGTACTTGGGTAAATATGATAATATTCCGTTTGATTGGTTCTAATGTTTACCATGAAATTACTCCTTAAAGTATAGTTTATAAGCATTTATATTCAGGGTAAACTTAAAAAACGCAACTTACGGTATGTTTTCAATAAATAAACACCGACATCACCAGCCCAAACAATAACACGATTGTCGTGACGTATTTTTGAAGTTGTTTATTTTTTTTAAATGATAGACCCAGGCATTGAAAACTTTATGGTTTGCTAGAGTAGTTACCGAAATAGCAATTAGTATTAGCTCTTTTACCTGTTATAACTTCGATATTCGATAAATCGGTATAAAATCATCACCGGCACCTCTAAATGTGGTATGCTTCCAGAGACGCATGAATCGCGTGAGCGGTTATATATTAATAATTAATAAAATAATTGATTGTAACAGCAAAATAACTCACTTACTATAGGATGAAAGCACGTATAAAAACGTGAAGAAAGACCCTACCACCGAGATATTAAAAAAAACAACTAACTTAATATCTAAGCACTCCGATACGCTGAAACTTGATGTAAGTGAGTTTGTACCCTGCTGCGTAAAACCTCCAAAACTATATGGGTTACCAAAAATACATAAGGCTGACACCCCACTCCGTCCCATAGTTAGCCAGATTGACACACCAACCTACAAACTGGCTCAACACATGGCAAAGGTACTGTCACCATTGAGAGGGAACACTTCTACACATGTGAAGGTTAACTGATGATGACACCATAGTCAGTTTTGATGTTCAGTCGCTGTTTATCAACCTACCAGTAAAAGGCTGCATTGAAATTGTACGTGGAAAGCTAAGAGACACATAATATGTCCATTGAATATGCAGAATTATTAGAACACCGCCTTACATTAGACTATCTATTGTGGAATAATGAATTCTACCTACAAATTGACGGTATAGCGATGGGCACCCCGGTATCTCCCGTTATTGCCGATATTTTCATGGAAGACTTTGAGGAGCGAGTTTTACCCATGGCCCCAGCCAGGCCGAAGATTTTCAAACGGTACGTTGATGAAACTTTCACAATATTACCTAAAGATAGCATACCTTCTTTCTTGGACCATCTTAATTCTTTTAGTACTAAGATCCAATTTACTATGGAATAAGAGAATTGTGATACTTTAGCTTTCTTAGATGTTTTAATTAAAAGAAATCCTCATAACACCTTAGGCCATACTGTATTTCGAAAGAAACCCATACAGATAGGTATCTCAATGGTAATTCCCATCACCATCCTAGCAAGTTAGCTAACGTGGGCAAATCTTTGTTTCAGAGAGCACATGGTGTCTGCGACAGTAATCATCTGGCAGGGGAACTTCAGCATATAATGCAAGTCCTACATGCGAATAAGTTGAAGATTCCACGCCAATGCCACAGGTCCCATGTGAAACCACCAACAGTCGAATGAAGACCTGCCATCTTACCTTTCTTGAGAGGTGTTACAGACAAGATAAGAAGAGTCCTCAGGCGTGCATCTATCAAGACCTATTTCAAGCCCCTGAGGAAGATTTCTCAGTTCCTGAGACCCGTGAAATGCAACATCCCCTTACAGGATGCAGGAGTTTACAAGCTTGACTATGAGTGCGGTCTCTCTTATATTGGACAAACAAAGCGTAGTATTTGTATCCGCTTCAAAGAACATATAGGTCATGTCAAACACCGTCGCGTAAACAAGTCTGCAGTCTGCGAGCATATCATGGATAAACCTACACATTCAATGAAGTTTGATAAACCCGAGGTCCTTGCAAAAGAAGTCCGTTATCCACCCAGGATGCTGCGAGAGGCCATTGAAATTAAAAAACATCCTAATTTCAACAGGGAAGATGGTTTCTCCGTACCACCAGTTTGGGATCCAGTATTTCCTCTAATGAAAAATCCCAAACAGACATAAGACTGCAGTATTAATTAATATGTTTTAGTTTATTCTAATTTCTACTATTAATTAATAATAAATTGAACTTAATAAAAATTCATTCAATAAAATACTTTGTAAAACTTAATGTAGCATAAATTGGAATGTTTTCTTTGTAAAATTAAAAATAAGGTATTTAATTAATAACTATTGTAACTATAGTGGAAAAAATAGGGTGGTTTGCATCAATATTAGACATAACTGTTTGAAGACTGTACCACCGCAGTCAATCGTGACCATGGGGCCTGTAAAGGGCCCGAAACGTCGGTTTGTTTGAAAAAACAAATATACGTGATTTAAATCCGGATAAATAGTTTCATTTGATATGTGTAACAATCTTGAAAACCTAAGAACTCGATATTTTTCCAGGTCTTCTTGAGTTTTTTCGTCTTGCTTGTTTCTTCCGTTCGATTTCCCATATTCCATTATCAAATCACGACTCCTTTTATAATATTCTTGATATGCCGTAAACACATCCTTAGTGAAATATTCATGTGTCCTATCATTTTCTGTTTCCAATATTGTGTTGTCGTCTTTAAATTTTTCCCAATCTCCATCCAAGATCTCTAATTTTTTCATAATGTAATCTTCAGTTTTTCTTATATTAGGATCTCTTGTAAAATTGCTATGCAGTTTTTCAAGCTAGAATGAGCATAGATGCTGCAGTAAGCGTAAATCTAATAAATGTTATATCGTGCGGATTTACGTGTGCATATTAAAATAACAAAATTTTAATCATAAAAAATGTACGGTTTCACCCGTACAATAGGCCTAATACTTAAGCCTGTTCATAGTATAACAAGACAAGCAAGGTTCCTACATATAAACGCAGCAATGCGGTCTGTATGTTTGTACATAAGCCAGGCGTCGTGTACGAACGCACACATTCGCATAATCTCGAGGTGCTCGCGCGTTGCATAGCGCGGGTCGTCACACGCTCCATTAATTGAAGCAGATGCTCGGTGTAATTTTTTTATTTATTAAAAACATAACAGAATGTACATGGGTATAATATAATTGTATAGTGTTCCGAAAACCAATTTTGGTTTTTCCGCACAGTGCCACTGCACTCATAAAAAATTACATCAAAATAGTAGGTGTGTTTATTGTTGTATTTGTGGTAGTTTGAACAAGATTGCCTCCAAATTCAGAATTGTACAGCATTTCATTTCTATTTTATAATTGTATTCCATCAAGATACCAATTCGCTATGCCGATATAAAAATATCAATACGCAAGTGCCTACTGCATTTAATAAAATGTATTTCAACAACCACGATACTGTGATAAACACCTTAATTTTTTTAAATTATGTTTATAAGCTGTAAATACAATTAAAATAATAACTTAACAACCCTACGTTCCGAGAGAAGAATAGGCATTTACGCGTCGAACAGGTGGGAGTTGCTCTACTTGTTCCTGTTCGACTTGCAGGTGAGCTTTTCTTCAACGTTAACATGTGGTTATTCGTCACCTAAACATACTATAATAAAACAAGCAGGCAAGTAGTATTGATCAGCATAAAATTCTTGTTAGTTCATCTATATCTTCCTAGCCATCCGGCTAAGAAGATATAGATGAACTAATATAGAATAAACTAGCTCTCCTGTTCGTCACTCCTATGTTACCAATCCTGAATTTCTTGCATTTGTAGAAAATCGATGAACCTCTCCCCACACGCATTTGTGGCAGAGACATGGTTGTGGAAAAGGAGACATTTCGAACCACCTCAGGGGAGTATTGCGTCAAACCCAACCCTAACAAAGCCATGGAAAGATCTGATTGCGCCATCAACTGTAAAAGAGTCATTTTCATGACTGGCGTCGAGAATAGGGTGAGGATCTTTATTCTAAACTTAATAATATAAACTTTCTAATACGGAAAATATCACAAGGCCGAGCGGCTTTAATTCTATTTAAATGACGATGGTGAAGTCAAAAGGAGTATAATGTTTTATATTCATAGGTATATTGGGAGTATACCTATACAACGACCGTCTTTGTTAGCAAAGTATTCATATGGCGGATGTTAGCAGCCAAAATATAGTACACACGCCAGCACATCAAGCTACATATTGACGTATGTTGTTCCGTTGCAATGGAGCCGATTTTCGAACAAAAATGTGTAGTCTGATGTACCGTTGTCCGTACAATACATATTAAGAGTCTGTACTACCTCAGCATCATTTATCATTTTGCTTGGATCGAGAGGCAGGGACATTGGCTTTATTTCAGAATTTATTTTTTTACAAACGAAAATGCAAACATTTGAAAACTGTATGTCGTATAGTACACGTGTCCTATATCATCATCCGTGTGCCCTGTATATTTCTCCAATTTTACTGAATATTTGTTTCTAAGTGATTGATTCAACACTTTCATTGTTATGCGGAAGCAACCAAAGCCATTTGAGGTTGTATCAACTCTTAAGTACCACAGACATGTCGAGCAAAAATTCGAATTAAATAACTCACGATGTGTTGGTTTATCTAATTACGTATATTTTAAACCAGAATATATATATATTATAAATTTAACCAGAATATGTTTTTTTAATTTTTTTTTAATAAGTTTTACCTTATTTTAGCCATTTATTTGGGTAGGCAAAGATTCCACAGCCTCTTCATATATTAGACACCTTTCCTTGTTTTAATTGAAAAGTCTACAATCGCGTTCGATTTTGTCATTAAAAGCCATTTGAGGTTGTATAGACTCTTAAGGCCAAACTAATGTCAGTATTTTGTGCAATGTTAAAAAGGTGAACAGCTTTTTTATTAAGGACCTTTTGGCAGAGGGTTTTGCTATTTCTTCTTGAAATAGGAAGCAAACCGTTTCTAATGGAGTAAATTTTATCGTATTAGATTGTAAAAGGTACTTGTATATTTCAGTTGCTAAGCCAATCGATAGTTCAGCCTACGATGCTATCAGAGATGAAAGACAAGTTTCGTGGTCTAAGGAGATCTCCGTTAGCACCTCCAGAGATTACTGTCAAAGCTCCCGATCCCGAATATATCTATGATGTAAGTGTGTTTGATATGCTTTTCTTATTGTTGATATATGTATATTGATCTGAATTTTCTCTCGCTTTTGCTTTTTTATACTTGCTTTTTATACTTGGAGACAATTTAGAAAGTACAAGGCAACCTGCCGTGTTTTAAATAACTAACTACTTACACTTTGGCACTTAGTGAGAGTTTAGTCACTCCCGAAAAACTTAACGATTTTTACACACTATTTGATTTTAAATTCGGGACTTAATCGTGTGTGAAAACTTATTTACCTCGATGTTTTGGACGTAATGCGACGTTCATGGTCCCTAAGGGACCACGTGTGAGGGATTCGAGATCTTGGATGTTGCAACATGTCGAAAACACGATTAAGTCCCGAATTTAAAAATCATATAAAATTGACGATTTTCGTTGGTGATTTGTGGTAATATCTTACCAGAGTTGACCAGATTATTGGTTGGTGCGTCTTTTAGATAGTAGCATCGGGCAGAAATGAAGTGCCGAGTATCCCGGACACCGCGAGAGGATTCCGTCGACTTTTGGATCCTTACGTGTCATGCTACCGAGCTTATCATAGACCATTTCCAGCCGAGGAACAATACCAATGTAAAGATCAGATTACTTTTTATTCGGAGTTTGATACACCGAGGGTAAGTAACATTGCTGCGATCACAGAACAATAAATACAGTAGAAGTGGTTAGTTGGCGTCAGACGCGTGTCAGCTCAGATAGGTTTCTAAATCCTTCTATCTGAGCTCAGTCCGCCATTTTCGCTTTGTATGGTATGGTTTTGTCATTCCTTCGTGCAAATTGTCTAAAATACTAGAAAAATGCCTTATTGTGCTGTTTGGGTGTGCAAAAATGATAGCCGCACTAAAAATATTATCAGTGTTGGTATTTTATATCATCGGAAAGTCTTATTTTAATAAATTTTCAATTTCCTGTTTATCGAAATAACTTTTTTGTTACAAGAAACGAAAGTAAAGCTTATACCCCTGCAATATGGTGGCTTCTTGTTTGGAGAAGTAAATTAATAACTCCAATTCGTCGTCATTCAGCAATAAACCGCTAGATGGCAACACATTAATGAAATTCCCATAAAATATCAAAACGTAATTTGTAATAAAGATATTGATGGTATTGAAAGTTCAACGATATATCAACAGAGTAAAGTTTAAATTATATTGACAAACCAGAATTTGTTATTTCTTTTTAATTTAGAAACTACGACCAATCAATATCAAGATTTCGTAGTGTTTCAAATTAAAAGAGTTTTGGCAAAATCGTTTCTGATAATAATCGTGGCTTAAGGCACTTCCATTGTTTTTATCTTCCGTGGCTGCGATGAACTTAAGAATTGTATTGAAATTTCTCGGATAATGTTATTATAATAAGGATTGTTATTATCTATAATTTTGGTGTAATTTTAGTAAGCTGTGGGTGATGAAGTACTTTATCCTACTAGGTTCGTGGATTCGGGCCTCGTCACAAAGAGATGTGGATGCCGTTAACAGCGCGCCCTTACCGCCCTGTTTATGACAGGAGTTTCTTGAAGAAAGAGTACCATGAAGTAGCTGCTTGCCATAATCCTGTCAATAATATTAAAGGGTAAGGTTTATATGTTATGAAATAATAATTTGCTTGAGATGACAGATGTTCGCCGTGGCGCCTGAGTGGATATTGCTATCGGTATCCTGAGTTTTTACACGCTTTTACTGTCAAACGCAAATCGAGAAAATATAATGTGTAGTGGCATCCTCTGTAGACCTGACGAGTCTATACTTCATATTGCCCATCTTGAGTTTTCTATCATTCATTTAAACTCTGACCAACCCTAACCATATGTATTTCAAAGCAAGCATGGTATAATTTTTGTAAAAATTGAAACATAGATAACGTGTTTTGCTACTTGCGATATTCCATAAAGACTTTTCTCCACGTGCTCTAAACTTAATTATGTCTTATACCAATACTTGCAGTGCAAAAAACACAAGGCATTGTAATATGAGTGCCTTTTCAATTTAAGGTTTGGTTTAAGGCGTACTTAAGTTTATTGTAAGTGGACATTTATGTCCGAACCATTAAATAATCTGTGACAATATTGACATATTGCATTTTTTATTGATTTATTTAATTTGATCAGTTGTAGCTAGATGATGAATAAAATTTTGACATTTATATGCCATTTAATTGTGAAAGTCAGAATGGCGGCGTTAACGAATGCAGTCCAATTTCGTAAACTGTGCTATTTAGTATATACATAAAAAATAAAAAGGTGTCTGAATAAATTGGCTGCAGCATAAATTGGCTGCAGCCTTTTTTTTAATATCAAGTGACGAACCAGTCGTGCGCCTGATGGTAGGTAAGCTACACGCCTGTCCATAACACTTGCAGTGCCACTCGCGCTGTAAATCGCAAAGATCTGAGGGGCACTGCCACTGCGCCTGTCACCCTGAGACATAAATTGACAAATCCCATGCGCCTGTAATTTCACCAGCTCCCTGACCCTTCTAAGCCGGAATGCAGTAATGCTAACTTTACTGCTTGGCGGTAGAAATAGGTAGGGTGGCAGTACTTCCCTGAACGAACTCTTTCATAAGGAACTCTACTGCTGCTAAATTTGATGAGGAAACTTAAGTATGACATAGCCTTGTGGTCGTGCTCTACCCGCTCACACCTATAGCCAGGAATATTATTTTATAAACCGACTTCAAAAGGAGGAGGTTCCCAAATCGGCAGTATATGTATGTTACGCGATAACATTTGTGGACCGATTTCGATGATTAAAGGGGTACCCCAGTACCCATTCAAATTTAAAGGATTGTTCCACTTGTAAAGGTGGCAAATTAGGGGAATTAGAGTTTTATTGAATTTCGCCTACTTTCCGTTGACAGATCTCAATGAAACTTGGAAAATAGGTATAATTACATAAACTTTATAGGTCGAGTCTTTTTATAAAAAAGTTAATTGTAGATTTACAATGAATACCAAAAGTTTTAGTTTCTTTTTGCTTCAATGCAATTTTATCTGGAACATTAATTCTTTAGAAACAAGAATTATAGTTCTATTTTAAGTTTATTAAGTTAGCTCTAATTTTAATGCCTATGAGTGTAATTAAAAAATATTAGAAAAATTGTAAAACTGTTGTCGACAGTTAAATTTATATTTACGTAAAATTATTTTAACATAAACTGTGGTAGCATAATGGTTTGACCTACTGCCCCCGAAGCAGAGACCGTGGGTTCGAATCCAGGCACACTCTCGTGATGAAACCTGCACGTCGAAGAAGGTTCACAACCCTCAGAAAACGTGTGACCGCATTGGACCAGCGTGGCGGACTATTATAGCCTTAAACCTCGCTTGAGAGGGGACCCGTGTCCAGAAGCGGGACATATACAAATGGGTTGATAACGACTATTGTAACACCACTTAAGCCGTATTTGACTTACTAAGATTTCTACTATTGTTCCTTCCAGAATATTTGAATCAGAAATGAAGAAGAAGTACCAGCATCCATACTCGAAGACCGCACTCGCAAGCTGGAGCCATGGGGAAATGTTCCACTTAGCACCATTCCCACCCAATCCATACCAGACCAACATGGCACCGTTCATGTATTGCAGTGACTATTGTCATATTGGCCAAGGTACTCGGCCATGTTGTGTGGTAGACTCTTTTGCACAGGCACTGAAGCCCCACAAGGAGTGCGTCGAGAAGTACAGAGTTTCAAAAGATTAGCGTCTTGGTTTTTAAATTATTTATCTGTATATTTATAGTCATTTTATTTCACCGTTTTCTCGTGGTCTCATTAATTTGTCCCACTAGTGAGACCACTAGGGAGACTTCTTTCTCATATTTGTACATACATTTCCCTGTACATACGTATATAAATAACAAAAAGGTCAAAATTTTCAAGTAGTTTCTCTTTAACCCTTAATATTAAGGACACAGACAAACAACGACTGCTTAAGAGATATTCGAGGCATTAAAGTTCTTTTCCACCGGCGAGACGAGACGAGACGAAACGAGGCGAGGCGAGAATTGAAATCTCGCCGACCTATTTTCATCAAAAATTGCCATCGTGAGCACTCGCGATCTCATGCTAGGGTTATGGATAGTGAACACACAGTGCTGTTCAATTCGTCAAGTCATAAACACGCGGCTAATGTACATGGGCTAAAATACTAATCGTATACATTTTAATGCAATTATAAATATATAATATGCATTGTATAAATATTTACGAAAATTATATGAATACATATATGGCAATATATATAATATATATGGCAATACACCAGGACTATATATGTTTTTCATTGACTGTAGTCTATTCATTTTTCTCTGAAATAAAAGTATACCTTTTTTAAAATTGTGTGATTACATATTTTTGACAACAGCACTAGGTACATTTTTTGAAATATCTAATATTTACATAATTTAGAAAATGTATGAACGTTTACATTTCAATGCACGCGACTTTATCCCACAAACTCGCGATTTACATTAATATGCTTGCGCGATATCGTGCGAGACGTTGTGAATCGTGTTTCCGTTGCAGAGTTAATATGTAGGCAGCAATACGGTTCAATGTTACATCAACAAATATTTCAAATCTCATACCGCTTATCCTCGTCGATCCCGACTATTTCTGCCCAAGATGCGCTAGGAGAGAATTGATATTTTGCAATCCAAGTTTCAAAGATATTCCCGCCTCGTCTCGTCTCGCCTCGCCGGTGGAAATTCACCCTTATATACTGTTTATCTTATATAATTATACTGTTTATTTTCTGATTAATAAAAATATGTAAGAAAGACAGCTGCGTTTCTGTAGGAAATTAGACATTCCGACAGTTCTAGTTATGTTTGGTATAGTCCGGTTCAATCCATTTTACGGTAAACGGTAAACAAACCGGCTGAGTTAGTGAGCACCTATGAAGCACCCACTCAATGAATGGAATAAGTAACACTTTCTCGTATATTTTGGAGGTATTTGTTCTAACAGTAATAGTTTGAATAGCCTGTTAAAATCTGGCCATTAGCACCTTATTTGAAAAATGCAAGTCAGCGTGGATTTCGGTTAGTCAAAGTCAAAGTCAAAGATTATTTATTCCATAGGTAAAATAAATTTACACTTGAAAACGTCACATTTAAGCTACTGCTCGTTACTACTCGTGTTACTACTTAATGTAGTTCATTTCGCAATTTTTTTTAGTCATAACGCCACAGTGCATACCATAGATTTAGTATATAATAATAACGCACACACTCAAGATAGCCCCGCACTAGGGAAACCCTGTGTCGCGGGTGCCATGGACACACACATAGACAACCACAAATTACACCCAAACTCACGAAATAATAATTGCAGGCCATACAAATATTTCTCCCGGCCCGGGAATCGAACCTGGGACCTCTGCGTGGCAGTCCGGCATGGTAACCGTTCGGCCACGGAGGCAGTTAATATATAGGTACCCATAGATTGGCAATGCAAGTGAAAAATGTGAAATAGTGTTAAACGGACGTTTATTAGTCATGGTAACGTGTTCAGTGCCCGGGTGTAACTCATATAAAAAGGAAAACTCGCAGATTGTACATTTCACGTGTAAGTACTATTTAAATTTTTAGCTGTCTAAAAGCACTACCACAAAAGATTTTTACATAAATATATCCGTAAAATTATACCATTTAAGTGCATTAATAACCCAAATGTATACGAATTCAATTAAAAAATATATCAAATACGTGAATTTCTGATATTCAAAACCCCATTTTCATAGAGATCGACGCAATCGATAATATGTTATCGAGATGTCATTAACTGAAAGAAAAAATCGAAATCATCTTCATACTTAATATTATTGAATCAGAAATTTCTGGTTTTAGTACTTTATATTTGATTACTACTGCATTAGTGCATTATTTTTTGTCTACATTAAAACGAAAATTTCTTTTAATAGCGTAGTTGAGGCACCCATTTTTTCATGTTAATTATTGTTGTTGATTCAGATTTCCTCAAAACATTGAAGTACGACAGTAATGGCTTATAATGCTAAAGAGAGTAGACTGGGTTCCCAAAAAGTTTTCAAAAATATGCAGCAAACACTTTGAGGAAAAATGCTTTTCCTTTAGAGGCAAGCAAAAAGTAAAGCTACGTTCTACACGCAAAATAGGCGCTTTGTCGTCGAGTTGCGGATACCAGCCCGTTGCACCAAGTACCAAGTACCAAAGCTACGTTCTGGTTCTGTACTCACATTATTCATGCATGTATGTCTTACAATTAATGGATTTTTGTGTAGTACTACCCTTTTAATTGTTACAGTTCTGTTCTGTTCCGAAATACGATACTCATATAGGATCACTTGTGTGTTCATTTGTCCGTCTGTCACAGCCTTTTTACTCCAAACTTACTGGACTGATTATTTTGAAATTTGGTACACACATGCATTTGTTTAACCAAAACGTGTAACGTAAATAAATTAATTCTGAATTTGAAGTCACTATTGGGAGGGAAAGTTCTCAAGTATATATTTTTTGTAATTTTGAAACAAATATTTTTAAGTTGTTTAAGAAAATAGATGAAAATTGATCATTCTCCCCTTTATCTTCGAAACTACTGAGCCTAAAGTTTTGAAAAAAATACAGACACTGTATTTAAATCTCTCACTATTGTGCGAATAAACCTATATTTGCTGTTGGAATCCGGTGTAATATGTTAATCGATATTAAAGTTAAATCAGTGGATGGCGCAACACTATTTATCTTACCCACATGCACATTATACGCACACAGATGTATTTTTGTTTTGGTCTCGTCTCCAATACTAGGACAGGGCCAATCTATGGATATACTAAATCTATGGTGCATACTGTGATGTTAGACATTTAATAATTCTGAATAAATCAATAAATAAATATATCTTAAAATTGGGATCCTCGGCCTACGCTAAGTTCGCCATTTTTCTTATCTGTCGACCCGTTGATTTGTAATTGGCAGTACATATGACGCACTATAAGTTTCCGGAACTGGCCACCTACATAAACTATATTAAAAAGTAATTACAATATTTGAAAATAGACTTCTTTGGCTGTAGAATACAGTTTGTTTCATCTGACTGTCACTTGTTTTTACATTGTGATGTCATTTTAGAAATAATGAAAATGTTCATAGTATGATTTTCTGCGACTTTAAGTGTAATTTAACAGCTCAGCGTAGCTTTGCTCGGCTTCAAACTGCTTTTGGCGATGAAGCACCATGCAAGACGAGTATTTATAGCTGGTTTGCAAAGTTCACACGCGGTCGTATGAATCTCATTGGCGAATTTCGTGATGGTCTGCTGTGAACAAAAACATCGATGCTGTGCGCCATAGGATCAAAACAGACAGGCATGTGACATACCATGAGATTCGGGCATCTTTAGGCGTAGGTATGAGTCAAATACAATCAATACTACACAAACATTGGGTGTGAAAAAGCTGTGCTCTCAGTAGATCCCACACAATTTGACTGAGGCTCAAAAAATGGATCGCGTCACTTAGTGCAATGGCATGCTTACTAGATTTAACGAAGAGGCGTCAAATATGGTGTGGGACATAGTAACAGGTGACACATGAAACATGGACTTGTAGTTACGATACCAAAACAAAGCAGCAATCGAGCGTATGGGTCTTTCGAGATGAGACGAAACCAACCAAAGTGGCGCGCGTGGAAAGTGACTCTAAGCGGATGATTGATTATTTTTTTAATAAAACTAGACACGTGGCTACTGTTGCTTTGGAGAATCGTTGTACCGTGACTAGTGATTGGTACACGACCATTTGTTTGCCGGAAGTTATTGCCAAACTCCGTAAAAATAATCGTAAACGCCGTAACATCTTGCACCACGATAATGCCAGTTCTCACACGGCCAGACAGACAAATGAATTTTTGAAGGTGAACAACGTTGACCTTGTAAGCCATTCCGCGTACAGTCTCGACCTGGCGCCTTGTGACTTTTATTTATTTTCAAAAATTAAGAACCAGTTAACGATTGGTCAACGATTTTCATCAATTGAAGAGAGAGTCGAAAAGTATGAAAAATTTCAGAGATTGTCACGGAGGAGTGGCATAAATGTTTTTAAAATTGGTTCATTCCTATGAAAAAGTGCATTAACGCTAACGGAAAATATTTTGAGAAACAATAAATACATTTCTGACCATTTATAGTATTTTGTTCTTATTCATTCCGGAAACTTATAGTGCACCCCACGTATAATAGCTATCACCAAGGCCCGGCGCCCACTGACGGGACGGCACGGCATCCTTCGGCATCCCTACATGCAAGCGCACACTGACGGCAATTATGCCGCAGTGTCCTTAAGTGTGTCGCGGTATCCCCACGTAAAACGCAACATTTTTAAGCATATCAAAGCATCCTTAGGCATGCCGCAGCATTTGGTCGCGCCATCGTGCTCGCGTGTAGACTCTTCAGATCTGTGTTTCTCCTGCATACCCATATAGTTGTATTCGGCATTCCGAAGCCTGCCGAAGCACCGCCCAAAAGCTGCTGAAGCATTCCCAAGGTTGCCAAAGCACCCCAAGACTGCCGAAGTATCCTTATTACCACCGAGACATTCCGGAGGCCGCAGACTCGGTATCCCTAAGTATGCTGCAGTTGTTTTTAGAACTAAGGCCATTATAATTGAATTTCAAATATAATGCCACAATTTTAAGGTATATTACCTTTCGAAAATCTTCTGCCAAGCTGTTCCACCTGTGGGCGACGGGTTTAAAATGTCAATTATATTTGTTTACCTTGTAAAATGAATTGAAATGAACTATATATAAATAAAACAACGTAACGATTTAATATACTGTTTATGTTTTTATTAATAAATGTTAATATAAAATATTCACTTAGTTCCATTTTTTGGTCAATTGTTTGGTAAAGATCTTTTAGAAGTCTTTGTCAGAGAGTAAATAAATGTTGCCTAACTGAAAGTAAAAAAAGGATATAATGGAATTTAACTATCACACATAATTCATTTCGTGTTTTTTTGAATAAGCTATACAAAGGTACTATACTTTAATGTTTTAAGCTGTATTTGCATGATGAAAAAACACATCAACTTGCATAAGTTGCAGGTGTGTAATACCCTTATAATTTTGTAGATACTGAGCAAGACTACGGTACATTTGAGAGTAAACTTGATAATTTTAGTTTTGGAGATATATGGCCTGATTTGATATCGTCAGTGGAAGTAAATCTTTCGAACCATGTGTGTCTCATTACCATCTGCATTTCTAATTTATTATCCTCTTGTTCTTCTTCATTTAGTTCTGGTCATCAGCGTCACTTAGTTGTGTGATATCGATGCTCATTATATGAAATTATCAGCATCATCCTCACATTTACATGGATTGGGGCAGCATTCATTATCTTCATCAATTTTCTAATTTGTTTTTTCTCGTTTTTCTTTTTTTTTTTTGTTCATTTTCTACTTCCTCAAACATCATCTTCATCAATTTCTTTATTTGTTTTTCTCTCGTTTTTATTTATTTTCTACTTTCTCATCGTCTTCATCAATTTACTGCAGGGGCGTAGCGTCAATTCCTACTGCTCGGGGCCAACCTTAACTTTGCTTCCCCCTCTACTTTCACGATTACAAGAGTAGTTAGTTCGGGCAGGCTCGCCGTCGCCATCTCTGTGTTGTTCAGGATATCGTTTTCTCAAATGGCGGAATTTATTTTCTAATTTTAAGTAAAAAAATAATGTTGACTAGTCAGGGCTAGGCCGCACTCGCTGCCGCCTCCATTGCTGTGACGCCCGGAGCCATGGCCTCCTCTGCACCCCCCACGCTACACAACTAATTTACCGATGTTTCTGTGTAATCTAAAAAAAATTTTAACAATGTTTAGATACTTTTACATTTACCTAGTTCTCACAACCCTTATACAATTAGCGAAAATCAACATTATGTGAAACAATTTAAGTTTAATAACAAAGATTTGAGATGATCTTTGAACGTGTCGTTAAAATGAAATGTTTTTGTTGTTTGCACATAGAGCATGGAGCGATTCATGCTCGCTCGGCATCAAAGTATAGATCGAGTTCCGAAATCCGTAGACGAACTAAGGTCCAGGCTTTAGGAGATCGGATAATGAGTTTACAATGGAGCTGGGCGGGACATGTTGCGAGACGTGGTGAACACAGGTGAGTAAGGCGATAATCGAATGGTGGCCAAGAAATAGACAGAATCGTGAGACGACTTGTAGCGATATGGGTGGACGACATTGTCAACGTTGCGGGTAATAGATGGGTGAGATTAGCACATGATCGTGGTGGACGGCACAGGCTACGGGAGGCCTGTACCCAGCAGTGGGTGAAGTCGAGCTGTGGATGATTATGATGATGATAATGTATATGGTGTTCTATTTAGTTCAGTTGATGTTAAAAAATCATTGGTATATGTATAGTACCTATTAAATGCAGCGGTTTTCTTGTAAAATTTTTCGACTTGCGTTTGTGTTCCTTTTCTATAGTGAAAATGTTTAGGAATTATGTTTTCACACCGTCAGTGTACATCCTCAATTTTTTTATATATTTTTTTTCAAAGTGATTGATTCTACACTTTCACTGATATGCGGGATCAACCAAAGCCATTTCAGGTAGTATAGACTCCTAATCGTGAAACACACAGAGTGCGAGTGCGGGTTGAGCGCGAGTCGGGTCGACATGGACGACAACACATCGAGCGCGGGCGCGAGATGGGCGGACGCGCCCGCGCTTTTTTTGCTTTGTCGTCCATATACAAACACAGAATTAGATCCGCTGCGGCCCCGACCCGACCCGTACACGCTCTCGGTGTGTTTCACGCTGTATTAACTACTTCTACGGCTTAAATGAAGTATACTTTTCTTTATTTACTTACTTCCTTTTTTATGTAACTCGTTGTAATAAGCTCAGCAAGATAAAGTCACGAATTCATAATGTTTTCACACTCATCAAAGTCGTCACATTTACACCATTCGCCATTTTCATCAAGGATTCTTCGAGAGTTTTGTTTCGCTACAGTTTTTGTTTTGTCTGTATTCTCTATTTTAGTTATTATTCTTTCATCAACTTGCGTTGAAGACGTCACGTTTTCCCTTGTTATCTGGACAATATTGGAGGAAACAAAAAATATGAAAATAACTAATACCTTATTTTTTAAATATGAAGTTGGCAATGAGTTTAACAAAATTGCAGTGGACGAGAGCTATTGCTCGCCGCCGCCACTTGTTCTCGCTCCCATTCTGAGTGACCGGGCTCTCAGGGTTTAGTAGACGCTCATGATTAAGGACCAGGACCAGACGCACGACTTCTTAGTCCGTCGCTTGGCATCATATAAAAAAAACTGGACTGGTTCGAAGCACGTCGAGCAAAAATTCAACTTAAATAAGTGAGTTATAATATAGTTTATTAACTAAAGAAAACCCTTATATAAAAAAGATCTATCCTATTCTACACACATACTGCGTTATTTCTACAAACACCAAGCTACGAAATGAAGGCTCGATGCGCGATCCATACGTATCCAAATATTTCGTACCCTCGGTGTAGTATAGCTACATGTGATCATACGTCAGTAGTACTTTCATAGAACTTTTTTATTAAAAAAAAGCCGACCTAAAAATTGCTTATCGCCTTAACGCCAAGTTATACTGAAATCGGTTAACGGAAAGTAAGCGAAACCGGATTCATCCCCTAGTTTTCCACCTTTAGAGGTGGAACATTTTCTTCAAATTTAAATGGGACCAACACTGAAGTACCCTCTTTCCCAACAAAAAAGAATCGTAAAAATCGGTTCACAATTGCCGGAGAACTCGCGTAACATAACAAAAAAAAAATGCAGTCGAATTGGGAATCGTTTTACAAATAGTTGAAGTGCCTAAGTGAATAAATTAGCAAATATACCTGTAAGAGAAACATGACGTTTCTTTCCTACCTACGACGTATTTCGCATCGAAATTTGGTTATGGTCGCAATTATAACCTAACCTAACCGAGGCGAAGTACCAGTTGTATAAGATTATTTTTATACGTGTTTTCGAGCCTGATACCCCTCGCTGCGCTCGTCATTGTACCTAAATAACACTAGGATTATATTTATTATATTTCGTCGCTTCATCCTCGATATAATATTTAACCAGGTAGTTTCCTTAACTTGCTAGACAACACCACACGGTTTATGAGAAAAAAAAAAGTTTTGACATTTACACTCCCTACCAGGCATCAACAGCCATTTCTATCCTCATTGCTTTTTCGTGTGTGGCAACATACACACCTCCACAGCTCCGTTAAAATGTCTAAGCGAACCAACTTAGAAATAATAGAACATTATAAAAGTAAACTGAAATACTTGGAAAATACAGATGCCAAACGTCGTCGGCGTTATATGATCATAATATCATCGGACGAGTCGGACATTGATCAAGGTAAGATTTTTTCTTACGCTCATAAATAATGAAAATATAAAATAAAAATATTCATTTTTAACATATAGCACTACTTGCTACTTCCGCAATTATAATAAATGTTCGCTTTCATACATCGCAAATATGAATCTAACCTACATTTAATAAAACATCGGGTTAACTGCGAGTTATCCCCGATAACCAAATCGAACATGGGTGGATGAAAATACGAACAGATATACTAATATGTATTTTACATGATTTATAATAAAACTGTCTCGTAGTTAACCACGAGTTAAACACGATAATAAAATCGAATGCGGGTTGAATTTAATTCAGTATTAGTACCTACGTGCCAATAAGTAACGTATATTTTTTAAATTAAACTACGTCGGAGTTAACTGCGAGTTAACCACGATAACGAAATCGACTGCGAGTCGATTTTAATTTGAACAATATTAATACCTACGTACTAATAAGTTTTATATTAAAAAGAAAAAAAAATTTTTAAATAAATTTACGTCGGGGTTAACCACGATAACGAAAGCGACTGCGAGTCGATTTTATGTAAATAAAATTATGTCAGGGTTAACAGTGAGTTAACCGCGATAATGAAATTGACTACGAGCCGATTTTAGTAATTATATTATTCTATTTATTATATTTAAAATAAAATTAAGTTGGGGTTAAAGCGAGTTATTTCAGTTATTTCAATTGAAATATAATATAAAATAAAATAATACCACACACGTGCAATTAATATGTGTTAACGAAACACGCCGTGGTTAAAACTCAATTACCTATCTAATACAATTCTAAAGAAGATCGTTAATGGTTTTAGGCTACAGCCACCTGCAAAACCAAAATGCAGCTTCGCCAGCAATACCATTATGTAAACAGGTACCAACACCAGTCTGTAATACCCGGCATTAGTTTATCGCCAGACGATAATAGAAAAAATTGCATATCACAATTAAAAACTTAACTGACTTGGGAGCAATCACAAAGTGTTGTCCTAGAAAACATTAATACATTTCTAGTACTTTTTTAGCCCCAAAACGCAACGGTAGTAGTCGTTTCATATTGAACATAACGTTCTTTAACAAATTTGTAACACAAACGGAGGACTATATATTTAAAATGGAGGACTATCGAATTCCCTCAAAATTGATACCTCGCATTGAAAGAGGTGTATTTACTGACATCTATCTGCGAAGCAGACCGAAAGTACCACAGATTTCAGTATTTACCTTGTGGTTCAAATGAAATTGAAATCTATGAATTTACTGCTCTGACATACGACTTGTCCACAGCATCGAAAGTGTTTACCAAAATCATGAAAGAAGTTGTAACACATTTGAGACAACAAGGATTTAAGTACGTGGTATATTTAGACAATATTTGTTGTATAGCAGTTGATTATGACGATGCATCAATAATGTTAATGCAACCATTAACTTATTGCAATGTTAGGATTCATCGTTAATTACGGCAAGTCTGTGTTACAACCATGTCAAGTTTGTAAATTTCTAAGATTCAATTTTGATTCATGAAATTTAAGTATAAATTTACCTTTAGAAAAACGTCAAAAAATTTACCACTTACCTACTTTAAAAAATAATGAGGTTACCCCAATGTACCATACGGGAGTACGCTCAATTGATTGGTGTTCTCATCTCAGCTTACCCAGCCACTAAATACGGTTGGTTATATACAAAATTACTGGAATTTCAGAAATTTCTAAGTCTTCAATAACATGACGGTAACTATGAAACAACATCAACATTTATTTTCCAGATATAATTCTAAGTGATTTGGTGGACAGATAATATTTACTCGACTTCATCGTATATGAGAACCTCAAATTTTAAATTTGAGTTTATACCGATGCGCCGCGCACCGGTTGGGATTCCGGTATGTGGCGCGAGTAGCACAGGAGGCCAACGGAAGGCTGTTGAAAAGAAGCACCATATCAATTACTAAGAATTGCAGTAATATTATATTAGTATAATCTGATTGTGTTATATTGTTGCGAGTACGCAATACTACGGCGATCAGTTACATAAATCGCAAGGGTGGGATCCAATACCCCCACCTTAACGATTTAAGTAAACCAATTTGGCAGTGGTGCGAAAATCGCAACATAATTTTGTATGCATATGTGCATATTATCTAAATACAAAAGATAATCGCGCCGATATAGAAACCAGGACGACTAATCCCGACACCGAGTGGGAGTTGTCCTCTCGCGCCTTCCAGAATATTGTCAGACGTTTCGGACAACCCGAAATTGATCTTTTTGCATCCCTTCGCCTCCCGCGGAGTCTCACAAGAGGCGATGACTTTTTTGAATTAAAATATAATTAGATAATATAATGTATTCCTAAAGCTCTGGTGGGAATTTTGCAATAATAACAGTCTGCTTTATCTATTTTATAGTCTGAAACAGGCTCAGACGCCCGCATAAAAAGGATTACTTAAGGGCGCATTTAGATTGAAACCTAGTGCAGCAAAGTATAACAATACTTGGAATGCCCAAGTCGTTATAGCATTAGTTTCAACGCGGTTTCCCAACACAGAACTTCCTCTTCAAAAACTTATGAAAAAACATGTTATTTTACTTGCACTTTGTACTGCACATCGCGTGCAAAATGGCATTGATTAAAATGAAAAACATACAAATATCAGATATTCCGATTCAAATTGCAATACCTGATTTAATCAACGTCTGCGCGTGGTCTCGTACAGCGCACATTAAATTTTCCATATTTCACAGAGGATCCCAGCCTTATCGCAGTTTTCAAACATTATATTTTGATAACACAAAATAAGACAACTGGACGTCAGGGAACGCTCTTGATGACACACAGAGCTCCCTACAGAGTAGCCACGAGCCAGACCGTGAGCCGTGTACGGCAGGTGTTGGATGCGGCGCGTCGAATGTGGACACAGCAGTTTTCGGCGCGTATAGCACGCGGTACGCCTCCACGCCGGCCGCGGGCGCGGCTGAGGTGCCAATAGAGCTCATACGCAAGGCTTCGAGTTGGAACGTACGTTCGCAAGAACGATTTGCTTACAACATAATCAAACGGCTAATTTTACTATTCTAAATTAATAATAATAATAATCTTTATTTATAAAATTATTATATGATTGTACGATTTAAAAATTGTTATGATTGTGATCTCAGGAGAAGAACCATTATATGTTCATATCTATATATATTTTTAATGAAAATATAATATTGTTATTTTAGATTTAGATTAGATTAAGGCTCTGGTTTTTAATTTACATAAAATCAACTAGAAGCAAAACTGAATATTCTAAAACTCTACCTGGTTAAATATTATATCGAGAATGAAGCGACGAAATATAACAGATGATCAAACGAACTTCTTGAAGTGATGTTCGATCACTATTATGTGAGTCGCTTCATTCGAAGATATAATCAACATCCTTTGACATCGTCATATCAGAAGTAAAGATTTTGAAAGTTCCAAACAAGTTTTGCTTCCCACTCTAAAAGGAATGAGGATAGAAAATGGCGGTTGATGCCTGGTAGGGAGTGTCAACGTCAAAACATTATTTTTCTCCCTAAAAACCTTGCGGTCTTGCCTAGAAACTACCTGGTTAAATATTATATCTTCGAATGAAGCGACTCACATAATAGTGATCGAACTTCATTTCAACAAGTTCGTTTGATCATCTATAATACATTATACTCAGTGAATGTTATACCTATCTGAAATGTTTATATAAAATGTACATTATGCCATCGGTATATTAGATTGAAATTTGTTACATCAATCGTCTATTATACCCAATGAGGTTTATATCATGCAAGAATGTGTCAAATGTCTGTACACCATTATATCCGTTGAGCGTTATATTGACCAAAAATATGTCATTTATTGTTATATCTTACGAACCGCACATTACCGAAATGGGTAAGGTGGGGCTTACCCATTTCTCGCCAAAAATGTGAGCCTTACTACATTTCGGTTTTGAACTTATCAACTTACATTTTGTACACCTCCAACGTCAAAATTGTACTATCGAAACTGCGTTCCGCGGATGCCCGCGCCGAAGCACGCGACGTGCACCCGGGCGGGCACCAGACGCGTGGCCCGTAACGCACTGCACGCACGGGGGCCCGCGTAACGCAGTTTCAGCCCTTATGTCTCAGGGCGAAGGGCGCAGTGGCAGTGCCCCTTCAAAACGCTGAGATCTTTGCGATATAAAGCTTTGAGTGGCACTGCAACTGTTATGGACAGGCGTGTTATTTAACACCAGGCACACTACTTGTTCGTCCTGTCACTTGATATTATAAAAAATAGAATTTAAAAATAGATTAGGTAGGCTTGATGGTAGCTTAGTTGTCGGGAGTGCCGCTCCTTCTTTCGCCAATAGATGTAGCCACAGACATATTCCTAGATAGACGCCGCAAATGTACGTACTTTGCATGCCCAAAGTAAGTGAAATTCACTTACTTGCCGCTGTTACGCGAAAACGCGAAAAATGCATAATTGTGCCATTACAAACTGCAAAAATACCATAACTGTGGGTAAACGAGTAAACAGGGACGTTTCCTTCCACGGACAAGTGATTTTGTAATCAGGAGATGCATAATTCATTAAAAAAAATTTATTGTAGGCTTTGTACGAATTTCGAGAAAACAAATATGCAACAGAGTGTATGTTTTGTAATACATTACGACTTTTATTGGTGCGATATATTTGTGATCCTTTGTTAATACGCCATGAATATCGAATGAACGCACTTTTGCATAGTGCATTCAGTTTCGTGGTACGGTCGCTTGTACATTTCTTTGGTCAAATTTAACATTTAGTGATGTATACGTTAGGCAACACTGTTCTCGATTCTGATCGATTTTGAAAACAAAGGGACGGAAATTATTATGATCTTAGCAATATTATAAAAATATTCTATAACTCTTTTGTTATAACGTTTAGTAACGTTTCGTTTTTTTTTTTTTTCAGTTTTGTAGTGTCTGTAATTTCGATAATTGTTCCAGCGAAATTACAGACACGTTGCCTCGAATGTCCGAATATAGTGAGCAAATAATTACATACATCGCCGGATATGTAGTATGAGTAATACAAAAAAAATATAACAATGCAAAGAATTAACACTGTCTTTTCAAAAACCTGGAGTTGGTCATATGTATGAGTTCGTTGCTTTCGAGGATGAAGGTGGTGTAGTTTCTTCTACCTAAGATGCTATCCAAATATGCAGAGTAGCAGAGTTAGAAATCCGAGAAATAATAAGCAAATCACAAAAATTTCACACGAGGCTGTCATTCTGATTAATAAGATTTTACCATATTTTGTCAGCAGTAACATTTTCATTTTTTTTAATTTATTCAATTTCAAACAAATTTTATAAAAAATGTTTAATAATTTGTCTTGGCATTCGTCAATTTGATCAATTACCAACAGAAAACCATCTAGTAAAATTAATTAAAGCAGTCGAAAGTTCATATATTGACGTGTGTAATCATTATTTAAGTTAATCGATAAGATCGTCTATTACAAAAAGATGTTATATAATTAGCTCATTTTATTGGAAGGACTTATTAATTTCAATATTTGAAGTCAATTAAAAAATTAAGTCTTAATTTCTTTAAGTAATCAACATTTTCTAAAAACAAGTAAAATAAAGGACTTAACTATCTTTTCTAGTATTTTTCTACTATATTATTATTACGACTACTTGCAATCAACAAATACTTGAACAAAAATTATTCTATTTAGAATCGATTAATTGAATGGAATGGAATGGAAGGAGGTTTCCATCATTAAATAGCTCTTGAGACGTTATAGTGGGTACAAAAAATGTGGCACGCTTGGTTTTCATACAAATTGCTGTACTTGCGGCGTCAATCTAGATATATGTCTGTGGACGTAGCTAATAATTTTCACGGAATTAGGTTATTTACACAGTTCTGTATCAGAATTTCATGTTTTAGTGATGTAAATTATTAAATCTAATATTGTAGGGTACTTAATTATTATGTTTTCATTTAAGAAACCTTGAACTTTTACCTTAGGCATTTGTACAAAGCAGCTCTCGCATTTCGGCAAGTAACACTCGCAGTCCTTTCGCGGTGCCTGAGTACAATACAAAGTGTCTAGGTATAAATTTTATATGTAATGTAATTTTGTCATATTCTAATTCAATAATAATGAGATTTGTTGTCTTTAATTTACTTATTTTGTCGTTAAAGACCAAATATAAAAGCACATAGAAAAATGCGTAAGGTTCGCCAGTTGGTTCCGTGGCTTTACGGCGTTTACGGGAAGTATTGATATGATTGATACTGATTAGAGATTTTGAACACCGTTCTGAGGCCTCAAACCCTCACCCCACCCTGACGTGTCGCAACTCTCAAATGGTATAGAAAACCTTGTTTAAAAGCTGAATTACCAGGCATCAATTAGAAGTTGTCTTACTATTTTAAAGTAAAGAAATGAGCCTTTGGGTACAAGAAAATACATTCAGCGTATCGCTTATTTTACACCCAGGACTTTTGTCGATGTAATTTGTTAGGGCCCATTTATTCGACACGAATTTCATCGCGCGGGGTGAGCACGATCGCACCGCGTGTCGCGCCGCGCAAAAATTTTCTCCTCGTGTAGCTGGGGATTCATCAGGCCCCTTTAAAAAAATGTGTCTTCAAATTTATCACATACTACTATTTTCGTGCAATTTTCTTATATCCACCGATCACTTCGTGGAATTCGCATCGAACCGCAAGTGACAACACGGCACGCGTTCAATTCGTCAGTGCGACACCTCAACAACGGTTACTTTTTTGTCTCTGCTCAAAGGTAAGAAATTGTGTTGCGATCAGTCATGCCAGGTCAAGCTGCAACAATGTGAGGAAATAATAAAAGACTAAAGAGAGGAAAATGTCTAATAGAAAAAGTATAAAAATATTAATTAATATTAAAAGTAATAGTTGACGTGTTAGGACAATTGCTAAAAGAAAGTGTTGTTGTTTTTCCAGGCACATTATTAGTAGTCTGCTGAACTTCCGATGATGTGTTTGAATGTCTATCTATTACTGTATTTTCGTTATTGCTCTTTTCACTAGCTCTTATTTTCGCGACCAAAATACAAAAAAGACGAAAAAAATAAAAGAATACCAAAAGACTTTAATATAAATGTTACCGCCTTAGAATAATAACGCATAGAATGATAGTTTCATATCAAACGAACTGTCACAAGTGAGGCACAAAACCAAATTCATGTAGGCGTAAGCAACTTGTAACTACGCTCGTCGGCACGCACACAAATATACAAATAATGATGCCATGGAATAACATTTCCCTCAAAAGTGGGGAAATTGTATCTTGCTTAACTCATCATTAAGTTAAAGGTGCCTACAGATTTGCCCGACATTGTCGATCAGGTGCCTACAGATATGCTCGGTTTTGTCGATGAAAAACGAATATAGCACTTATTTGTAAATCCAAGATGGCGGACACGATTTTTCAAAATATGCTATATGGGTATCCTTTTCGAGGTATTTGGGGATGCTCATTACGAATATGGCACTCATTTCTAAATCCAAGATGGCGGACACGAGTTTTGAAATAAATGCAATATGGGTATCATTTTCGAGGTACTTGGGGGTGCTCATTACGAATATGGCACTCATTTCTACATCCAAGATGGCGGGCACGATTTTTCAAAAAAATGCAATATGGGTATCATTTTCGAGGTACTTGGGGGTGCTCATTACGAATATGGCACTCATTTCTAAATCCAAGATGGCGGGCACGATTTTTTCAAAAAAATGCAATATGGGTATCATTTTCGAGGTATTTGGGGATGCTCATTACGAATATGGCACTCATTTCTAAATCCAAGATGGCGGACACGAGTTTTCAAATAAATGCAATATGGGTATCATTTTCGAGGTACTTGGGGGTGCTCATTACGAATATGGCACTCATTTGTAAATCCAAGATGGCGGGCACGATTTTTTCAAAAAAATGCTATGTGGGTATCATTTTCGAGGTATTTGGGGATGCACAATGCGAATATGGCACTATTTGTAAATCCAAGATGGCGGGCACGATTTTTCAAATAATGGCAAGTTGGGTATCGTTTTCGAGGTATTTAGGGGTGCTCATTACGAATATTGCTTTTATTTGAACTGTCGTGTTTGCCATCTTGGATTTAGAAATGAGTCCCATATTTGTATTGAACATTCCCAAACATCTCGAAAACGATACCCAACTTGCCATTATTCGAAAAATCGCGCCCGCCATCTTGGATTTAGAAATAAGTGCCATATTCGAAACCTAAAACCGAAAATGCCATAAGCAAACATTAAAGAAAATAACTGTTAAAATAGATTAAAAAATCGCTTAAGAATGCTCCCCTTTTAAGAAAATAAAATATTTTAATATAAAATATTTCGCTTGAGTTACGAAAAGAAAGACATATATTAAGCTATCAAAGTTGTACTGGTGGTGCCAACACTATAGTAGAAACAAATATATACTGTAAATTTGTTGCAATATGTGCTCCAATTCAAATAAAATTAATATAAATAATTATTCAATAAAGCATGAACGCAGAGCCGTTAAAAGTATTATAAAATAATTAAGTGTCCCAATCACTTACAGGAGTTAACGAAAACATTTAATGTTTATTAAAGTAAATATTAGTTCAAGATGCGCAAATAAATCTAAATTACAGGCACCACTAAAATTTACGTAATATAATTATTTTGATACAGAATAGCAAAATGGGGAGAAAAAAAATTCGTTACTTTGCAACACTTTCGTATCTTGTTGCCGCGAAATTATTTTTCTGTTTTAGTGAATATTTACATAAAAATATGAGTTGAAACGCATTACTTACTTGTGGAATGCAATGTTAGTGTCTATTTTGTTTGTCTGTTGTATTTTTACACCCATTTACCGCACATTTCGTCATTTTTAGCAAAAAATTTTGGAGCTGTTCGCGGTGCAATATGACCTTGAGCACTAACAGCCCGCGCGCTCCTGGGACGCGTTTGGAACCCTCTAACTTGCCTCACTTAGCGTGTGCGGGCTAGGTTTCTATGCGTTATTATTCTAAGGTTACCGCCATTTTCTATTTTTTTAAGCAAGCGGTACAGGTAGGTATTTTTAGTTCTCGCAACTATGAACACTGGGCAGTTGGCTGTATGAGTTTTTCTTTTGTCTGTTTACATCATAGATTTAGTATATATGGTTTACATAGTTCATTAATAGTAGGTAGATTTAAAGGTTTAGAGAAGTGGACAGTAACGGCTTTTCAAAAAACGAACATGAGAATTTAGTCATTTAAGGACCGTGAGACTTCTTTCCGGCCAAGACCTGCAAAGTAAGTATGAAAATCCATTACTGTCCACTTTTCTAAACTTTTAAATCTAGATTAACTATGTAAACAGGCAAAGGAAAAAGTCATACAGCCAACTGTTGCCAGAATTAAAAATACCTACGTACACCGCGTACTTAAAAAAAAAGAAAAAGGCGGTAAAATAAATTAAAGTGCTTTGGTATTCTTTACTGTTTTTTCGTCTTTTTTGTACGTTCCTCGTACAAATGAGAGAGACGGGCGTTAACGAAGATACAGTAATGGATTATACTCCTAGTTTAAAACAATGCTATATTAACGATGGAAAACTTGTTGCCGGCTGTGAGCAAAGTAATATGCATGAAAACTTATGAAAATTTCATACAATGGAGAAGCCAAAAAAATGTTAGTTCGTTTTCAGATACTGTTTGTAGCTTAGAATAATAACGCATAGAATGATAGTTTCATATCAAACGAACTGTCACAAGTGAGGCATAAATCAAATTCATGTAGGCATTTTCGTGTCTTGTTGCAACAAATTAATTTTCGGTTTTAGTGAATATTTATATAAAAATACAAGTTGAAACGCGTTACTTCCTTGTGGAATGAGATGTTAGTATCTATTTTATGTTTGTCTGACGTATTTTTACACTGATTTACCGCACGTCATTTTTAGTTAAAATTCTTGAGCTGTTCGCGGTGCAAGTTGACCTTGAGCACTGACGGCCCGCCCGCTCGTGTAGGCTCTTTGGGAGCGCTTCAATTTGCCTCACTTAGCGGGTGCGGACTAGTTTTCTATGCGTTATTATTCTAAGGTTTGTAGCTTATTTCAGCGAACTTGCTGAAACTCAAAAGCCATTAACGTTATGGGCCACGTATTCCATAGTGAAATGTACAGTCCAACTTAAACACAGCGTCATCATTGGAATACAGTAACTTGAAGTCCCCACTGAAGCGCCAATCTGCTGGTTACAAAACTAAAATATCAAAAATATTTACTGCAGAGAACATATTGAAATTTTTAAACGATGCTCCAGGTGACAATTTCTGACTAAGGTAAGGTTTGTTCGTATATATATTGTAACATTGAAAGATATTAGTTTCGATACAGTAGATAAGTAGCAGTTCGCGTGGGACCGAAAGTTTCCGACTGGCATGATTTAACGGCTGGTATTCCGCAGGGTGGAATTTTGTCACCACTTTCGTTCTCCCAGAATTGCAGATTTACGCACAGGCTTCTGCTGAGGACGTCAATTCAGCGATTTCTCAGATTAACAGCGATGTACGATGCGTTAGTATATGGTCAACTAATTTTGGGATATCTGTCAATCCATTGAAATGTCAAGCTATTGTCGCAGGTGGATCCTAGGATCTTACATCTTTCTCCTGAGCCACGTCTACAAACTGTTTTCTAGAGTCATTACGAATCGTATCGCCAGAAGAATCGACGAGCTAGAGCCACCGGAGCAGGCGGTGTGTTTAGACGGGGATATGGTACCACAGACCACATACACACAATGAGGCTGATTATACAGAAGACAGAAGAGTACAATTAGCCCCTATGTCTAGCCTTTGCGGACTATGAGAAGGCCTGCGATTCCGTCGAGACCCTGGGCTGCCTTGGAATCCTTACAGCGATGCCAAGTAGACTTTCGCTATATCCAAGTGATGAGATACCTGTATGACGCTGTTACCATGAGTGTCCAAGTACAGGGCCAGCAGTCTAAGCCCATCCAATTACACAGACGTTGTAGACATGGGGATGTCACATCCCAAAAACTGTTTACAGCCTCATTGGAAGACATGTTTAAGACGCTGGACTGGAAAAGGATGGGCATAAACATAAACGGCGAATACATCTCACACTTGCGATTTGCGACATAGTCCTAATGGCGAAGTGGCTGGAGGAGCTACAACAAATGCTGGACAGCGTAGCATCCGCCTTACAATGGATTGGTCTCGGCATGAACTTGGATGAAACGAAACTCGTGATCAATGATCGTTATTGTCCCGAGGCCAATCGTAGTAAATGGCCACCTTCTTGAAGTTGTTTCCGAATATATTTACCTTGGGCAGATTTTGCGATTGAGTAGAAACAACTTCGCAAGGGAAGCCAAGAGGAGGATTCAGCTTGGCTGGAGAGCGTCTGGTAAACTACGGAGAGCGTCTGGTAAACTACGTCGAGTCTTCTCGTTACCCATACGGCAAAGTTTGAAAGCAATAGTTTTTAATCAGTGCGTTCTACCTGTTATGATATACGGAGCCGAAACGTGGACACTTACGATACGGTTAGTTCACCAGTTGAAATTCGCTCAGCGAGCTATGGAACGAGCTATGTTCGGAGTTTCTTTGAAGAACAAGGTACGGAACGAGGTTATCCGACAAAGTACTAAAGTCTTCGACGTAGCTGGTAGAAGAAGCAAGCTGAAGAGGCAGTGGGCTGGCAATATTTCCCGATAACCGTTGGGGGGTGAAGTGGGCTCTTGAGTGAAGACCACGGCTAAGGAAAACGTATTGTAGGACGCCCTGTGTCCAGCTGTAGACTACGATAGGCTGTTGATCATTACTGAGGTACCCTCTATCCAACAAAAAACAATCATCCAAATCGGTTTACAAATGTAAAACACATACAAAAAACATACAGACGAATTGAGAACCTCCTCCTTTGTTTGAAGTCGGTAAAAATACAATTTTTATTTCACAATTTTTCACATTTTTTATTTCAAAACATTACGTGACAATGTTTGAAGAAAATCAATTAAAAGTGTTTCAAAGAACGTAAGTTCAGCATATACTGTTTTTTTCCTCAATCTACTATTTTTTCGGTGCAATATCTTCAGATTTTTTCAGATTTGACCTGGCAACACTGGTAATCTTTGGTATTGTACAGCTTCTGAGCAGTGTGTGGCTAGCATAGTAGAGGCTGATCACTTGCGTAAGTTTGCCTATCATAGGTAGGGCACTATCTTACAGTGAGGACCCCCCTTCAGTTATGAGAAGGAGGGATGTAGCTGGCTGGTTCAGTTTATATTTAGAATTAAATAAATAATAGAAGGTTGTTGTCAAAAGGACAAAATGGTAGTTCTAGAAAAAACTTCGAACTGAAAACAAGCAGTAAATCATTATTCATTAATATAATCCTCGTTTATCATTGAAATGTGCCTCTCGCTACGCTCACCCACGGCTACTACCCTTACAGTACCTTGGAACACATTTTTTCAATTGCCCTAATATTGCTGTTCCACTTTATAACTTACTTCCTCCAAATTACCCCGCCCCATTAACATAACCAACCTCTTAACTTTAGTGTTCTCCCCCCATATTATTACTCTTTGTAAATTTATCCACTTAAATAATATACATATATTTATAAATATATGTTAGATATTTGTGTTGTCTTTTGTTTTAGATTCTCAACTGAGTATCCCCGTGGACCAACTCACCAACACCGGTTAATGTCATAATAGAGCTCAGCGTATTTTTTCTTTTTTTTTTTCTTTCGACCGTGACATTGGCAAATGATTTTGCCAATGTCACGATGATGATGGCTCCATCATTTCTCATAATGATGGAGCCATATAAATAAAAAGTGAGTGAAGTGAGGTTGAGGAAGAAAGGCGACGATAGACAACATAATACTCCAGACCATACCCGCACACCTAGACTAGCCTTTTTCTTTATGATTACCATTGTACCTACGTCTTAAGCTTGTAATGTACTGTGATTCAGGAAATAAACGAGCTATCTATCTACATTATAGTTTATTTACTGTCCGTCTTAACGATACATTACGAACATTCTTTACAAATATGGTAGGCTAATTTACGAACTAAAATGAGGGAAAAAATGATGGGCCCGAATTTTGTCAAAATATTTCCATTGTGATTAGTAGTACCTGTACAAACAGACATAAATGTTGAAATCGAGGATTCCTAGTTTGATTACGGAACCTTTTCTTTTTTAGATTTTTCTAACAAAATTAAAATAATGGTTTAAATTAAGAAATACAAAAAATAAGTAAAGTACTTACTTTGCCGGGGACGCACTTAGGATGACATATGTTTTGAGCTATAGAGCCTTTGCTTCGACGCTTCATCGGTGTTGCGAATTAATTTTGAGGCTGTGGTTGAGCCTGTGGTTGAGCCTGTGGCTGAGCCTGTGGTTGAGCCTGTTGAGGATTTTCTACTCTCTCCTAAAAATTTTACCTAAAAATAAGTTATCAAACAAAGAAAACTCTAAATTCCAAAATATTTAAAATTGAAGCTTAATCCATTCGCTTGATGGATTTCCACAAAGTAATGCTTATTACTTTGTGGAAACCCATGTTAATAAAAATGGAAGTAATTTAACACCCACTATTACCATCGTTAAATTAGAACGAATCGAATCGTGGGTTATAAATATGACCAAACTTTCGGAGCGGGCTCCGAAAATTTGCGGGCTCCGAAAGTTTGGTCATACAAGTGGTCATTATCAAATAAATTTACTTTCCATTCTTATAGGAAGTACTTTGACTTTTTTGTTTACGTCCATAGTGAAAATTTATAACATAAATAAATTATAGTTTTTTTGCCGCCAAGCAGTAATGTGAGCATTACTGCGTTCTGTGTTGAACGATAAGGGTGCTGGTGAAACTATAGGCACAATGGGTATTTGTCAACTTTATGCCTCTGGCAGTAGCCCTGAGATCTTTGCGATTTAAAGCTCTTGCTTGGGTCCAAGCATCAGAAACTATAATACAGTTGCCAATTGTTTTTCTTTTAGACTCGTTTTGGGACTACAGTTTTCGTTTTGTTATGTTTATTGTTGAAATAATAGTTGTGGTTGCAATCTTTTTTTTAGCAAGTCAACACGATGTTTAGTCGTCGACATCACAAGTCTTACATAACATGGAAATCTCATTCTTTCTCTATGAAGACTTCTTTCCGATTACAGTTGTCCGGTCAGTGGCCGACGAGAAAAAACAACAAAAGTTTCTAACAAGTGTTTTTTTTAATAAAATCCGTTCTATGAACGGTCTTCGAAATTCTCATTAACCTGTGAATACAAAGTATGTAACTTTTTGCCAACTTTTAAGCGACTTTAGTCGTAATATAAAATCGAGTACCAGTTTTGTTATTGAGTACGCCTACTGTGCAATTTTTACGACAAAATAGTTTATATCATATCATGTGTTTGAATGAAATTGAAAGGAACACGTGTAGTATATGTATAAGTACATAATAATAATAAATCCTTATTACTATTAGTGTTAGTAACAATAAACTTATAATTGGGTCGGTATCATAATGATTATATTTTCAAAATGACCAGCAAAAGGACTAGATCGCAAAACGACCACCTCTGTAGAAAGACTATAACTTACAATGACTTGGTAGCAAAAGACTAGAAATTGAAATGACCATATCGTTAAATAGACGACATGGGGAAACAACTATGTACAATTTAGTTACAAATTTATTGTTAAACAATACCAATGAAAATAAAGTTATCAATTTGGTTCCATTTTATACTACAAATTGTATTCCCACTTATTGCTATCGTCCTTTTGAACGGACACCACTTAAAAAAAATATCGTAAACAATGAAGATACTTGGAAATAAAATATTTATGTTCATTCGACACGTAACACCTGTGTGGAGAAAACACAGCATTCATTGTGTGTGATTAAAATTGTGTTGTATTTATAATAATTATTTGAAAATACTGTTTTGATCATGGAATATTCCAGGTATGCATATAAAAATAGTTTTATACTATTTTATTAATTATATTAATATTATTTAAATAGTTAATTGTTTTTTTCCAATGTGCACGAAATTTAATACTTAAGGACGTCTTTTGACGCATATGATCAAAATCTTTTTTAGTGTTCATCGAAAACGAGATATTTCATCAAGTTTAATTGCCGTTCTTTTAAATGGCCAATAGCAATATATACTACTACGACGTGTGTTATGTTCTTTAACGTTAAATGAAATCATCGAGGCGTTAGAGGAGGGTGAAGAAGAATCAACACCTGTTTCCATCAGTTTTTTGACCTCCTGAAAACTGCAATGCAGATGTGACTGATGAAGATTCTGGAGATGAAAACTGTGTAATGTTACACAATTTACCAGGATCTCAGTTGAGGGCACCGGCAGAGTTTTGTTACCGATCTGCAGAAGGTAGCGATGAAGATGATGATGTCCCGCTCATACAGTTATCAAAACGTAGGCGTGTGACTGCTGAATCATTTGAAAATATCTCAGTCAACTTCGAAATCGAATGAAACTAGGAGTGGTGTAACGATTTCTAGAAACAAATCATACAAATGGACTGCACGAGACATTCATCCAACTTTTGATCCATGGCTGAACTTGCAAACTGCAGCGGCGTATTTCTCTCCTCTACTCTCTTTCCTCTCCTCTCCTCTACTCACAGTAGTACATAAAGCTATCGTCCTTTATAAAGGATGCCCTTTCCCGAGTTGCACAAATAACTATGATTTAAAAAAAAATATTTTTTACATGTATACTTATAATATCTCAATATTACCAACATATGTCAAATTCATAAAGATCGGACACGAAAAGTTGTTCAGGAACATGTGGGTTAATAGTGGAAATATGCGAGTCCACATGCGATTTCAGTTTTTTTTATAATATCAAGTGACGCGACGAACAAGTCGTGCGCCTGATGGTAAGCTACACGCCTGTCCATAACAGTTGCAGTGCCACTCAGAGCTTTAAATCGCAAAGATCTGAGGGGCACTGCCACTGCACCCGTCACCCTGAGACAAGTTCACAAGACCCACGTGCCTGTAATTCATCAGCACCCTTACTACCCTTCAAAACCGGAACACAGTAATGCTGACATCATTGCTTGGCGGTAGTTAAAAAACACACTGTAGATGTTATGAATAAGAGGAGTATATCGAGTTTTTAGGTTTTCGCGATTGTTGCACATAACAAATGAAACTATTTTTCCCGTATCATATCGTACCGTATCATTCAAATAGCGTATATTTGTTTCCATATAAAAAAATATTTTCATTTCCTAAGAGGATCATAATTTTATTTTACAATAATTTTTATTTCGCAAGGTTGGCCGTGGTAGCATAAACAAACAAAAATACAAATTATATAAATTTTGTTACATTTTTTTATGATGACACTAAATGTTTAACTAAACTGTACTTTGAAAAAACAATAACAAAATCTAGTTATTTTGCTACCTAGTCGTTTACCGTGTTGTCCACTTAACGATATGGTCATTTCGTATCTAGTCGTTTTGCTACCAAGTCATAGTAAATTAGTCTTTCTGTAGAGGTGATCGTTTTGCGATCTAATCCTTATACTGATCAGGTCATTTTGAAGAAAGTCATTATGATACCGACCCCTTATAATTACGTTAGTACTTAAATTCTGCTTAAGATTTTGTGCTGGTTATTAAATGCCGCTTTATGGGGCACTAACTCCTAGTCTCGATAGTTTTCAGGAGGCCGCTGCTGCCGCCACGTATTGTGTTCCATATCATCTATTCCAATGCGAGTTTCAGCAAACATGATAGTCGCACTGCAGAACCGTGGCAGCCCCAGCAGCGTCCTGAAGGCTTTATTATCCCTTCGGTACAATCGGTCTACTTTCACTATTTGTCTACTTTCCCGATCAGTTCACTAGTTTTTCCTATATACATAGTGCGTTATATATTTAAAATGTGATGCTCTCTTTAATTATTTTCGGGATCCTTTTTACCGGCAACCGCAAAGACCATTATTATACTTTGATGTAAGGTCCTTGCGGCAAACAAGGGCCACCTTAATTCATAACTGATTATTTTGAATAATTATAAAATACTAATTAAATGTACGACATTATATGAATATTTACTTTATTCTAATCCCGAAAAGTATTTTTTATTACGTTTCTCCTGCAATTGTCTTCAATATTGAGTCTTTTTTAAAACCCTCTATGTGCCCTTATCAAACCTAGGTGGCTTAATAGACTTTTAATTAACAATTATAATCAAACATTTTAGATACACGACATGACCGCGCATAGTAGGTTTCCTATTGATCCTTTATATGTCATGCGTAAGTGGAATCTAATAAGAACATTGAAAGGGTGTTTTTGTAATTGTGGCCCTTGATAGACGGCGGCTCTTGTTACCTGCAGGTACCTTAATATCACATTTTATATAGTAAACTGAAGAAAAAAAGAAATACGTACCCGTACAGGTTCAACTTTTGTAATTTCTGGCAGATATGATGGACGAAGTGAATTCGGACAAGTGGGATTGTGTAAACATTGTTTTGGGTCACTGCAAGGGGCATTTGGCCGGACTGGCCAGAAGCACGGTAACAGGAGCGGGAAACCCGGTCCCGGTGGCACGCATGGCGGTATGTGGTAGCAGGTTCTTGTTGCTAATGGCTGTGGAGACGGTAATCTAAGATAGGCACGTACCAGTTTCCTCTGAGTCACTAACTACATAAAGAAAACAAATGAAAGAACGATTTTTATATACAAAAATACACAAAAATATTTTGTATATTTACTGTAATGTAGTTACACATAATTATGCATAAGAATTATAATATTGTTCTAACACCTTGTTCACAAACGTTCATATGCGATGTTAATTAATTGCGTTGTTAATAGTGGCTCTAAAGTGACTTCTCTGATATCAGGAAAAAAGTTACCGCTCCAAATATGTATTTGCGTCGAGTGGATTTCAAATTATTTTTTTCTAAATATTTGTCAGAAAAAAATAGAAAAATTTGAAAAAATATTCAGAAAATATGTTAATTTCTGAAAAAAAATTTTTTTTCTATGTGAATATTTTTGTTTAGTTCAATACACTTAGTGTTATGTTTACTTAAAAGAGATACATAAAATAGACATAAAAAGGATATATATTTAAGTTAAGGAAAAAATGGTATTTTGTCTTACAACAACTTACGAGGAAGGTATCGATATATAAAGCAAGACATTTCCTTCTGGCTCTTGATTATTATCAAACTGAATTACTTCTTCGGTAAAAATAAGTACTTATAGGTAAGAATACGTAATAATATAGGCCCTCTTAAAAATAGCGCACACACACACATACGCACACGCACACGCACACGCACACGCACACACACACGCACACGCACTCGCACACGCACACATCCTCGCATACACATATATATTTTAGTCGATATTACATTATTCACAGATACATAAACTGCCAGAAATAAATGGGTAAGTGTAAATCATTATGAGAGAAGACACTGATTTCCGTAAAACAGGTCACTGAACCGAGCTCGGAAGCCAGGGCCTTTCAATGAAATGTAACTTTTCTGTTCAAATAAAAAATTACGATTATTATGACTATTATTAATGGCTTTGAAAAATAGTTTCTACTGCAACAAAAAAAATCGAATTTGTTTAATTTATTGTACTCCCTATAAACTACTCTTTGGCGCTTGGAATAACAACGGTTCAAACAGTCAAGCTTGAAGAATTGATGAGTGTTAAGAATCAAAGTTTCTATAATGGAAATAAAATTTTTTACCTTTGATTAATTTCTAGCAATAACTAATTAAGGGGTTTTTACCTTAGTGAGAATACATCTAGAACGCGGTGTAATTTCTATCTGTAATGAACAATTTTGTTTATTAATTGTAAGTATTTAATAATATCATAAAAATATATACAACTAATAATACATTCTGTCGGGAATATAGGCACCTAAACCAACTAGAAAATATATACTTTTGGAAATAAGGTAACATATCCCATAATAAAATATAACATAATTATAAATAGCCTGTAGGAAACTGGTCAGTAGCCGCAAACTTTAAAAAATTCAAGGAAATTGATGGCAAATCTTAAAGCTGGCCACTGTCGACCCAGGTAATTTACCCATGTATTTGACGTTAGCAATTATTTTTCGAATACCAACTTACAGGTTGCACCACTGGTACAGGTTTTCTGTTTAATTTTATCTGAAAATAATTAAGTGGGTCGTATTAACAAACTTGCAGAATTGAAAAGAGAATTAGGTAGTGTAAATCATACTATATCTAAATTTCCATCAAACTTCTCACTATAACCATTTATGACCAAAAAATTACGATGATTAATACTAGCAGCCACGTTGAGGCAAAAGACGCTGTTTCGAGCCCTGTCGGTTCGATGGTATTTTTACTATGTGTTAATACTATCTTTATATCAGTAATAATTACAAACAGAAAGAAACAAGAATATTAAATTTGTTCTCGGAATTTGGAATGCCATTTGTCAACAAATAGGAAGATGATTTTTGGGGCTTTCACCTCAGACTTTTTTACAATTTGTCATAATTCCAATAATTTTCCCCGAAAATCGATTAGTCTGTGATACTTTTGTTCAGAGAATTAGGTAGTGAAAGTGATTTGAAGCCAACTTAAAGATTACCAGTAATTAATTATTTTTAAAACTGTGTCATCCCTAATGATTTTTAATTTGAAGGGAGAGATTGCAAACATTCGAGTTCAAGTAGTGATTCAAGTTCAGAATCGGAAATTGATACTGGATGAGACAATATTGTAGTAAATTAATATAAAACAATTGATTTATAGACTACCTACTATCTATTTTTACTTCTATTCCATCTGAATACGACGTGGGTAGAGCTAGCCTAAATAAGCACTGACAAAAAAATGTTCTTTACACCTGCCATTGTTGGCTGGCTGGCAACATTTTTATTATTAAAAATTTTACATCGAATTCGGCTAGAGCATAGATAGAATGGCAGTAAATGCAATAATATATTTATATATATATATATATACAATATCAGTTATAACAGAACGCGAAAATCGTCTACATTATATATTCTTTACCTTCACGCCAACGCAATTAGTTGCACAGGAGGTCTTGGGTTCCGGGGGAATGATGATCTCTGGACACTAGTAACAATACAAGATGTAATTGAAAAATCTACAGGTGAAAACATTGGATGAAAAAGATACAGGGTTTGCAACAAGAACTTTGTTTTGTAAATCAAAATAAAACAATAAATTTAGATGACAATGATTTAAAACGGCCCAATGCCAACGCCACAAGTCACACAGCCACCGAAACAATGAATTTATTGCAAACCAAACTTCCCGATCGCATAATTTCACGAAATTCAGCCGTTTTAAGTGGCTAGCTCGATCATGTGATTTAACCTCGCTGGATTATTTTTATGGGGTTATGTTAAAGACACAGTCTATATGGAGCTAGTCGAATCGATTGCAGCCTTAAAACTCAAAATTCGTGAAGTTTTTTATGAAATAGACCACCATTTTGTCAAAATGTGATTTTGAAAACTTTGATGAACGAATCGACATCTGTAACTATGGTCGTGGTGGATAATTATCATATATCATTTACATTCGTAATTGCCAAACCTTAATTTTTTTAATACAATAAAAATTTTAATCATAGTCATCTAAATTTGTTGTTTTATTTTGATTTACAAAACAAAGTTCTTGTTGAAAAACCCTTTATAACTTCGAAGTAACTATTATTTAGGTCAAAAAAGTAAAATACTATGCATTTTATGTATTCTTATAGATCGACGTCCTCCCCGAATAAACGTGCAAAGCTTTTTACACAATTTTTTATCAGCCTCTTTTTCACGCAAAAAAAAACAAATAAATAATCTATTGTAAGGTAACTCAAATGTTTTTCTAGGGAAAATATATTTATAAATTATGCTGGAATAAAAATAGTAAAGTTCAATTTAAAATTTCATTTTGGACGGTAAAACACAGGTAAATTTATTTCCATCCAAAGAAATCCATCAGATGTATAGTTATGAAAGTTTTACTCTTTTTATTTTTCCAGCAAAGTTGGTGTTTAGATAATTCACGTTTATTCGATGGGCGTAGAAATAAGTGTGTGCGCAATTGATTAATCAATTGGTATAAAAAAAGTTATATAAAACAAAAATTTTACCGGCGGACTAGAGCATGGTGATGTTGGGCACACGTCATTACTCTGAAAAATAAAACACAAATTTTCGCGCTCGGTTGTAATAAGATCAAATGGTAATTTTTCAGGAACATTCACAGAAACTATCACCTGTATTTATGAACAAAACAAAAGTCGCCGTAAGAAAATTCTTTACTAAGATCGATTTGAGTGAAATTTTTGCTTAAGTGCGACTTGGTGTTGTTTGACATTTATGAACATTTTTTCGCTCTTATTCAAGGTTAGTCTCAAGTTTTACTTTGAAGCCATTAGCCAATGACACCACTTGTTTTGTTTTTTTCAAAAATTAAAAGCGGGAATTTTTGACAATTGTTTTGTAGTCTATGGACTTTTGTTTGTGGCAGTTAACAAACAATTACCTTTGCCTTTTCTTCAGCGGAAAGAATAAGATCAAACTGTTTTGATCTTATTTGTTAGAAGCATTTAAGTTTCAAAAATTAATATTGATTTTTTATATTCGATTTTAAAATATATTGATTACTATATTGATGGCTGAACTTGCACTAGCGGGAAAATGGTGTTTACAACTATTTCTTTGGAAAATCTGGAACATGAAGATGAAAACCAATGAAGATTAGAGTTATCTCTCTCTGTTTTATTGTATCACTTGCTGTAGGGATTCGAATTAATCTATTTAATACAATGGGTTGAACTGTTTGTTGAAATAACTGAAGTATCAAAGTTCTTGGGTTCACACCTAGTGAATTCAGGAACAGAATAGATAGGTTCCATTGCACTTTTCTGAACCTATGTGAAATGAAAAACCAAAACAAGTCGATAGCAGTAAACAAAACTGATGTTCCTGTACAAAACGGTGTTCAGCTACAAAGCTAGGTACATAATTGGGTTCTTATAAACGTATAACTTTGATATTTATTTTTTCGTTATTGATACAAGGATTTATAGAAGTATTTTGACATTGTGAACTGTTTAGAGACAGTATCAAGAGGATTGGCCTCGTGGTGCAGTTTACCCCACAGTGGTAATTGAATCTTTTATAATATTCATAAATATCAAATTAGTCATACTATAAATTACTTTCCTACTTAATGAGAAGAATAGGTACACATCAAATTTTCATTCATGTATCGGCTGAAAAACTGTTCGTCATCCAGTATTTCCAAGATATTGCCAGGATCCCTCAGATATATTTTAGGTGAGGTGCTTTTACACCACGGTAATCATCTTCGTTCTCCAGATAATTAGCCATGAAGGTTTTAATACAAATTTATAAACCAAAATAAAACGGTAGGTAAATACGTAAAAAAATATGTCAGAGCAACTCAAGAGAAAAAGCAAATAACCAGTGATAAAAATGTTAAAATATTTTCTAGTCAGACTTAGACAGCTAAAGACTGGTTTGATACAAGTGCAACATAACTCGATCTTGAGACCGAGTTAAGATTGAGCTGAGACATAAAGATCGTTCATAAATACCAATTATTGACTTAAGACACACTTGAGACTTTATTTATGCTTAAGTCGGACTTATCTTTGTTCATAAATACGGGTGTATATGTTCCAAATGGTCCCAAACAAAACACTATCAACAGTGACAGTGTTTTGTTTTAGTGTTGAATTTTGTCAAAGAGTAACCGTAGTACCGTGGGCAGATATGACCGTATAAACCTATTCGGAATGAGCTAGGCAGTCAGATAATATTGAGTGTTTACCAAAGATATTTATCCATAGTTGGGGAATTAACGTAAAGCCCCTGGCAAAGTCGCTATTACTTGAACAATACATTTCATTTTGCTTTGACCCAGGGGCCTTCCGCTTATTATTTATAATTATTATACTACTAAAAAAAACTAATTAAGTTAAGGAAAAAAATACAGTAGAGATGTTGAAGTGATTGATGTCATGTTATGTACTTTTGCTTGCCGAAAGGCAAAGATCTTTAGACCATGCAGTCAGGTAACCTACCTACATAGATATCGTTGTTTATATTTTTTAAATCTATATGGTCACTTACAAATTTAAAAAAATATAAACTCAATGATATAACCATTGACGTACCAACAAATGGACGTCGGGTCTAACACTAAAACCACGAAAAAAATGTCCGAAGTTAACCTATACAAACGTAGTGAAATGTAACGAAATACAAAAAACTAAAACATTTAATTTTAACTGTATACCATATTTAGCTTCGACTGAAAATCACTTGAACACAAAAGTAATGGAGTAGCCTTTATCGTAAATATTAATTAATTTTTATGTATATTATTATGTCGAATTTTGTACAAATCTACTTAAAGAAATAATAAAGAGTTGGGCAGATACATACATACAAATATTATTACAAATGTGAAAATAAGCGTGTACTATAGAAATGTACCGATATTCCAACTAAGCGTAAACTCAAATGTTCGTAATTCCGAAAACCGGTTTATAATAAAACCGTTGTGCTTTCGAGTAATTTTGTTGCTTTTCACAAATACAAAATTAGCTTTTGCTTTGTAATCTTCCTAAAAAATATGACATTATGAAAATTCGAGCTAACGTTATTTCGGGTAAAAGTATTTCTGACTTCTGATAGGTAATCCCAAGCCGTAAAACGAGAACAACAATATTTTGTTAGTTATTGCTAACGTTTAGTAAAAAATATACTCAAAAAGCACAACATTACTTACCGAATCAATGTGAAAATTTCAAACTTTAAATTTATATTCACACAATTAGTCAAATAGCGAAATGTGAACAACACAGCGATGTAAATAAATTTTCAAAGACGACCGCATTTGCATCGGCCATCTTAAATGTTTAACAACCAACTGAATGACATGCAGCGTCTTCACCGTACATCAGTAAAACACATCGTGTGTATGGGAACGTCGCATCTAGTACGCTAGTACATAGATGTCGTTACTTTTGTATTTTTGCGATTGTGACTTTTATGTGGTAAAAGCAATTTTTAATGTCTGATTACATGTGGCTTTTTATGCCACCAAAGGGTACCAAATTATGCTTCAATTAGGTTAGGAAGGAGAGAACATAGCTTTCTCTGAAATTTTGGTACCGAATTATGTTTCATAATTCAAACATAATTCGGTACTAAAATTTCTTTTTAGCAATATAAATACACGGAAAGCTATAACCTAATGGTTAGGAAGGAGAGAACATTGCTTTCGTTGAAATTTTGGTACCAAATTATGCTTCAATTAGGTTAGGAACGAGAGAACATTGCTTTATTTTAAATTTTGGTACCGAATTATGTTTCCATTAGTTTAGGAAGGAGAGAACATTGCTTTCTCTGAAATTTTAAACATTTTGTATTATAAAAATAAAAAAACTAGTCGGCGCGTGGTGATTAGATATGCCTGGTATTGACAAGGGCGAAGAAGATAGTGACACAGCAAAAAATATAGTAAGCAAGTAAGGGAACAAGCAGTGGACTAAACACTATAGCTCAATCAAAGCGAAGTTAACAATCCCGTACAAAGTGTTAGAGCGTAGCAGAGATGGGATGATGCTTTTAGCAACCAAGGGTATATCATTATTTTGCTCAAGAGCTGTCGTGGAGTCAATATACGAAAGCTGTTGGTTGATGAAATACAGTTCTTATTTCCGAAATTCGGTAAATAAAGCTAGTTGTCAGACAAATATCTCCTGTTCATTTAGAGCTAACGTGCAGATTTTGCAGTAATAGAATCTGTTCATTTAATTTATACTTACTGGTTTATCCTTTAATAAATCTGGGCACGGCGGAGCTGGGCAGCTCCTCGGGGAATCCTGAAAAAGGTAATTTAGTAGTATTTTGAATTCTTCCGAGTTCATTAAGTAGAACGTTTAATAAATACAAAACATGTGAAAAAATTCGTCATTGTTCGAACTGATTTTTGATCTCCTTTTTGACTAAGAAAAAACTATTCATCATTGTCATCATCATCATCGACTCATTTAAATTCTCCTCTCAGACGAGGGTTTAGGTCATAGTCCACCACGCTGGCCCAATGCGCATTGCTGACTTCATAAACCGAGGGTTACGAACCTTCTTCGAAGTGCAGGCGTCATCACGATGTTAGCTCACTGAAAAGCTCATGGTAAATTTCACATTAAATATATTTTTAACCGACTTCAAAAAAGGAGGAGGTTCTCAATTCGATTGTATATTTTTTCTTTTGTATGTATGTTACACAATAACTCCGATTTGCGAACCGATTTTGATGATTCTTTTTTTGTTGCAAAGAAGATACCTCAGATGTAGTCCTATTAAATTTGAAGAAATAAATTCCACCTCTAAGGGTGGTAAACCAGGGCATGAATGACTTTGAGGTCGGTTTTTACAGTACTCTGTACTGATGTTAGTTTATTTCTACCTGAATATTAAGTCCTCGGGCATGCTTACTTTCTAGTATATCTTCTCTAAGAATGACATATGAAAAAACGTATAATAAATATGTATTTTTTTGGATGTGTGAGAATTGAAATATGTTTCAAAAGATAACGTTAATACTTACTCACATCGAACAGTGTTCTTTGCGGTAGGCAACTAGCACGACTCGGTGTTAAACAACAAAACGTGCATCCTGTTCCACACTGAAAAAGTACATTATTCAAATCAAGCGAAAGGTGTTGTGCTGGCTATCGAATAGCGTCCTCTCCCCTCCCGTGCACCAGTCCGCGCATCTTTCGTCGCGACTTGGCTGGGAGCAATTGAGTTGTATATTGTGTAATTTTACTTGTTACCTAATTACGCCACCACACTATGAACGCACATAGTAGGTATATTTATATTTTTTTTGCTATATTTATGTACTTTTACGATCTATAATATAACACACAGCAGTAACACAATGTACAAATAACACATACACAAATATTCAAGTAGTTTATTTTAAGTTCTTTTATTTCGCTACACACACGTCTGTCACTCATCTCGGCTCAGGGCTTATTGAAAACAAGCGCCACGGTCAATCATGGCTGTGGCTTATACTGAATTGCGTAGGCCACAACCACATATACGACAGTGCAAAATTTGTAGTCGTTATATTTTGTTTTTTTTTTGCTTTTTGCCTGATTTGTCTTATTTTATGTTGTTTTTTTTATTGTATTCTTTATTTTGTTTATTAATTCTTTTTATTTTGTTTTGTTTGTCTGTGTTATCAATTTTTTATTGTATCTATGTGTTGTGGCGTTGCAATAAATGTCTATTCTATTCTAAATAACGGTAAAGCCAGAGAGAAATCTAGTAGAAACAACGTTGTTTATATAATATCGTATACTCAATTGAAGGGCAGATTAAAACTTTTTCACTACTAGATTTGGCTTGCAATAATTTTGATAATTTAAGGTCCAAAAAATCCGCAACGCATGTTTTCTTCTATACTACTCCTGAAGTTTGCAATTTGTGCTAAATACAAAATTTTATAGTGTTGTAGCAAAAGGTTTGTCATATGGCATGAATAAAATCAACACAATTACCCTGAAATATTTGTAATTTTGGGCTTCTGTTGTCTTTTCCACGAACGAACGTAACTTGTGATTGTTGAGGGAAAAGTTATTTATACATATATTTCGACCCAGGATTATGTTTTGATGTAAATACGTCGATGATGTAAAAACTACTGATCAGAAAGGATATTAATGTCACCGAAAAGATATTAGCGTCGTCACCGGAAAGGCAACGTATCTAGTGTGTGTTTCATTAAAAGTAAATCATATAAATATAGTTTTAGCTTCTCATGCTCTTAAAGTTCGTATTTATGCTGGGTGTAGGTTGCATAAATAAAATATTAACCTTCACATTAAATATGTCTAATTGTTATAATTTTACATTGAATTTTAATTAAATAATCATTTATTTGTGATATTGCTATTTAATTTCCTCACAATCGAAGTGAAAAGCAGAGTGTATAACTCGTTCATAAAACCCATTTTACCCTCGACTTAAATATTCACCCATACACAAGTAAGGATATACTCGTCTCGGGTAAAGAGACGCGTTTTATGCATTTGTTGTACAATCTACTATTTTCTTGTGTCAATCGGTCTGTCTGGGATTTGTACGGATTAGGCCATTACTTTTCACGTAGCAGATTCGACAAGAATCCGCCAACCCAGCGACATAACCGCGGCTTGGTATCGGCGGCGGCCTTATTTCTAATCTAATCCTATGATATGATTCTAGAAACAAGACCACTGACACCATCCCGCCCGGGTCAGTTCGGTCTGTAGACACCTGTAATTTCTATCATATTTCATCTTCGTCATCATTTTAAGTTGTATGACCTGAGACAAGGCCTTAAATAGCAGTTGATTTGATGTACTTAGCATCACTTTAAATTTAGTAATAAAAATGTATTTTACCTTCAACGACCTTGGGAAATCACTTTTGGACTGAAAAAAAGAATTGAAACAGTTTAGATCAATAATTATATTTAACTGCCTCTGTGGCCGAACGGTTACCATGCTGGACTGCCACGCAGAGGTCCTGGGTTCGATTTCCAGGCTGGGAGAATATGTGTATGGCCTACATTTATTTCTCTCGTTACTTTGGGTGTAATTTGTGATTGTCTATGTGTATGTCCATGGCACACGCGACACAGGATTTTTCCTAGTGCGGGGCTATGAGTGTGTTGCGTTATTATTATTATTACTATTATTTGAACAATGCAATTATGAGATAGCTTCACCTTTAAAATTTTTTCTAGTTATTTACAACAAACAAGACGTTTCCAGTAAAGTGATTATGACATATCTCCGAACTATATTAAACAAAACATTAAATGAATTAAAAAAAAACGGCGTATATAAACTTTCTAATTGTACCAACCTTATGTCTGCAGCAACCCTGACATACGCATCCTGTATAAACTACTTGCACTATAGTTGTTTGTGGAAACAATGGTTTATTATCCTCGTCCTTACGCATCTTCTTAAATTGTCGGGAGCCCACAATCGCTATGTTCGACAAGCCGAAAAATAGGTTGTGCTCTTTATCTATACGGAGGATGGTTGATAAATACTTGTCTCCAAGATTTGGGTCACTTTCATTATCATCGTATTCTGTTTCTCTACTGAAGTTAGAACTGGTGGTTGAAGGTGCTGGCGATAGTGAAATGCTGGAATAGGAGAGCTTAGTCAATGCCTCCGAATGATACGTCATGCTGCCAAAATCTAGGTCATACTTAATGTTCATGTTTATAGCATCGATTTTGCGAACACGTGCTCAATTTTACTACATATGGGTAAAACTGTTCACCTTTTGCTTTTGCAGTGGTCAAATACTAAACAACACTCGTGGTGTGGACAACAATATAATTTGCATTAATTTCTTGAATTTTTTGGTATTTTAATTAATGGCCTTATAAACTTTTGAGATTGATGTTACCAACAACAAAATTGCCTCCGGGTTAATTCCAGTCCGTTCAAGAGTTTTTCCAGTTACGTTTTAGTTTTGCACCTGTTAGTGCGTTAATTTTTCTGGAACGACATAATATATCCATCTCTTTGTCTCTATCTCTATATAGAATCAAAAGTATATCTATAAAGTTACTTGAAATAGATATTTACCTTGAATCGGGAGTGCCACCTTGACTTTCGGAGAGCCATTTCATTTTGGTAAGTTTCAGAATTTTTGGATCACTGAAACCATCATCCATGTCGGATAGTTCACTGTCTTCGCTGAAGGTGATGGTAGGCTGCAAAAATAACCATCCTGTTTAAGAGACAAGTTTGTCGATAAAGCCCGTCAAAGTATAACATATAAATAGTAATAATTCTAAATAGCATCCAAATAGTATGTAAAAATAGTAAAAATTCATTGTTTTTTTACTTAAACATTCACTATTTAGAACTGTGACGTATTAGATTTCTTTCAAGTGATTCGTAAAAAACACATTTGACGTACTATCACATGTGGCTTTATTATACCAAAGATACGATTTGATTTACGCGATCATGTTTACAACTATTGTGCACTTACATACGCTGGCGTCGATGAATTCAATTGTCCAGGCTGATCTTCATTATTTTTGCTCAACACCTCTTCGTGCTTTCGTGACTCAACGAGCTCATGGAGAGCTTTCGATCTTTCGACCTGAATGGGTTCAGCATCGATATCAACCTTTAACAGATTAATTTTATGGGTATATTCCACAAATCCCCACTAAGAAATCCCCAATAGTGGAGATCTAACATTTTATTAAATTCCACAAATCCCCAGTAACGTAGTACTTGCTACGCGGTGGGGATTTGCGAAATAAAAATCCCCATTTAGAGATTATTTCTTACCGGCTGTTTAAATAAAATGCTTAAATTGGAAATGGAGTCAAAACACTTTCCTTTTTTGTCCTTGAACGCGTAAAGAAGTTAACTAGGTTCTTCCACAAACATATTTCAAATACTAGTTGGTTCTACTACAAGTGTACCTATATTTGTAGTCTTTTTTTCATAATATAATAAAAACAAAGTTCTTTTTAAATTGCAAGTGATTTTTATTTGCTTGCATACGGGAACATGAAATAGCCAATAATCATTTAGTATAGGCACTGTTCGCAATTTTAGGAAGTACATAATAAATGGCTATTGACTTAAAAAACTTTATTAGGCTTTCTTAAAAAATTACGTATCCATAATAATCGACTAGAATACTTATAGAACTAAAACAGAACATTGAAAAATATAAATAATAAGTAAATCAACAATGCAACAAAAATTTATTCATATTAATTATTTAAATGTAAGTAGAAGCACAGTTCACAATTGTGGAAAGTGATGCAATCAATAACTAATTTAAACTTTTATTGGTGCCTGGACTGTTTCTGAAAAAATCACTATACAATAATAGACTAGAATACTTATAAAATTAAAAGATAATATTGCAAAATAATAAGCAGAACCAACAAATCAACAAAACTCTGTTTATATTAATAATTTTAATGTAAGATTTATAGAAGCACATTTTAAACTGTAATTAGAGCTAGATTGCTTCTTAAAAAACAACATATTTACAATAATCGACTAGACTAGTTATAAAACTAAATACAACATTGAATAATGTAAATAATTAGCAAAATCAACAAAACAACAAATCAATGAAAGTTTGTTCATATTAATAATTTACATATATATATGTATATAGTATATGTAACATGAAACTTTAGCGTATTTTTTCTAAAAAATGTACAATCGATATTTCGCCTACAGTGAATTCCATCTAACCCTGAAAAATGAATTCATCTCTTTCCTTGCTTCGTTGTAACCGTTATCGATGCACTGAATAGCACTGTATGTTTCTCAAGAACAATAAGTCAAATTCTTTCAGAATGTACAAAAGCTTCAACAGGCTTGGCCCCTTTTTTTAAATAGCTTTATTATATTAAGTTTATTATGCTATACTTCTAAAAAGTTTGTAAGTACGATAACGTTCGTTAAAAACAGATATTGCACTTAAAAACTTCTTTAATCCACTAATTCAACATATATTTACGGAATTGTGTGTGCACTCCATTTTAAATTTAAGGAAAACTCTATATTGACTTGAACTCTATGTGTCGTGATATTGACGCGACATTAGTGCTGAAAATCAATAAAGACTTTTTTGCCAACCACAAATCTGTCACCTAAAAAAATATTAAATTATATAAAATAACATCTTAGTGGGGATTTATATTCCACTAATCTGCAGTGCGTAGCAAGTACTACGTTGGTGGGAATTTGTGGAATAAATTTTAACAAAGTGTTAATATCCCCACTAGTGGGGATTCCTTAGTGGGGATTTGTGGAATATACCATTTTATGAGTAACGTACGTACGTACGTAACAACGTCATTGCCACTTTCTATTAACGTAACTTATTCAACTAAACTCAACTTCTTTAGTTGTACCAAATGTAAAACAACCCTGGATACAAAACAGCGTAACAATGAGCCCAAACACAATTGGCAATGAATAGTTGAGGAGTTAGGTAGCCTGCAAGCAGACTCTCCTGGTTACAGCATCAAAACAAGGTTACCATATTATTGAAATGTTATTGGATTTCTACAATACATCAAATTTCGTATCAAATCTCATAACATAATGCAAACAGATTTTTCAGAATTAGGATAGAACAGCAAAACGTACAATACATATGTGAATATGGTGAATATACTGGATGTGAATCCAGTTTTATATTAACGGTACAATTTATAGAGTTCGGCGGTTTAGGACCACAATGAGAAATGACCACAATTAAAAAGGACCACTTCTCAAATTGACTATTTCTTGAATTGACTATTTCTTGAATTGACCACTTCTTGAATTGACCACTTCTTGCAATGACCTCTTCTTGAAGTGACAATTTTATTTTTTAACTGTATTTTTTTTTTTACTATTTTTATACCCTTTCGCCAATTTAGGACCATGCCGAGACATGCTATTTTTCTTCCTCCATGTACACATAGTTGTATTAAATAAAAACTTATATGCAATGTTTTATTTGCCTGTTTTTGTCAAATGGTTGCGAAATCCATTTGCGATGGACGGAGGGACGTTACCCTTCAGGGCGATAATAAGCAATATTATCTAATGAACATCTAATTTATATACCAACTTAAATATCCATCGTCAAAATTGTGGTAATCATCTTAATCAGAAGCCGAAACATATTGAATTATAAAAGTGGTCAATGCAAGAAGTAGCGATTTCAAGAAGTGACCATTTCAAGGGGTGTTTTTTGTAGAAGCAGCATTTTAAGAAATGGTAATTTCAAGAAGTGACCACTTGTAGAAGTGGTTATTTGAAGATGTTGTCGTTTCTCATTGTGGTTCTAAACCGCCGAAAGAGAGACTAAGCCATGAACAAATTAAAGGTCAAAAGTACACATAATGCACGAGCTCGTACAAATAGATTGATGTTAAAGAAGAGAATAGATATGTAAAGAACGAAGCAGAGGACTAAAAAAGCCGTATTAGTAGAATAATATGATTAATTAACAATTCATAAAACGCATCATCTATTTGAATATGAATTGTCGATTGATCATATTATGATTCTGCCAATGCGGCCTTTTTAGCCCTGCTGTTCTGGCTAACCTAATGGTAGACTATTTAGTATGTAAGTGGTATATACACGTGTGTGTTCGCATGTAGCCAATCTTGTGTATGAAAACACTCGCATACCGCGGGCATTTGAGCACACCACTTTCAAAATTATAACATCGATACTTTGGCTTCCAGTTCGTCATGCTTATGTAGTATGTAAGTTCTAACCTCATCTACTCCATATTGTATTCTGTGAGATTTATTAACATAATGTCTCGATCCAGTTGGTTTCACGTCATTTATAAGACAAACGTATGTGATGACAACGTTTTGATCCGATGTGCTGTTCCTCAGCTTCATTGTGACCTCACATGGTTGGTTATCGGTTTTGATATATTGCATATTGGCTGAAAACTCATATATAAATACTCGTAGATCTCAAATGTAAAAAAACAGGTTTTGAGCCTTGTCTACTTATAAGGAAAGTCAAGGAAATATATATCACACTCTTAGTATTTTATACTAGAGGTTTAAAATTTCTATGAATGAATTTAACTGCTGAGAGGGTTTATGATTAATAAAAGAAGAGCATATTGAAATGAAATTCTTTAGTCTTTGTTGAGCAAAACAGAGAGGAGTGACATATCCTTGTTATGTCCAAAAATACTTTCTCGTTTTGTTTGATAATCGGTTTTGGAACCATATAAAATGGAACCATAACAGTCCATAACGACAATAGAGAAGCGAATACGATACGTACCTACCTTATTTCTGATCCATACCCTTAATGGTTCATGATGTAGGTAGATGCGTGTGTATAATGGTGTAAAGTAATTTAAAATTCCATAACTATTTTACAGTATGCATTTAGAAAAGTTAAAGATAAAAATGACAAACTGCATTTAAATGTGACAGTTGATTTAGTCTTCTGTTAATTCAGCCAGTAGATTTACTTAAAAAGATTATAAAGAAAAGATTTTCGTGATTTTCTGAGAAAGTTACCTTGACGTTACTGTAATAAAGAAGCTTTGATTGGTTTTAACCGTGATTTTTAACCGCGTAAGTGCGCCTTTATTCGACACGAATATCATCGCGCTCAGGCCGTGCGGCCGCCGCGCTGCCCTGGCAAAATACGCTATATTTGTGTAGCATTCACGTTTTATCTTAATTGAGCGTCTCGCGCGGTTGTATTGTTCAGAGGAATTTAAATGTTGTTATCTAGTAAATAGAATACAGATTCGCTAGTAATGTAACTGAAAGCGTGGTAACTGGGCAGTCATTGCGCGCGAAAATACTTTTCATACAATTTCTAGAAGCGCTGCAACCGCGCAACTTTCGCGCGACATTCACGCTCGGTTACAGTCACGATTCGTGAGGTGTACATGTTAATTTTTCAAATTAACCACTATGGGTGAAAATTGAATTGAAGAATTATGTAGAATGTAAAACAACACCCTGCAATATGGGATAGCAGTTCCGCCAGTTATTTCAATCGACTGGATAAAAACAGGCATGGGAAAATTTGGTCGCACTTCAGTGCGGCTGTCGTGAGAACTATTATTACTAACATCATAAATGAGAACCTTTGTTCCATGGTTTTTTATAAATGTAAACGCCCCCCCCCCCCCCCTTACGTTTTGCATTGAAGTGGTATTTATCCTACTGGTTTCTTTTGTTACCGCACAGAGTTACTATCGTTAAGACCTATTTGTTAAACTATAAAAATCGATCTATTTATAATCTCAGTACACAGTACTAAAAAACCAACTTCTAAAGTCATTTATCCCTTGGTTTAGCCACCATTAGAGGTGGAATATTTTCTTCAAATTTAAATGGGACCAGGTGGTACCTTCGTACCATGAGGTAAGTACCTACTTTCCAAGAAAAATGAATCATCGAAATCTTAATATACATACAAAAAGACATACAATTGAATTGAGAACCCCTCCTTTTTTTGAAGTCGGTTAAAAATATTATTTTACAAAAGTAAAGGTTTATGATGACCGCTCTTGCGAGGTTGTTAGTATTTTACAAAGAACCCTATATGTAGTTGTACATAAAATAAGATATAAATATATATAACACAAGTAACGTTCAAATAAAAAAAACGCCATTTTGCTAAAAAACTATGTCAATAATTATTAATACAAAGATCGATCTCTAAGACAAAATTCCTTCGATCCGGCTGCATTCGAACTTGCACTTTCCAGAAAACTATGCCAGACATTATGCCAGCTAAGCCATGGAACGAATCAAGCAAGCAAAAAAGTCGTTAAAAACCATAAAACCAAAAACAAAGATATGCAAGAAGCATATACAAAAATTCGTCCGCTGGTTCGTTGGCATGGCGTTTGGCAGCGAGTGGCTAATACGTTGAGTGTCTCTTTTTTTACAATACCAAGTGACGGAACGAGCAAGTCGTGGGCCTGGTGGTAAGAGACACGCCTGTTCATAACACTTGCAGTGCCACTCAGAGCTTTAAACCGCAAAGACCGGAGGGGCACTACCACTGCGCCCGTCACCTTGGGATATATGTTGACAAGTGTCATGTGCCTATAATTTCACCAGCATCCCTATCCTTCAAAACCGGAACGCAAGAAGCAAGGTGGTAGTACTTCTCTCGACGAACTCTTTCACAAGGATATATAGCTATACTGCTATTAAACAGTCTCTCAGTCCTTCCATATTTTTTTGGTATGTCATTTCATAGAAAAATGTGAGCTATGATACCCGAGGTCCCGGACCAAATATGAACCAGTTAACTAAGTGCCAAATATATTTATGTTACATTTTACAAGCGACAATGGTGTTTGTGTTCGAAATTCCAACGACTAATTGTATATGATTATTTCATTATCTGATTAGGAAGTAATATTTCACATGGAAACAAAGCGGGCAGACATTGTGCGCGGGCGCACGGCCTGTGACCTGCGTGTGATCGTTACTTTTATGTTTTGAATGTTGGTATGTCGATTAGGTGGTATATTATTTTACACATTAATATAATTCAACCCATTTTAGGCCATAGCCAGTCACGTTGGCCCAATGCGGGTTGAAAAAATAAAATCAAAAAAATCTTTATTTCATAGGTAAGCATTATTACACTTGAAATCGTTACATTGGTTAAACTACCGCTAGTAAGGGAGAGTCCCCGAGAAGAATGAGCAAGAAACTCTAGTGGTTGCTCTTTGTAAATAACATTTGTATGCATTCAACATTTACAATATATATTTTTTTTACTTTCAAACATCAGAGATCGAGACTATCTCCGTGAGCTAAACGGGTTACTACCACGGATGTTTGTCATTCAAGTACGCAGAAGTTGGATAATAAACAACTTTTAGTATAGTGTTTGTTTCACTATAGTTTTAAACCTCGTGAATGGCATATTTTGTATATCAACCGGAATCTTGTTGTAGAAGCGTATACATTGCCCCTTAAATGAATTTGTCACTTTGTGAAGACGACTATCAAGAACAGCTAGTTTATTTTTATTCATCGTATTAATGTTATGTCTGTCACTTAACATAAATTACATTTGCATAGATGTACTGTGACGCTAGTGTAAGAATATTAATTTCCTTAAACCTATCTCTCAAAGATACTCTTCGGGCCTTCTTCTGCTTCATACGCTTTCCGACGGTTGTGAACCTTCTTCGATGTGCACATTCAACGAAGTTTTCCTTCACTGAAAAGCTCATGGTTAATTTCAAACTAGATTTCGCACATAAATTCCAAAAAACTCGGCGGTGTGAACCTGGATTTGATCCACGGCCGCTACTTCAGATTCGGTAGTTCAACCACTAAGTAATCACGGCTTACACATTAATATAATAGTTATTTGTTATGCAAGCCTGGAAAGTTGTTGTTTGCCGCGAGTGCTTGAAACCTAGGGGCCTACCATAACCTTTCCAAAACCAATCTTATTTCAATGTAAGCTTAAAGTAAGCTTGTTATAATATTACTCATATTCATACCATGACGAACCTGACAACCAAGTAATGTATTATTGCAAAAGTGATTGAAAGAACCATTGACTTTTTATTTGTAAGTCAATGATTCCTTACTAAAAATAGGAAAGAGATAACGCTATTTATTTATTTATTTATTTATTTATTGGCACAACTACAGAGTACAAATCAATATTTAAATTAAACATACTTGTAAACAAATAGGCAATAAATTTACACTCCTCTTACAGTTATGCACAGCATTACAATGTAGTATAGAAAGCGGAAAATAAAAATTATAATGACGAACTAAAATACATAATTTGCAGTGACTACAAAAATAAAGTTAAAAAATAATTAAATGTTACTATATAATGCCATCTCTTTTTTTTGATGTTCCGAATCGTCTTATCGTATTATAATGTTTAAGTACTTAATGTTATTTACATTCAGAGAATTATGACTGTTAAAAAAAGAAAAGTATGTAATAATAAAATCTATTAAAATTACATTGTTTTCAATAATTATACCGCATTTTCATGAAAGTTTTGGTAGTCATGTTGTGAATTCGGAACTATAGTCTAGTGTCGAATGTTAGTTTCGCTAAAGAGCATATAGATGGCGCTGTTATAATTTTACGAAATAAACATTGCGTATTTTTATTTAACGAAAAATTATTTACTATGTGCTAATAAATAAAAAATAAACAAAATGTTGAAGAGATATATGTAAATAAATAATTACAAATAATGATTACAAATCAATATTAAGACAATAAAACTGAAAATAATATTGTTTCCATTGCATCCGTGATCCGTGTGACTATTTTAAGATTGCTAAATTTGACATAAGAGCAATATTACTTTAATGTTAAAGTCGCGTCATGATACGAACTGAGTGAATGAGTAGTCACAAAGCTGCCAATAAACGTCAGTTTTAACATTACAATAAGCTTACTTTAAGCGCGTTATGGTACGCAAAGTCAATATAAGGTTAAAGTAATATTGTTTTAAGAGGTTGTGGTAGGCCCCCTGAGCAAGCGAAGGAAGCTAAAATTATATATTCCTGAGCGTAGCGAAGGTTTCAAGGCACGAGACGCAAAACAACTTTGCTGCCGAGCGTAACATACAACTTTTCACCTCACTATAGCGAGGGAAATGGTAGAAGAAAGAAAAACAGTTGAACTATCAAACCTTTTCTAATGAAAAGAAAAAGTTTCTCTTCGGATGCGTTCTGAATTTACACCTCATCAACTTTTATTCTTGCTTGTACTTTTATTTTGTGTGATTAAGTGATTGTTGAAATTATTTTAGTTCTTCGACAAATAAAAATTATTTAATAAACACGTGGCAAGCGAAACAAATGATGAGTGAAATTCATTGCTTTCAGCTTGCTCTCCTTAACGGTCACGATTTTTCACTTCTGTGAAGTGTATTGATCGTCTGTTTCTTGTTCGACTCTGGCTTCTATTCCTATAAACCTGCTGGTAATTACCACGACTGACATTTCTAAAATTTCCTCGACTATTTCCACGATAAAAATATCTACCTTACCTGTAGGAATTGTTACCTGCAATCGGAGTACCACGTTCTCTCCCACGTGGTGCGTATCGTCCTCGTTGTCCTTGTCCGTACGCAGCTTTACTTCTTCATTCATGTTCTTGAAACTTACTTCGATGGTAATTCATGAGATGAAGTGTCGAAACCCCTTCATCTTCTGATCCACGAATGGCGTCCTTTAAAGATGTGTAACTTCTAGCTGCCATAATGGTGCTTAGTCTTCGAGCATACAGTCCACCAGTAAATCTTCTAATCGCATTACGTTCATTGATTGGTTTTAGTACTTTCAAATTATCAGAATTGTCATTAGCTGGCAAAATAGTTAAGTCTGTAAAAAGACACTCAACCTCTGATCCGTAGTCCACTATTGAACGGTCATTTTGACGTACACGTAGTAATTTCGTTTGTAAGGCAGGGTCTGATTTCTTTGTTAAAAGATGTTTGCGCATTTCGTTTACCATAAGCTGTACGCTACTATTAGAAGAACTCATTCGCAGTTTAGCTGCTGCTGATAATATCGTTTTGAGAACAAAATTTATGAGGTGCTTCGCACCATCATCTTTTAACATAGTCTCATACAATTCAATAGCGTCGATCAGTTGTACAACCCTGAATTCATCGTCAGTCGTTATTGGTAGTAAACTAACTGCTGTTTTTAACTCAAAAGAACTCATTTTATCGTCCTTTTTGTTTTCCGGTATTTTTCACAACTGTTTTATTTCATTAAAAACTAAATTTATATTATCTATTTCTCCTTGTCCTACATCTATTATTTCCTTACTTAATTTTCATTTCTTAATTAACGTCACAAAACTATTTACTGCTTCACCGAGTTTTTCTACGATCTTTTTTCTTTTTTCTTTTTCTTCTCTTTCTTTTTCTTTCCCTTTCTTTCTCTTTTCTTTTCTTTTTGCTTTTTTCAATTTTTCATCACATGTAACTCCTTTATATCTACGTTTTCCTTCTTTAATTAAATATTTTCGTATTGCAAGTAACTCATCATACAGTGTAAATAAATCTTCTGCTATTAATATAAGTACATATTTTAAATAATAAAAAAAAACAAAAAGTTACCTGTACTAATTTGCTTACCATCTACATCTATAGTGAATACTTACGCACTAATACGTATTTCGATTATATACTTTTTTTGCAAACACGCAATTTTTATCATAAATTTTCACTATCACTGTGCTATTTTTAGATTCGTTGCCTAGCCGGCTTCAGGAATGCCGGCGATGTCCATATTAGGGGATGCACTGATCACGCGCTCATCGAGTCCAAAGTTCACGCGGTTGATTTTTAATTATATACTTCGCACTTTCTTATAAACCTAAAGTACTTTTTACACTTCACTTTTTTTTTAATTATCTCCTCCGTCTCCTGAGGTTCTCATCCTCATTATCATCGCTTCAGCTTCGCGATCAAGGCGTTTACTGAGACACAAGTTGATGTATCTTAACAAAGCAAAAATTATGATGAGACCAACTATGACCACAAAAAAGCCTAAATACAGGTTCATCTGCCCCAAATGTGTGACGATCAGAGTGTTATGCTGCTCCAGATTATTGTTGTATCCAATTTGGCCAGTGTATACTTTGGCTTCCTCGCTGTTACTAGGCGGTGGCGTGAGTGGTGGATTTGATTTACACATGTTAACTTTGAAACTTGTTTTAAACTTGCAATTAATTTGAAATATTTGAACTTTGAATTTGTCGATTGTTTTTTTGTTTTTAAACTTTTAATTGAACCCTATTGTCGCGACGCGTGATACATGACGCCTGTAGTTCGGCGAGACAGGGTCGACATGTAAGGTCGTGCCACGTGAAACAAATGAGTGCCGTACAAAGACTAACTCTTTATTTAATAACAGATCGATTATATGGATGTGAATACATGACTTAACCCATTCTATATAATATGCATACACAATACACAGGTATACTACACACAATTAGTTATCATTGTCAATTTAATGTCAACAATAATAAGAATACAATACACCAACGGATTTATGTTACTTAAATAAGTAATGTATGACAAATCGCTTAAATGAACGTGCCATTAAGCGTAGTGCTAGCACTACGGGAAAGTACTGCCACCTGACTTATTTCTGCAGCCAAGCAGGAATATCAGAATACTGTGTTCCGGTTTTGAAGGGTAGGAGTGCTGGTAATATTACAGGCACATGAGACTTGTTAACTTGTGTCTCAGAGTGACGGGCGCAGTGGTAGTGCCCCTCTCGCGATTTAAAGTTCTGAGTGGCAATGCCACTGTTATGGACAGGCGTGTGGCTTACCATAAGGCGTACGACTTGTCCGTCTAGTCACTTGATATTATAAAAAAAAAAGATCAAGGTACCTACTACCGATGAAAAGCAACGGCCTCATATAAGTACTTACTTACCATTAAATTGCCTAACGGGTTAAAATTCAATTACCAAGTGTGATGAAATAGGTATATAGGCCCACTATGACGAACGAAGTGAATGACACTCGGGCTCAAAAAAACGCATAAAGGAATCGGGCGATTTTTGCAAAGATTAATTCTTCCGCTACGGTCTACTTGTTTTTTGCCGCCATCTTTTTTTTTTGCTCGTTTGTTAATTTGAACTAAACCATTTGTAAAACTTTAAACGCATAAAGTAGTGTGATAGTGATATTTATTAGAAGAAGGCACGCCGATGAAGAAGGCACGCATGACATGCATACGCAAGACGAAATGCTAAAGTACAGGTACAGTTACCTATTTCAGCCGCAAAGCAGTAATATGAACATTACTGCGTTCCAGTGTCGAAGGGTAAGGGTGTTGGTGAAATTACAGGCACATGGGACTTGTCAACTTATGTCTAAGATCTTTGCGATTAAAAGCTCCGAGTTGCACCGAGCGACCGCTTACCATCAGGCGCATGACTTGCTCGTCCCGTAAAAAAGCCAAGCTGATTTGAAGTTCCTTGTTCTATTATACCCAAGCAATGGAATTTACTCCGGCGCGCTATTCTGAACACCCAAGTTAGGTTAGCAAAGTTCATTTCCCAAATTGGTCTTACCGGAAATCGAACTCGGAGCCTCTTCATTCAGCGCCTACAGTGCAAAATCGTCCGGCCGCCGAGGTCGTTATTTTATTACTATTACTATTTATTAGATACTGTTTCACTGATTAAAACGAAAGAATCTTGTTGCTGCGACCTCGAAATCTATTTTTATTAATTTAAAACTGTGTGAGTGTATGAAATAAAAATATTATTCTATATTACAACTGCAATGAAACAACAGCCATATAGTATTTCTAATTTTAAAACCATAAAAAAAGGCGAAAACGTTTACATTGTCTCTATTTTAGTAAGAAATAAAAAACAATATGTAAATAAAAATGTAAATAAATAAAAATGCGCTGTGGCATCAACTGTGCAAGCGCTACTAGCGGTGATTCACACTAGTACAGAGGTCGACAACTATCTGGATCGTATTATTGAACCTCTAAAGTTAGTTAGGAGTCTCACTGGATATAATTTACACAACACCTAGAATTTCTAACCTAACAATATAATAACTAGTTTGTTATAGGAGTAATTTCACAAAAATAATTGAATATCAATTCAATAAAAATTTAAAATATAATAACTTTTAATATAATAATATTTTCCTTTTCTTTTACAAATTACAGAAGTACTATATACAAAACTTCAAATTACAAGGAAATATCTCATTGTTACATTAATTGTACAGAGTAGCTAGCAACTGACGAGTGTTTAATCATTATTTAGAAATATCAAATAACTTAGAAATTGATATGACATAGAACCGATATTGACCCAAAATCATTAAGTTAAGAATGTGAACGTAATATTGTTAGGTTGGGAACTGCTGGTAACCGCCTAAGACTATAGACACTCAATGACAAGTACTGTATGTATTGCGTTTTTGACGTATGTTTATATTTATTATTGTATTTTTTTAAAATAATCATCACATATCATATAATAATTATTATTAGTCGTATAATCATATAATAATTTTATTATCATTATTATATCAACGATATCGATTAGTGGACTATATAGAATTTCACTTGGCGTGAAGTATTTTATGGAAGGTCTTACAGTACGGGCAGTGTGAACAAATAAAAAGCAACTTAAAGTCTTTGCAACCATTTCAATGCCACTGTATGAATTAAATATATTATCTTTAAGGTTGATAACGGTAAAGATATTACAAACCTATTTATAATTGATTGGCACACACTGCTAACAGTTGACTGTATGTGTGCAGTTAATCGCAGCAGTAAAATGCAGTCCATCTCGGCTTCATGCAGTCAATGCGTGAAGTGCGTGAAGTCGTTATCCGACATCTCGACTGCATGAAGTTGATAACGACTTCGCGTATTAATTGCAAACATGCAGTCAATCTGTTAGCAGTCCTATTCTGCCGTCCTTATTATAAATAATTCATTATAAAAAATTCTTCAGTTGAGTTCTTAAGAGTGAAAACTATTCATCTTCACAAGCCATTCTTGTTGATATAATTTATTACATCAACTGCATTATCTAAATAATAAAAAAAAGTATGCCAAATGTCGTTTATCTCTGTAGCGTGTCGAGCGGCCAGAAGGCTTTGTACCGTATCATTTGTTATGATTCCGGCACCACTGCCGCCAATTCCAACTAATAAAACTTACAATTCATACAATGCAATGCAATATTGCTATTTGATATTTTCCATACATACATCTAAAGTGAGACGAAAGTTTAGATTTAGAATAGGTGGTGGAATTCGTTTTGTAATGTGATTTGTTGTTGGTTTAGAACAAAGGAAATAATATGTTTTTAGACATTCGAGTTGTGTTGTTTTGTGTCTGTGGGTTCTGTTGGACTGTTTGTGCACAGTTTGGTAGTAAGTTTGAAGTTTAATTTTAAACATATTATTTTAAGAGATGGAGGTTAAATGCGTACCTATTTTCGCTGCAAAAAAATTGTAAATGGTTTTATTTGTAATGGTACATTTACCAGCACAATTACCCTTTGTGGCTGCAGGTTATTGCCCTATTATATATGTGTAATGTATATTTATATTTAAATTTACAAACTTCTAAGAAGTTAGTAAAAAAATCTGAAAATAATATAATGTTCTAAATTAAGAAATAACTGTATTTGTCATACTCGCCTTTTGGAAGAAACAATTATTTGTGAGGTAGAGTTCTGAAACTGGCACAATTTTTTCATTTATTATTCAAATTAGCATAATATGTAATTATTGCAAAAAATATAAATAAATACATGTAACTATGAATAATTGGAATTTAAAAAAAAATACTGAAAATTAAAAATAAAATGAAATTAGCGATGATGTAATTCTGGATAACAATCTGTCGATGAAACTATGTCAATGAAAAAATCACATTATTATCCTGCAATTACTCTACTATTTACAGTCATCTGGATCCATGTAAACGTTATATAATTTCAAGGTTATCTCACCGGTAATTTCACACATGCAATATTGATGTGCGGTACCTGACAAGTATAAAAACATCTCTCACATTCTATATAAAACGTACAAAATCAAGATTCATTTTATACTTGTCTATCTGTCGTGTATTCCGATATTTATGATATAAACTAGTATTCCAGTAATAAAATGTGTCATTGGAAGGTTGTACTTGGCGGCTCTGACTGAACGCGGCGTGTTTAGTATTTTTTATGTGTAATCTGTATCTACAAACATGTTTGATTATATGGACTTTCTTAAGTGGCTGTATTATGGTACTGTTATTTGATATTTTTCAAAAGTTTAACGTGTTATTGTGATTGGTATACCTCGTAATTTGGTAAAGCAGCCGAACAACCCAACTGAGTCTAATACACTTGTTAAGAGCCATCTATGAATTTAAATAGTCAATGATTATATTAATTTTATTTGCAGGTGTAACGATAAGTGTGGGCTTAGATCGTGATAATAATGATGAATATTATAATACGAAGGTGAGATAAACACTTCCTTACACTCATTTACACTCTAACAGCAAACATCACAATCTTCCACGTTTGACGACTCGATATAACTTCAAATGGCTTTGGTTGATTCCACATAACAGTGAAAGTATTGAATCAATCACTTTGGGAAAAATATATATTAAAATTGAGGATATACATTGATTAGTACATGGTGTGAAAACACGATTCCTAAAAATGTTCACGGTAGAAAAAGAACACGAACTTACCGCGAAATTTTACAAGAAAACCGTTGTACTCAATAGGTATTTTACATATACCAATGATTTTTTTATATCAACTAAACTAAATAGAATTCGTATATTATATAATATACATTTTTCAAATTGCTTTAATTTCGTTTGCTAAAAAATAAATTCTGAAATAAAGCCAGTGCGCCTGCCGCTCGACCCAAGCAAATTGAACCGTATTAGCATGGGAAAAAATTGAATTCGAGCCGAGGTAGTACCTATCGACTCTAAGTAAAATTTTTGTATATGTGATTATTTTCCTATTGTTACAGGGTTCATGTCCACAAAACACAACCTGTGTACCCATCAGCGCCTGCCCGGTGTTACAAGATCTATTGGACTTCTCGTGCTTTTCTTCAGACAAGTAAAATATAATTAATAGGTTCAGGCATTACTTTGCGGAAATCCATGTTAATAAAAATGGAAGTAAATTAATTTGCTACTCCGCGAACCCAGTGAAGGTTAAATCGTGCAAAATAGCTGCGCTTGTATTGAATACTTTTGTCTCTCTTCTAACCTAACCAACCTCCGCATAAAATTCATAAAATATAATTCATAATATCTGTGGCTCAAGTGATAAGGTGTACATTGTAGAAGTCAAAAACCCACCTTAACAAGAAGACGCGAAGAACAGATAAAGAATAATACAACAGTAGTCTGTTTCGTGTTTGCTTGTAACGTTGGCTTTTTCGACTTGTACCCCTTTTGACCAGAGCCAAGAATTCTTCGGCCGAGGGTCGAACAATTAACAACCGAGTGTTTTTACACCCCAATTTTGTGATGCCCTTTTCTTCCAGATTCCTATAGTTTGAACTAATAATACAAATGCGAAAGTAGAACAGCGGTGTGACAAATATCTATGGTTTAAGAAAAAAAAAATCATTCGGATAAAAATAAAAAATCATTTGCAATGTGCGGTACGTGACAGGAATATTCGAAAATTACTGGCCAACCGACTTAGTCGTCAAGTACCAGTAATGAAGCACAAGTGATCGGTAACGACAAAGGTTCATTGGTTACGAAGTTATTTGATTTTTTCCGTTTTAATTTTTTTACTTCAATAATCCGCCGCTTTAACTGTCTTCTACATACTCTAAAATTATCATGAAATTTAGTCAGGGTTGTCACTTTTAATATCTGGTAATTTTTTCTTAAAAATTACACTGCTTTGCGATGAAATAATTGTTGTCAATTTTACCTGTAGTATTTTTTGTGCTGGTTATGAGAAAAGTAATGAAAAAGTCCTAAATGTGTGATTTGTGCGTTATGTTTTTGTTCACCCACAAATAACACAATAAGTTTAGACTTTTAAAGCGCAGGAAGCATAGGATAAACGGGATCGCCGAATAGCAAATTAATTTACTTCCATTTTTATTAAAAATATTTTTTTCTTTTGTTTCGTATACGTGTACAAGAAATCACCTTCTACGTACAATTGTATTATTTATAGAGCATTTTTGTCCAAGGATACACATTCTATGCCGAAAAGTTGATTAGTCATCGTGAATTGAAATAAATGTGTTAGAAATGTAGGCCAAATCACATTGTGTGTAAGGCTTTGAAGGACTTTTCAAATACTATGTAATATATTACTTTAGTACGAATCTATGCTACTGAATTTGTCGATGAATAAGGTTGAACCTAGTTCCGTATTTCTTACCAGTACAATAAAATTTAGACCGAAATAGGGTCTTCTTTAGAAATATAAAAATAAATACCAGACGTATTTAGACTTATGTAAGAGGCTTACCTAGTCCAGTGTATATTTCATAGCAAATTACACTCGAAATCGTCATATTGAATAAACTCTATTGCTCATTCGTAAGGCAGTATCCCCTAAAAAAATTTTGCAGGAAACCCAAGGAGTTGCTCTTTGTAAATAAACACATTTATCATTTACAATATTAATTTCAAATGTCATACACCTAAAAAATTTGCAAGGGTTAAACGGGTCATTACCTCGGATCTTTCTTATCCAAGTACGCAGAAGCTGTATGAATAACCTTTGTTATAAAGGTTTTGTTTCACTAAAGCTTGAAACCTCGTTAACGACACATTTTGAATATCTATCGTAATCTTTTTATAAAAGCGTATACATTGTCCCTTAAATAAATTTGTTACTTTGTGAAGACGTCTGTGAAGAACAGCCGGTTTATTTGTATTCCTCTTAGTCTGTCACTATTTTTTTTTTTTTCATAAAAAAATACTATTCTGTAATAATTATTAATACAAAGATCTAACACTGAGAAAAAATTACTTCAACCCGGCTGGATTCGAACCAACGTCTTCCAGCACACCGTGCCAGACGCCATGCCAACTAAGGAACGGAACGAACTATCAAAATTAACAACTTAGTTAAATTAACACATTACTTTCAAAAATCGAAGAAATTTTTTCTTAGTGTTCGATCTTAGTATCGATGATTATTACAAACTAGTGGAGTAACTTCACAAAAATAATTGAATATCACAATGGTCAAACATCAGACATTCAATAAACTTAAAAATTAGAAATGACTATTCTTCTTAATATAAATTACATTTTCATAAATAATAATAATAATAAATTTATATCTCTCCACAAATTTTGGTTACAACCACTGGCACTTTGGTTACAAACATATATTATTTTCTAAAGCGACAAAATTTGTAGGAAAATGGAGTCTAAACTAGATCAGATTTCCGTGTCTTAGGCTTCCAGGCTCCCCACTTCAAACTTAATGCCATTTAAATTTATACTAATTTTAATAGAGATGTAATGTAACAATTTAAAACTATACTATAAATAAAAATAACTTAGGGAAACATATATTTAAAACAGTCGTATGTAGCTGTGTGCACGTGTTTCTTGTGATTATGATTGCATTGAATAAATGATGTACTTAGTTTTGTCAGCGTCGTGTGTCAAAGAATTAGCTGCTAGTCAATGACAAACAGTCTTGAATCCCGTTTGTGCCAATTTAAAAAGTTCTTCTCATGACCGCAAATAAAATGTTAAATCATCAAAAATCGTCTGCGTACGATGCCACCCTGCATTTCGTCAAATATATCTGACATAATTTGTTTATATAAAACAGAAAGATAAATGTACTTACTGTGATGCTAGTGCAAGAATGTTTATTTCATGACTTAAAGATACTCTGGGGCTCAGATTATAAAAAAAAAGAAGATTTTATTAATATTGACGGCATTACCCCAAACCTTTCTGACTAATCACTTTCCTGATATAGAAATACCTTACTCAGGTACTTCCACCGTCTAAACGAGCTGACCTGCGGCAACGCCAACAATGAGGACTATGTTTGCTGCCCGTCATGCGATTGCGGCAAGGTATACCTGGCCGGCACGGAGCAATGTGGACAGAGCATGGTGAAGGGTGTCGACTATAAAGGCATTGGGACTCACCCTTGGGTTGCTAGGATTGGATTTACCCGTAAGTTTTTTCTACTTTTTAAAAGTATAATTGATGTGCATAGTAATCAGATGTCTAAAATCAAGCCCAGTTGTGCGCTTTGTAAAACGCCTGTTGTATTTGTAGTGGTTGATCTTTTCGATTTCGCTCAGGCTTCGAAATTATCAAATTATTTGTATTGTTTAATAATTATCATGATAATTATCTGATAATCATCCGACATATGTTTGATAGTTATCGACGATTATTCATAGTTCTTACTCATTTATTTTTGATTAAAAATGACAAACAAACACGGAAAACGATTTGGTTTGTGACATTTTGAGATTGATATTTGTCCGGTTTGGATACGTCCTAAGACGATATAAACATATGGTACCATATTGCTAGCGGTAGCATTTTGTTGTTACAATTAGTTTTATGGTACCAAGATAATTATCAAGGTACATTTAGGAAGATAGGTATCGTCATAGGAAATAAAACTATTTTTTCGGGCCTAGATCGCGTAAATTTGTTTTTTCAAACAAACCAACATTTCGGGCCCTTTACAGATCAGTCAGCTCTAACCAACCTGAAAAAGACCCACAACTTTTGTTTGTGTTGCGAAAACCTAAGAACTCGATAATTATCCTCATAAATTATCACTAGATTAATTATCACTTCAAACCCTGATTTTGCAACAGAAATTTTATATTTTGTTTTCAGATAAAGAAAAAGGAACGGTAAAATTTGCTTGCACCGGCTCCATCATTGCTAACCACGTTGTTTTGACCGCAGCTCATTGTGCTTTAGCTAAGAACGATGGATATAAATTGTAAGTATTAAATGATAAATTTGCCTTAAAATCTGTATAATATTGATTGTTGATAGCTGAATACTGCGATTGTGTGCTGCCTGCTGCTGCCTTTGTAAGTTCTTCTAATGATGTTGCTTTTTACGAGAAGTCGCTTACATATAAATGATTTATCGTCATGTAAATGTTTGCGAAAACAGAAAGTATGATTATACCATAATGTGCCCTTGGTGTAATAATGCCACATGTGATCATACGTCAAAAGCACTTGTAAAGCATGAAACTATTTACTAACTAAATAAAAATAACACGAACTATATGAAACAAATTACATATATTATGCGAAATTTTATCTCTCTTATTTAAAAGCATAAAAAGTTATCGACCAATTTCGTTCATAGAATGCCTAAAACTCACTCCTGGAAACTTGTAATTTTGCACCATAGTTGCGGAATATAAAAAAAATAATTGTCCTAGACTGTCGTCTTCACCAGTATTGGTCCCATTTAAATTTGAAGAAAACTTTCCACCTCTAAGCGTGGCACATTGAATGCACTGGAATCCGGTTTCGCGCACTTTGCTTTACTTTACTTAACCGATTTATATATAGATGTAATTCCACGAACTATGGAGGTCTTTTTTAAAAAAAGATCTTGAAATTTCAATTTTCCTATACCTGTGATTGTTTCTTCCAGGTCAACAGTAGTAGTTGGAGAATGGGACATTGGCCGCAGTCCTGACTGCAACGATATGTTTTGTGCTCCACCGACTCAGGCCATCAAAGTAGACAGTGTGATAGTTCATCCCGGGTATGAACAGAAAATATTCCGCCATGACATTGCACTTATTGTGTTGAAGGAGGATATAAAATTCTCGGGTAAGTGTAAACCTATTTCATAAAAAGTTATTTGTATCTATTTAGTAGTATCAGAGCTCCTTGTGAAAGAGTTCGTCGAGGGATCTTTTGCCGCCGCCTTCTGCTGCCGAGCGATAATGTAGGGCAAAGGTGTTGATGAAATTATAAGCATATAAGACTCAACTCACAAACGCACAAAAGACTTGCGATTTTCTTCTTATAGTATCGATGACGTACCTAGATATATTGATTGTTATCATGGCGAAAGGATTTGCCAGTCGAGACGTAAGGTACTTGCCGATTGTTGCCCAGGGCTCGCCAGACTTTCAGGAAAGGAATGTGATGTCATGCGACGAGGGTCCTTTCGAGCACCCCAATTTGCGATCTAAAGCTCTGAGTGGCACTTTACAACTGCTATGGGCAGTCTGAATGTCCCTAGCCTGGTGTTTCAGACGCACGACTTGTTCGTCCTGTCACTTGATACCATAAAAGTATATCTTTAAATACAGCGTTTAAAATTGCACACTAGGTAGTATGAAGTTCCTTTATTAATAAATCTATAAGTAGCTGGTGTAACGGACCGTAAAAATGGGGTTCGGAAGTTAACGGGGAAGGAAGAGAAAACGTTCTATTAGTTTATTTAATAAAAAGTAATTTTTATTAAAAAAAATGGAACCGACTTCAAATTTCGCTTATATGTACATACAAACTGAAACTAAAAAGTTAATAATGGGTTACCAGAGAATGCGCGATACCGGATTCATCCCGTAGTTTGCCACCCTTAGAGGTGAAATATTCTCGTCAAATTTAAAAGGTACCAATACAGAGGTACCTTGTTTCAATTATCATTAAAATTGGTTTACAAATTATATATATAATCGCGTAACAAAAACAAAAAAATACAGTCGAATCTCCTCCTTTTGTTGAAGTCGGTTAAAAACAGAACTAAATTATAAGAGCGATTATACACGGACACTTTTAGCAGCGATGCAAACGCGTTGCGGAGCTTATCGTCTACCTGTACACACGCGCGCGATTTTAAGCAGCGATGCAAGCTCGCGACTGCATCGATAGAAAAGCGCTATTGCACCGCTACACTTTTGATTTATAGCCAATTGCATCGATGCAATCGCACGTTTTGTCGATGCAGTCGCGCGTTTGCATCGATGCAATCGCCTATAAATCGCAAGTGTAACGACGCAACCGCGTCTTTCACGAACGCGTGTTTAAAAGTCTCCGTGTGTAACCAGTCTAAGATGTGCTCGAGCATCAAAAATAGACAGAACAACGGCAAATCAAGGAAAAGGCGTCAAAAACGAATATATTTAAATTTAGTAGTAGTCTAAACCTAAACTGATAAAAAAGACCACAAAATGCAAAAAATATAGTGACTGTTGCAGTTATGGGGGCTAAAAATCAAAATAAAAAAGTCATTGTGACTATTGGATTGTAGAAACAGGTAGGATTAGCAAATAGGTAAAATAGAATGGGCTTGAATTGGATATTGGGTTGAAATAATAAAAACAATCTGATAACTAAAATTCAAAAAACAGACTATAATTAACGTCACAACACCATTTGCCCTTGAATGTCAGATCCCCATCAGATTGACTGACGACTTCCTGGTATGATCTTGTCAATTATGATCTCTTTTATTACAGTGACAGCAGCTCCGATTTGCCTAAACGATAATCCGGAAGTTATATTAAATGAACGTGCTTCACTTGTCGGCTGGGGCCAATTATCCGGACAAAAAAACCTGGTATGAATCGTATAGACTGATTATAGAAGTATTTGATGGAAACATATTGCCGTATGCATTTGAATGTCATAGGTATTGTTAGCCTTGAGTGTAGTTAGATTTTAGTAGCGATAACTTGGTTTTGGTTTTAATACGTGAGTAGCGAAAATGTTCACTGTAATGGATTTTATATACACATATCAATATATGATACCATCCAGAAGGACATAAGTCGTACCCTAGGTAAGGTCGCAATTGTAAAATGACAACTTTTAGTTAATTTCACAAATACGTAATTAGTTTGCCATGGCCATCCAGTTGCGCCGTAAGGCGCATGCTATCAGCTTTCTCTATAACGTTCTACATGACCATCTTACTCCGCCATTCCTTATGGAGCGTTTTCGCTTTCTCATGGTCCTCCCCGATTCTCCACAACCGTGAACTAAGATCTAAAATGGTTAACCTACTGAAACCTCCGTTCACCCGCTCCGATTGTTTCAAAGACTCCTTTACAATTAAGGCTGCACTATTTTATTGTGGAAGGAACTCCCGTCTGAAATCCGACATTCTATGTCGCTTCCTATTTTCAAAATTGGATTGCGTAAATATCTATTGACACGGTCCTATGGTCCTAGTCTGCAACGTGTATATTAATAAGTGTATTTAGGTATATTTGTATATACAAATACGTAAGTGTACTGTGTCGTTATTTATAAGTATATGTCGTTATAATTATAAGTATTTAATAAAATATAAAGTAAATATTTGTTTATATAATTAATTTTTATATAGTTGTCTGAAAGAGATCGCTCTTGGCGGTAAGGCCGCATTTGCCCACATATCGTTTTATGCACTGTTTTTGTTCTTGTGTGTTAGCAATAAAGTGGCATATCTATCTATCTAGATTACATAGGACGCACTATAAGTTTCCGGAACTGGTCACTTACATAAACAATACTTAAAAAGTAATTACAACATTTAAAAATGGAACTCTTTCGCTGTATTATACAGTTTCATCAGACTGTCACTTGTTTTTACATTGTGGCGTCATTGACTTAACTCGTGAAAATTTTCGTAGTATGATTTTTTGCGATTTTAAGTGTAATTTAACAGCTCAGCGGAGCTTCCCTCGGCTTCAAACTGCTTTTGGCGATAAAGCACCATGCAAGACGACTATTTATAGCTGGTTTGCAGAATTCAAACGCGGTCGTGTGAATCTCAGTGATGAATTTCGTGATGGTCGCCCGTCCACTGCTGTGAACAACAAAAACATCGATGCTGTGTGCCGTATGATCAAAACAGGCAGGCATGTGACATACCATGAGATTCGGACATCTTTAGGCATAGGCATGAGTCAAATACAATCAATACTACACAAACATTGACTGATGCTCAAAGAACGGATCGCGTCACTTGGTGCAATGCCATGCTTATCAGATTCAACGAAGGGGCATCAAATTTGGTGTAGGACATAGTAACAAGTGACGAATCATGGATTTATAGTTACGATCGCAAAACATAGCAGCAATCGAGCGTATCGGTTTTTCGAGATGAGCCGAAACCAACCAAAGTGGCGCGCATGCAAAGTGCCTGTTAGCGAATGATTGCTTCTTTTTTAAATAAAATTAGACACCTGGCCGTTTGTTTGCCGGAATTTATTGACAAACTCCGTAAAAATAACCGTAAACGCCGTTTCATCTTGAACCACGATAATGTCAGTTCTCACACGGCTAGACAGTCAAATGAATTTTTGAAGGTGAACAGCTGGGAGTGCATACGCGGCTCATCTGATGTTGCAGATGTAGATGACTGCCTTCCATCAAGTGGCTCGTCTCCTCATTTGCCTCCTACTTTACATTGTTTCATCGTATAGTTCATCATCATCATCAATCCTTTTAAACGTCCCACTGCTGGGCACTAGTCTCCTTTCAGACGAGGATTTAGGCCATAGTCCGCCACGCTGGCCCAATGCGGGTTGGGGAATTCACACGTTTTCCTAGGGTTGTGAACCTTCTTCGACGTGCAGATTTCATCACCATGTCTTCCTTCACTGAAAAGTTCATGATATATTTCAAATTAAATTTCCCACATAAATTCCGAGAAAATCAGAGGTGCGAGCCCGGATTCGAACCCACGACCCTCTGTTTGATACCATTACGCTACCACGGCTAGTATAGTTCATTATCTATATGATTATGTTCCAGGTGACCCGCCAGCAATTATTGCACGTGCCACTCGTTCCTTTAGAGCTATGCGAGAACGTTTTCGGTAAAACGGTTCCCATAAATGAAGCTCAAATCTGCGCTGGCGGCGAAGCAGGTAGGGATGCGTGTTCAGGATTTGGGGGAGCACCGTTACTGGTCATGAGAGATGCTCAGTACGTACAGGTAAGGTTTATAAAGTAACGAAAATAAATTGAAAAGGTTTAAATTTTTTACCGTCTAATCTAATGCTTTTAGTGTTGGAATTTTCTTTAACCTCCTTATAAACTAGACTATTTATGCTTGGGATTGTATAACTTATATATCCTATTAATATACAGGGTTAATTTTCATCTATTCACAAAACATAATAAATTTACCAAAAATAAACTTTCAAGTTTTGTTGTACTGCTAACACTTTTTAGATCTTTATCTTTTCTTTATCGATATTTGGTAGTAAGGAAAGTTCAAACGTGCAATCGTATTCTGCGACGACTCCCACGTCGTCCGTTACGAACGTTCGAGACGTATTATCTGTACGACAGTACGTCATTTTATTTTTACAGTACTGGTATTTTTTATAATTTATATTAATTTTTTATTTGTGTACTGACGCCCCTAGATTCTCATTGGAATAAACCTCTCTTGCTTCACTTACATTCATCAATCTTTTCACACATGCCCTCTTATTTTTCTCACTACGCACTCCAGTCTTTTTAAGAACACTCTAAAAATGATCAGAGAATGTTCTTTGTGGCAGTTCTCTTCCAATGATTCCTTCTAAGTTAGCTCTACATATTTCTTTCCTTAATCTACTTTCATTCATCCGCTCCATGTGCCTAAACCACCTCAGCATACCTTGTTCTATTTTTGTCACTACATCCTCATTCAAATCACATTTTTCATGGATCACAGCATTCCTCACTCTGTCACACAGCCGCACACCACATATCCTTCTGATTTATGTATTTTTTATAACCCTGTATAAAAAGGAAGCACTATTCGTCGGTTAGGCACATACTCTTCACTAATGCTTCTAAAGGTACAATATAGGACGTACAGTCATTAAAAAGATCTTTTTGTTATATAGGGAATTTCACGAAGACAAACTTAGTGCTATATGTAGCCCTGATGCGTGTTAGCAACTCAAGGAAACTGTATGCATTAATATTAATACCCAATAATTTAAAATTGACTCAAATAACTATAATCAAGATTAAATTACTGACTGGCGTATTAGATGCATATGTGCACGTCCACGTGATATAATAAAAAAAAATCTTACAGTTAGTCTGTTGAAGTACCTGTAAGTGTACAATATACCTTCGTTATGTTTGTATTGTCTAATGTTTTGCTTGATACAATGAAACTATACTTATTTTGTTACTTTTCAATTTCTATACAATCCGTGTTTTCACAAGTACACACGTCAAAAGTATCTAGGTATCAAGCAAGTTTTTGCTAATTACCAATGGATTATTTTTGGTCAATTTCATTTTCCAAATTTAAATTATAAAATGGACAAAAATCCATTGGTGTTAGAAAATTTTTTTTTTTTCATTAAAAAAAAAATTGGTTAAAAAACCGGATTTCCAGTAATTGGCAAAAAGGTTCTTGATCCTTAGACGCCGTTGATGTGCGTAAGTAAATGAATTATTAAAAAATTTAAAAAAAAGAAAATTATAAAAAAAGTTTTCAAATTGAGCTTTGAGCTGAGCGATAATGCTTTTTCCTCGGAAATCTTTAAATATCGACATATTGACACTTTGTCTTGAAATTTCAAGTTTTGGGCAAATATGTAATATAATACTTTAGCACAATTTCAATCGACTGTTTATTATAATTTATTAAAGTATGCCTGAAAATACATTGTGCTTTGTAACTTTTCATTATTTAGTTGATTTTCTAATTCACATTATTAGCCTGTATTATATTAAGTCACTACACAAAATGTGACTTAAAAAAATTTTCAAAATAATGATTTATGATAAAGTCAAAAATGTTTAATGGAAGAGAAATGCCGACTTACGTACTCGAGAGACCAACAAACCGATAGCGCGTTTTAATGTACTAATGACGTCATCTAGTGGTAAAGCAAAGTAATTAAAGTTATTAAATGCTATGTAATATGTTAATTTGTGCAGAGATATAAAAGACACCACTGAAATGTTATAATGTTATATTTTATTTCCGTTTGAAAAAATAGCGACAAAGAGTTTATCTACACACATAACATAAAACCTCTATGATGTGTTCAAAAACCGTAAATTACGACTCTTCTTTTCTTTCGTATTACTCTTGACAGAGTGGTCGTGGTCATCACGGAGTACGTTTGTTAACGGCCGATGTGGCTTGCCTCACGACATCTTGCCATCTCTCTCTGTTAGTGAACTCCCTCGTGCTCTCATGTAAAGGACCACCCACTGCAGATTTTATTTGATCGGTCCATCGAATGGGTGACCTTCCGCGCATTCTAGTGCCTTCTACTCTGCCTTGCATAATAAGACGCTCTATGGAGTCAAAATTCCGTCTTGAGACGTGACCGAAGAATTTCAGGATGCGATGTTGTACCGCAGTAGACAGACAGACAGAGTATGGAGGCGTTTGAACGAACGTCTGTCCACGATACCCCCAAGCATTCTTCTCCAGCATCACATTTCCAAAGCGTCCATCTTCTTCTCGATTTCACGGAGTGTGCATGTCTCTGCAGCGTACAGAAATGTGGGGAAAAATAGGGTTTGGACCAACCGGATTTTAGTGGTCTTGGTAATGTTTCTATTTCTCCATATTTTCCTCAATTTATCTATTGCTGTTCTAGATACTGCCATACGTCTTGTCATTTCATCTACGTATCCACCAGTGTTCGAAATTAAAGCTCCAAGATATACGTAGGACTGGACCACAGTTTGCAATTGCAACTTCTAACTTGTAACTTCCAGCAAAATGTGATTAATGCGATTCACAATCCTTATCTAAGTTTTACTGCGATTTATCTTTAATCCAAATTAAAGGCTCACACGCTCCATTTTGAGAAGTAGCTTAGCTCTTCCATATGGCCAGCACTAATAGCACATAATGTGGTGTCATCGGCGTAGCGAAGATTTGTAATTTTGTAACCACCAACAGCGACACCGTCCGTCTAGTCCTCCAAAGGGATTCACATAATAAACTCAGTATATGCGTTGAACAAGACTGGTGATATTATGCATTCTTGGCATACGCCTGCACTGGGATGGAAATTTCCTGACAGGATGTCGTCTGTCCGTACTGAAGCTATGCCTTCTTCATACAATCGGAAGGTCTCAGAAGGTATACAAAATGTTCCGGCGTGCCCATTTCCAGCAATGTTTTCCATGCTATTGGCCATTTTACTGAGTCAAACGCTTTAGAGAAGTCAACGAAGGAGATGTAAGTAGGTTTGTTGAATTCTCTGGCCTTTTCAATAACCTGGCGAACAATCAAAATTTGTTCTCGGGTGCCCTTCCCTTTCACAAATCCCGCCTGCTGTGGTGCGATCTCCCTGGACAAATAGGCCTTCAGTCGTTCGTTAAGAATATGCAGTAAAATTTTGCTGGCGTGTGAGATGAGTGCAATAAGGCGATAGTTGCTACATTCCTTTGTGGAACCTTTTTTGTGGAACCATACCTTGTTGCAGATGGTATGAAAGACATTGGTGACGTGTTCTCCTGAAGCTTTTAAAGTCTCTATAGGGATTGTATCGCTGCCTTACCATTCTTTAGGTGTTTGATGGCGGCTTTGACTTCAGATTTTAGTAAGTCTGGTTCCAGTTTGTCTTTTTCAGGCTTTGTAGTGGGAAAATTTTGCACCTGAGGGTCATGGAACAGGGATTGACAGTAACTCTTCCAGGTCTCAGAGATTTGGTTCAGCCCTGTTACTATTTCACCTTTGTCGTCTTTAATGACCCAGGTTTTCGAGGTCAGTGACCTTGCTATGAAACGAATCTTATGGTAGAGTTCGCGGGATTCGCACCTATCCGAGTGTACCTCTATTTCCTTGCATGTGCTTGATCTCGTCGGCACTTGGTTTGAATCTTAGCAAATATTTTGTTTAGGTCTCTAACATCTGCAACTTTCGCTTTCATGGTCCGCCTCTCGTCGACTACTGCAAGAGTGCTATCGGTCATCCAGTATTGCCGTTTCCTTGTTTCAGCTGGTACATTTATTGCTGATATCGCAGTTTGGATGAGGTGTTTGGCTCGATTCCATAGTGGAACCGACGTCTCCTTATCGTGGTTTCCATCTGTCCATCGTGAATAATTTTGTTCCAATGCCGCCCTAAACTTAGAGGTGTCCTTAACTTCTAGTCTCCTTTGCTTGTCAGGGGTTCTGGCTGCAGTCAACTTTGCCTTCTTACTTAACTTTACCTTTTAAATTACGACTAGCATAAAGATAAACTGTTTTGTTAGAACAAATTTCTTATCTGTGAAAATGTTATTATTGCTCTATAGTATATAGTATATTATTATACTCGATGTCAATGCCTCCTATTAACATCAAAAACGGTTTTATTATTACAATCAAATTTCGAACATCTCTGAAAAACAAAACAATTTGATTCGACCTAAATTCTAATATCAGTAGAGATGAAGTTTTATTCGAAATGAAACGTCAATAGCAAACAATATTGACAAATTTCATACGTTACTTGATATCGAACGATATGATAGTTGGGACCGACTCTAGTTTGTCTGTGAATAACAAAAAAACTACGGTTGTGTAACATGCGTCAGAAAAGTTTTTATTTGCCGCCATTTCGCCAGTCATAACATACGGTTTCTGAACCCATCAGAAAGCTTATAATGTAACTGTACATAATTAGGCATCAAAACTCGCCTGTCGGCTCGTTTCATAAACCCACACTCGTATTTTAATGCCTTTCATTATGTAACAGTCACATAAACTACTATTTGTAAATTTTTATTTTAAAAGCTGCTTTGGTTGAAATTTTTAAGATTAGAAGCATATACTACTAAGTATGACAGTTGATTTTTAAATTGTTTTTGTTTACAAGACAAGAGACACTTATTTATCTAAAGGTGAAATAAAAAATTCAAATTTATAATGGCCACAGATCAAACAAATATGACAATCTCATTGTGGTATTTTTTATTCGACCGGTAAATGCAATTTGAACTCTTTGCTGCTTTTAATTGTATAAATTGTACATCTGTTAAAATATAATACTGTTTATTAAGAGTAATCTCATATTTAATTGTAATTTACGTACCTAATATCATTTTATTATTTCTAGATTGGCATTGTGTCTTTTGGCTCCGAAGACTGCGGCCAGGAGGGCATTCCCAGCGTCTACACGAAAATCGCACACTATTACAAGTGGATTGTAGACACTATACCAAAAATTTAACACTTTCACACATTATACACGTTGCTTCACTTCAAAATCACAAATTTTATGGATATCAATTTAAACCACTTACATCAATGATAAAAACGGAATTCAGTTGAAATAATTTTAAAAATATTCAGAAAGAACGATATTAAACTACATTGTTCAATTATATAATGACTATTACTTATGATTTTATTATGACATTCATTTATTTTTGTGAAATTACTTCACTAGCTTGTTATAATTATTAAAACAAAGATTGAACACAAAGAAAAAATCCTTCGATATGACAGGACTCGAGCCTGCGTCTGTATGATAATCTAGGTCAATTAGGTGCTTTTAGTTTAGGCCAGTAGTAGTAAAGCCCCTTGTGAAAGAGTTTGTCCAGGGAAGAACTGCCACCTTACCTATTTCTTCTGCCGCCAAGCAGTAATGTGGCCATTACTACGTTTCGGTTTTCTAGGGTAAGGGTGCTGGTGAAATTACAGGCACATAGGACTTTACAACTTATGTTTCAGGGTGTCGGGCGCATTGGCAGTGCCCCTTCTTTGCGATTTAAAGTTTTGAGCGGCAGTACAACTGTTATGAACTGGCGTGTCGCGTACCACCGCCTGGTGTCGTTTGCCACCGCACGACTTATTCGTCCCTTCACTTGGTATCATAAAAAAGGGCAACAAGTTGTGTTCATTCTTTGTATTAATAATTATAACGTAAAGTAAGATACAAAATATGTATATAAATAAATAATTTATTAATAAGACAATAGTAGATTGTACAACAAGTGCATAAAACGCGTCATTGTACCCGAGACGAGTATGTCCTGGATACTTAAGTCGAGGGTAAAATGAGTCTTATGAACGAGTTATACACTCTGCCTTTCACTTAGATTGCGAGGAAATTAAACAGCAATATTACAAATAATGGATAATACAATTATTGCCCAGAAAAAGTAAGAACTTTCCGCCGCTTTTCTTAAAGTTTTATGCATTTCTATTTCTTATAACTTATTAGAATTACTATTGCCTACTTTTTTAATTTTGTAATATAACACGGATTTAAAAAACAAAAGTAAAACTTTATTTTATAAATTTCTAGTGTGCGTGGCTGTTGGCGCAGGCGTCATTGCCTCGGTCTTAAACGACGATTTTATTTTATGCACTAGACCATAAAATCCTACTTTATGCAGCCTACACCCAGCATAAATACGAATTTTAAGAGCATGAGAAGTGAAAAATATTTAATCAACTGTTTTAAATTCTGTAATAGTCACATATTAACATGCAGAATTTCTACGAGACAATTTGATTAAATTGTATTGGGTATTGTATTGTTTATTGTGTAATAATTTGTTTCGCTGGTGGTTTCGTTCCCCGTAACAGTATTGATTGCATACGTAGTAAGAATGGTACTAAGAGCTACTCTATTGAAGTAGGCTTCACATGGAGTCTGGTATTTCAATATTTCGCAAAGAGTTCCCATTAAGTTCTTTAAAGCATTGTCTTGAAAGGTTTGGTTGAAAGTCTGAAACAAACAAGACTGTTAGGAAAAATATCATCTCAAATTAGTATCAATCATAGGGTGCATGCCCTTGGGCAAAAACGAAGTCGGTAGTATTTCTGAGCACTCGTATGGTATTTCTACACATTTACTGTCGTTACTTCAATAATTTTGTACAGTAGGATTTATAAACTTCTCTTTTTTATTATTTACATTTTTTCGTGTGAAATAACTCCATTCATTTTGTTGTTATTATTATTAATACAAAGATCAAACACAGGAAAAATTGTTCTACCCAACGGCATTTGAACTTATGATCACGCTGATGTACCGTGGCGCCAATGTAGGTATACTAACTTAGCTATAGATAAATAAAAAAGTTGTCGAAATTCTCCTGTGTTTTTGTTATAGATCTTTGTACGGGCTTTTGGCATTGGATTATTTTTTCTCTTAATAAGAATAAGTTCGCGTTTGACCTTATCTCACCTGATGGAAAGTGACGATGGAGTATGCACATCTAAAAAATGCCTATTCGCGCTTACGTTGATAAGTTATACCGTTCAGGGAACAAGTCTGTAGGCAGGGAATTCAATTTTATAGCTGTTCGCCATATAAATGTTTAAGCGAAATTTTTCGTGAGAATCATTGGAATATCCACAACATAGGGGAGGAATCCCAGCCTACGTCTAAATTCCCGATGATGGAAAGGAGAAGACGGAATAAAATCATGCAATTCCCTCCCGCACTCTCCATGATATCAGTAGAACATCGATAAGCAGGCAACTTTACGGCGGTGTTGAAGTTTCTGCTGCTTCACCTCTACTAATTCCGAGTCATAATTTGTGCATTATGTTACAATGATGCGATATTCACTGAAGGAACATTTTTTTTTGTAATATGTGCAGGTTACCAGAGTTTGTTGCAACTTGGCGAACATTTATGTAGTTTTGGAGGAAGCGATAATTTCGTATTTGAACAAAAAATACAAGTAATTCAGCAACGCTCTAAATATATGTATTCACTACTCCAATGTTGGAATGTGAAACAGAAGTTTGTTCAAATGTTCGAATGGATGTACTCTTCGATGTAACATTTGAGGCTTCTTGCATTTACAAGCTAATGCTCCCGGTTTGTACGAATACGAGACAGATTTGGAACATTAGTGAGAATTAGCACCCTTGGAGTAACAAGGCCACATCTGCAAGATGACAATTTTTCGGTTTAAAGTATAAACATTCTACGAACGAAATTAGTCGTTAAATGTTTTTGCATAAATAGGAGAGTTATAAAATTTCACATTACACATAATTTATTTTAAGTAGTTCGTATTATTTTATAACCTTCATGTGATAAAGGTACTTTTGATGTATGATCCCATGTGGCTTTATAATACGTACGAATTCTCATTTATCCAAAAATTTCGAAAAAGATGGTTTGCACTGCAACGCCCGATTCAACGTACTCCCTACTGCAATCTTCGAAACATAGATTATAGATAGAGATTACAAGTGAGCGCTGTAATTATCCTAGACGTACACATCAATCAAATTCGAGTTGTCACATTACAAGCGAATGATCCTATTCATTACTTTACCTTTAGAATACCAGACTTGGAATATTACTAAAATCATGCGCTTAAAAATTCATAACATTAATATGGAAGTCTATATAATAAAATATTGCCCATCGAGTATATAACCAAAATGTCATTTAATTTGTTTGAAAACTATTCTGCCAAATCATTACGGTGACAACTGCGCTTCGATTGGCCAGCCCGAATTCGAAACAATTGACGGGTGTCCTCAATTGTTTTACTTCAAATCGACCAGTTTAACTTGAGCTTTGCTATATTGGACGTAAATTGCAAAATTACATATTTAATATTTAATTACCGATGAAATGTGATTCCGTTTGTTTTGTAACTAGATGTTTTGCTGTTTTTCCCACACCACCGAATGGAATACCCCCCATTGTTAGAGATCTTTATTACAATAAATACAGAACATTCTTGGAATATACGGAGACGTACACACAGGTCAGTTGTTGGCGATGTACTATTTCAGCTTTCTAACTTGTGATTTCAGTGCAAACGAGAGTTGATATTTATAAGTGACATAGGGCCCATTTGCCTGATGAGTTGCCAGCGATGAATGGCCCTTATTTCGCCTTTATTTCTGGTTATGTACTCGATGACATTGGCAAATAAAACGAAGAAATAAAAGAAAACACTTGCATCACCAAGTACCACTGTTGGTATCATTTCAGGATCGAGTTTTTCAGTTTGATATTCAGAATCTAATTGCAAAATCAGTCCTTTTTCTGATGTTAGACACTTGTTCACTTTATCTTCATCCAGTCCTGCTTTCTGCACACACTGGAACATAATATGATAAATATATGTATAGATGGACTGTTGATTGGTTACAAATGTTTAGTCGACTCGAGAAGTGTTGACGGGTGGTAAGATCTTCCAAATGTTAATAGCCTTTGAAAATGGTGTACTAGTTACTAGGAGCGTAGTATAATAAGTAAGGTTGTCATATTATAATTTTAGTTATATCTATTCTCATGCCATGTTGAAATAACCCTTACCGAATGCAATACATAATAACATAATAACTCGAAGAAAATTTTTCTGTGTGTTTGATCTTCATGTATTCATGATCATAACAAAACTTGTGGAGTTTAGTTTTATACCGGAATCACGGATGATTATGAAATAGAATTGAAATGCTAATTTGTGTATACAAATAACAAGAATATAAATTTGACACAGAAAAATATTTCGTCGATTACGAATTTTTTAATGGCTTTATTATTTATAAAATAGATTTTCATATTCTGTACATACCGAGAAGAAAGGCAATTCTGTGTTTATTTATAGCATTATTTTAAGTAGCACTAGAGCTCCTTGTGGAAGTGTTCGTCCAGGGAAGAACTGCCAGCTTACCTATTTCTGCCGTCAAGCAGTAATGTCAGCATTACTGTGTTCCGGTTTTGAAAGGTAAGGGTGCTGTGAAATTACAGGCACATGGGACTTGTCAACTAATGTCTCGGGTAACAAAGTAAAGGGTAACGGGCGGAGTGGCAGTGCCCCTCAGAACTTTGCGATTCAAAGCTCTCAGTGGCACTACAATTGTTATGGACAGGGGAGTACTTACCATCACGCACACGACTAGTTCAAAATAAACAACCATAAACATAAGGACCAACGGGTAATTTTCAGGTCAGTGTCCTCTATTTAATTTCGGTGGCAATTTTTATTATATAAATATTGTAAAATATTATCATTAAGTATTGTTTAATATTCAAGCCTAATGATTTGAAACATTATTTAAGAGGGAGCAGAGGAAAAATTCCTAATCTTCGATTTGATTTTAGAGGGGTATATCCACTTTTAAGTTAAAAATAAAATATTGTATGAGTAACTACACGATATATTCAAGCATAGACATTAATTAGAAACATAAAACAATAAAGTTTCATCGATAGATAAAAATCACGAAATGACCTCTAATTTTCACATTTTTTTCGATTTATCCTTGAAATGCTACAGGTTATTAGGACAAAAATTAGATAATTAATTATATTTATGCATGAGAACTGTCACTACGGATTTTTTTTAATCCCTTTAGTTTTACAATTATTCCGCTAAAACGAATTTGGTACTTTTAATGCGCAAAATTCAACATCTCCTGTCGCATGTCACACGAACTTCATGCATATATTTGTTTCACAAATTTAGGCGGAGCCAACGTCAAAACTTTTTTGGCATGCTCCCTCTTAATGTTTCAAGATAAAATTTGGTACCAAAATTACCGAATGAGAAAATTACCCAAACATGTCTACTATTTGTAGTTGCCTTTGGTAGAAGTAGGGTTCCTTGTGAAAAAGTTCGTCCAGGGAAGTACTGCAACCTTACATATTTCTGACTTCAAGCGGTACTGTCAGCATTACCGCGTTCCGGTTTTGAAATTTAAGGGTGCTGGTGAAATTATAGATACATGAGACTTGTCGACTTGTATCTCAGGGCGACGGGCGCAGTGGCAGTACCTACCTCAGATCTTTGCGTTTTAAAGCCCCGAGTGACACTGCAACTGCTATGGACTGGCGTGTCGCTTAACACCATGCGCACTACTTGTTCGTCCCATCACTTCGTATCGTAAAAAAAAGCAGGTGAGGTTGTGGAGAAACGTGCACCTATTTCAATAAAAAAGTTTACCATCATGTTTCCGGTGGCTCCGGCAATATTATCCAACTCACAAGCGACATACTCGACGCGTTTTAGCACGGGCATTTCTAATTCCGGCCTCAGACGGTCCAGTACACAATCGTGCACCATATTGCCAAGGCACTCAGCTGGGCCGTGCTGGCATTCAAATCCGTTTTCTCCGTAATCTATGCTCTGTGGAAATAATATGAGAATTTGTAAAACAAGACAACTGAAATCCTTGACAATTTCGGTGGCCTAGAACACTGGGCACTAGATGTCGTGGTGTCGGGTTCGATTCCTGAAAGGACCAATTGGAAACGAACTTTTAAAATTATTTGTGGTCATGGTGTTCTGGGTTAATTTAGTTGCTTTGGTAAATAAATATAAATAAATAACGCAGACACTCATAGCACTGCACTAGGGAAACCCTGCGGTTGCGGTTGACGCACACATAGAACACCACAAATTACATCCAAACTCACGAAAGAAATAAATATAGGCCATGTATACATTTCTTCTGGCTCGGAAATTGAACCCGGAACCGGTTCGGCCACGGAGGCAATCTAATTATAATGCAAACTATTTAAAAAAATGTCTGATTATAATACAAACTCCAGTCAAAGATATTGTTATGTTATTCTACTGGCTGATCACTCACTTTCGACTTCCCAAAAGGTATAAACCTGACGTTCACAAAGTCATGAAGTACTGTCGTGGTCGGTAACAGTTGCTGTAGCAGGAAGGCTTGGCTATCCGTGCAAAGACTTTCATAAAAAACGGACAGCTGCAATGGCTGTAATACAAAACAGGACGGTTATTTTTCGAGGGTGTTGCTCAAGGCACATATGCCGCTACTATCAAGGTCTGCTTCTACATGTGCATCGAGTTTTGTCGACTAGGGTGCGTATTTTGAACTTTTAAAAAACCATGCAAGTTCCAGGCAATTCATTTTTCGCCCAAAAGCTGACTGGATAAAATTCGTATTACGACATACATATTTTTCGCCGACTTCTCCCTGGTTGTTTTGTCTATGACTGGGACTTCACTAGCTCGTGCTTTTTAGTGTAACGTTCAAAAACATAGATGAGAATTTACCGGTAAGTTACGGTGAAATTTGTCACTTAGTTTAAGAGAAAAATAATAGATACGTATTATTCATGTACGAAAATAAATAAAGACACGATATAATAATAATAATGATAAAGACAGTATAGAATAAAATCAATATACTATATTTTAATTTTTGTAAATAAGAGAAAAGCGCTAATTAAGTTTCCGAACAACGTCAAACGTCGACGGAATTTCTGTGGGTAAATTTTTACTTTGTAGTTTGTTGAAAACATGTCAATAATATTTTAAGAATATTTGACTATAAATTAAAGTGTAAGAAATTATACTTGGCTTTAGTGAAAAATAACCTTAGTCTGAACCAATAAATCGGTGGATTTTGTAGACCTCGATATGTGCGGTATAAGTTCATCGTAAAGATTGTGGACCATATCTTTGCTAAGCCGGTATGTTTTAATAAATTGTTGTGCATCCATTTCAAACAGATCACTACGATCTCGCAGTTGTCTTCTTTGGATTTGGTTCCATATTATTATCGTGTGAAGCATCACTTTCGAGATACTCAAACATTTCGTGAGTTCATTTTAGGCCCTTAGAACTTGTATACGAGTTGACCTGCCCCATGATCGTATTTATTACATATATATAATTAAAAAATGGACTGGTCGTATCACATTACACAAAAAGCTGATTACGATAATGGCGATGATGGGTTACACATTTCTTTTACATCCTTTCACCACGATGGCAAGCTGTATAGTGTATACGTGGTATATGCCATCGATACGATACGTACATACATAAGCTCACGCCATAGGCCCACAGCCTCACATACAGCAACTACCCTTTTCATACAACTTTATTTATTCTTGTCACTTCGGATCACAGCCTTTTTGGGGACACCACTGATTCGGTCAATATAAATCCTTCCAAGACGTTCTCTTAAAAACCTTCCATCCACATTCGCATCATAAATCTGTTTGGTAATTTTTCTTATATCCATCCGCTCTACATGCCCAAACCACCTCAACATTTCTTTCTCTATTCTAGTCACTACATCCTCTTTCAAGCCACATCTATCACGTACTATTATATTCTTCACTCTATCACTCAACTTAATTCCACAAATTTTCCTCAAAGACCTCATCTCCACTGCATTAATTCTACTTTCATGCAACTACCAAACGATTTTCCAATTTTTCATTCGATGCGATAAGAAGATATTTAACTTTTTTTTACTATAAAATATTTAATTCATCTCTTGTTGTTTTTTAAAAATAAATTAATTAAAACAGGTACAAGAAATGCTCAATAAAATGCATGCGTACAAATAAGTAAATTACAAAATAAAGTTTGTATCTTCAGTTTTTAAACAAAGTTTAATTATTTATATTTTTTAAAGCATTTGTAACATAACAGATAAAAATCCAAGTCGCTACAAACACACAAACAACAAAAAACTTAATAGGTATATTTTACACATACAGAATTATTGAGCTATAGTACCATTGACGTACCGTCAATGTATAGTACCCATAGTACCCAATGATATTATACTTGTAAATAGTCGCTGCACGCCATCATAGGAGGATGGCCGTTTTGACAGATTACAATAATAGTAAGGAGAAATCTCAATTAATTCTCGAAGAAAATATAATCAAATGCGACTCATGTGACTATACGTTTATAGATTTTTATCTAGTATTGCAAGAGTTAGCTGATTAAAAAGTTTCAAGAAAAGGAAAATAAAAATATTATATAAATAAAATAAATATATTAATACAAAGATCGAACACTCAGAACAAATCCTTCAATCCGGCCGGACTCAAATCGACGTCGACGAAAATTCCAAATTTCGAAAATCAAATGCCGAGTTGTGTCGTAAAATTATACATTCCTTATATTTTACTGCACGTCACTATTGACAACAACGTACATTAATTAGCTCCTTCAACGTAGTTATGAATTAATACGAAACTTGATGAGCGAACAAACGTCGAAACGGCCATCATAGCGTGCCGGTACTATAATATATGCAATTTGTAGTGTTTGTTATATTTATTATCTAAACTCGCTAGCGACGTAATCTACGTATTTGATCAAGGGCATTTCCATTTCCGGTTTCAGACGGTCCAGTGCAAAGGCGTGCACCTATTGCCAGAGCACAAAGCTGGTCGTGCTGGCATTCAAATTCAACCCCGTTTTCCCCGTAACCTATGCTAAGTGGAAAAATTACGAGAATTTGAAAAACGAGACGACTAAAATCCTTAATGACCCTTGTGGCCTTGCGGTGTTTTTCTAGTGAAACGTGAAATTCTTCCTGAATATTTGAAAATCAACGAATGGATATCGGCAATGTATATTACATGATATTTCACTGTCAATGTTGTATTGAGATTAAGTTACACGGTTAGACCTCTGTGTTCGTGTCGAAAAAAATCGGAAAATATTTGTTTAAGCTTGCAAGTAATATCATACGCTGTCTCAGACAAGTTAATCTGGTCGACCTCTAAAGTGCACTTGCACAGGCAGACCTCATGAATAGTAGCGTATTACAAACATCAGTAAGGCTATTCGGGTTACCCAATTGTTAACAGCCTTTAGTCTACTTTTCGAAATTGTTACGAAAACACGTGCAACAACTACTATTATACAACTCAATCAAATCAATTACAATACGTAATACTTTTTGTTTCTGGGTTATCAATATCATTTTCTAATTGGTTCTAACATAAAAACATGAAGAAAATTTTAATTCCCTGCAAAAACTTTACTTTATTTTTGGTTAGGAAAGTTGAAATTTGG